CTACTTCAGGGCCCTTTTATTCTTCTTTACAAAATGAGTTCTACAACCTTTAAAAGCAATTTTTTTTTTATTCCAATGCCCCCTTTTTTCTTTACCAGCATACATGTATTTGGTAGAAAATGCAACCCAGTTTTCCAGTTGGCAACCAAAGCCATTTCATGCATTGGGTATCATTCACCGTCTTCATTTCTTGTTGCATTTCTCATTTTCAGCTTTTGTTGTACCCCAAAATGTGTGTCATACATGTATAAACATGTATTGTCTGTGGAGGGCTGTGCAGGTTTTGTCTGGGCGTGGCAAGGAAAGGCCTTGATGTAATGACCATGTAAGTTGTAGTGCATGACAACTTTTAAATCCCCCCTGGGCATGCTGGGTTGGGAGTAGAGTTATGATGCTTTTACATGTACCATAAGCTACCCCACTCACACTGACCATCACCGAGCCCCGCCCTTTGTATTTTCTCATAATTAATTGTTTTCCTTGCATTTATTTCTACAACAAATTCCTTTATTCTTACTATAATTAAAGAACTTAAATCGTAGTTGCCCCTAAAATTAGAAGTAATTAGTAATAATTAGTAGAAATAAGTAGACAGATCCAATCTTTCTTAATAAATTTATTTACTTGAAGCCTAAACATCTTCTCTTTCTACCAAGTTATTTGTTTGTCTCGCTGCGGCACCTGACCACGCTACAGTATGATCAAAGAATTTTTGCACTCCTAAAAAAGTGTTTCTTCATCAGATTTATAACTGTTGGTACTTTTCAGGTCATACTAAGGAATATGAGTGGTGGGGTGGCCCTGTATGGAATTCTTCCCGGTTTGTATTTTTGAGGGACATTTTGGGGTGAAATGACGATTTTAACTACAAAACGCAACACGAAAAAGATGGCGATCACCGTGATTTTGAAACGCGTACAAAATCAAAATCGTAATTTCTACCACGAGCACAAGACACTGTTCAAATTACAAAAATAAAGGTGTCATTAGAATAAATAGAAGTCATTTTTGAATGACAAAAAGCACCTTTATTACTCTTATTTGATCGAAACTAAAGACATGAAAGAGGGGCCCATAACTACATGATTGCCCACATGGTTATTTCTATTTGTGTTTTCACGGTTTTGTAATTCATATATACAATGTAGTCGTGTTCCCTAACGTGGTGCACTTCCACTTTCTTCGTGTAGTGTTGCTAAACCTCTTTGTTGACAAACCTCAAATTCATGCAGTAAAATCCTAGTACTTTTACCTTATTAATGCTTGCTATTTAACCTCTGTGAACAATTTCGGTTTCATAAAATTTAATCCGAAATTAAAAAAACGGTGGCGTACGGAAATTGGGCACAAATTGGTGCAGTGTTCCCTAACGTGGCGCACTTGAATAAATCTCGAAAAAAAATCGAAATTAACATTTAAGAATTTCTGTAAACTTGATAAATTCTGATAAATAATTATTATCTCTACTTGTACTTAGGCCCTACATACCCAGCCATATGTTTGTCAGAAAATTATTTTCTTATTTATTCGGAGCATTATCAAAGGGTTCACTTTTGCACTTGAAAATATAACCAGAAAATCACGCCAAAATAAATTTTTCCTGTAACTTTGTTACACTTACAGGTAAATAAACTCGCGATTTATGAACAGGAGTGTTTAGAACTTGATAAAATTTAACTTTCTGTGAAATTTCAGTTAAAACTTTTGCTCTAGGTAGGTGCTACTGGCGAATAATCAAAGTGCGCCACGTTGGGGGCCGTGCCACGTTAGGGTACATAGTTTGGGAAAGAATGTTGCAACCTGAAGCTACTTCAGCGGTTGTGTACAAAGACCATGGCATGTATGTAGCTGGAGTTACCCAGCCCTGAGTTTTATCATTGGGTTGTCTATAAGGGCTGGAGCGAATTTTTCTCGTAACTTGTAGTATTTGCAAAAAATTTTGGAAAATGTTCAATTTTGTCCCCGTTACACACTAATTGCAACTGCAACTCACCCCAAACTTGCCTGGAATAACCATTACACAGGTCCTTGAAGTAAAAAACGATCCACGATGAAGATTCAGCCTACAATTGCAGTGAAAACAGGAGGAATAACCGCTAACTTGACAACCTTGCTGGATTGGCCAGGACCGCAATTGGTTTGTGCACAAAAAAAATTGTGTACAATGAATGGCGGTCGATTAACAGGCACAAAGAGCGATCGCTGTCAACTACTCGGTTTTGCCGGCTGCGCTGGTTGTTGGCGCATGACGTCACGCGGAAGCGTAACACCCGATAACTGTTTCATGCACTAATATAAGGTTTACCACTCGCATCACAGCTTTGGTACTGGAACCGCAACCAATAGTGCATGAAACAGTCATCGGGTGTTACGCTTCCGCGTGACGTCGCGCGCCAACAGCCAGCGCAGCCGGCAAAACCGAGTAGTTGACAGCGATCGCTCTCTGTGCCTGTTAATCGACCGCCATTCATTGTACACAATTTTTTTTGTGCACAAACCAATTGCGGTCCTGGCCAATCCAGCAAGGTTGTCAAGTTAGCGGTTATTCCTCCTGTTTTCACTGCAATTGTAGGCTGAATCTTCATCGTGGATCGTTTTTTACTTCAAGGACCTGTGTAATGGTTATTCCAGGCAAGTTTGGGGTGAGTTGCAGTTGCAATTAGTGTGTAACGGGGACAAAATTGAACATTTTCCAAAAATTTTTGCAAATACTACAAGTTACGAGAAAAATTCGCTCCAGCCCTTATAGACAACCCAATGATAAAACTCAGGGCTGGGTAACTCCAGCTAGCATGTATGGAGAGTCTAGAAAATGTTCTAAGTATTTCCTATCAAAATTGGAAATGTTTCTCAGTCCCACTCCCAGAGTCATGAGAGTCATGTCTTATCATCATTTTTGCATTGACTGACCTTCATTGAGATGATGTATGCAGAAAAAAAAGTGGCGTCAGGTTGCAACGCGTTTTCCATTGTTTGCAAGCCTTGTTACTTTAATACTAATATCAATTAGGCCTATCATACATTACATGTCATAAAACTAACAGTAACACAAACATGACAAAATAGATTGTAAATTTCATAAACGTTTCTTACCTTACCGTCGCCAAATTTTAGTGTTGTATAATGTGTATCGGCGCTGAAAACCCACAAGCAAAAGTTAACTCCTGTAAACGACTAAAATTCGGCATTTTACCAATCATTATAAACAAAAATTAGCACCAAAATCTGACTCAGTTGCCGTACATGCCGTAAATCATTTGTAAATGGAGGCCGCCATTGCCACTCACCGAAGTGAGCCAAATGGTGGCGCTCTTCAAGTATTGCGTGAAACTTCTCTCAAGCTTGAGGACATTTTTTTGGCCAACCACCGCCCCCCACCCCCCCCCCCCAAAAAACCAATCAATTAATAAAGGTAATTTACGACCCTGAGAAAATGTTTAAATGCATTATGGAAGAACTAAATAGGGCAAACAAACAAAAATTGTCAAAGTCATAAGAATTAGACAAGAAATTAGACTTCACACGTAAACTTTAACATCATTAACTTTTATATTGGCAAAATTTAATCCATTTGGTTCATTTTGCTAACTATGTCAGTACATGTATTACAAAAATAATCAGTTTACAAAGCTTAATTAGAAATATAAAAATAAGTTCGGATTTTTTATAAGACATACGTTTCATATCAATTCAATAACAATTATATACATGTACATAATTTTAACAAAATCCAAAGAAATGATTTAAGCTGCATAGAAAATAAAAAAGGCAGAATATCATAGAAAGCTAATATTTTAGATATGTTCCATCTAATAAAATTTCAGTACCATCAGATTGCATGCATAGTTAATTTGTCAAATATCAAACCAAGTGACAATTTTAGTTTTGATGCCAACTTAAAAAGAGATCCGTTCTGCCTATAGTAATAGTAATTATGTTCACATCATAAAAGAGGAAGACATTTTTCAAATGTGGGTCTTTCTATAATTGTGACCTGTTCTGTCAAAATCAGACTTTTCTGGGCATAAGGTCAAAAATGAGATTTTTGCATATTGTTAAAATATGTTCTGTTTCCTTTTAATAGGTGGTTTAATTTTTGAAACCGGTCATTCCTGCGCAAAGTTATGCTATTTTGAAGTTCATTGGGTCGAAAAGTAGAAAACAGAGAAAATGGACACGAACGTCACAAAACAGACATTTCTTTAACTGATGTACCTTAACAAATCATCAAATATACTATAATTAGAGATCAAATTAGGGTTTCAAACTTTTATAGTATAGTTTAGACATGCTCGGAATTACAAATATGCAAAAATTAGAAAATGGAAAAAAATAGAATAAAAAAAAGAACAGGTCACAATTTAGAGTCCAAAGTGTGACATGTTTTCCCATCCCTGTTACTTTGAGGAAGACTGCAATTATCTAGGGGTGCATGATGAGAATTGCAATCAATTTTCAGGTGTAACAGGAACAGGAAACAGGTGAACTCCATTCTGACCCACAGATACACTCAAATTTTAAATTGGTTTATGTTATTCAAGGCAGAACTAACACACACGATCATCATCATAGCATGATCTTTATCAAAGGCAAAGTTTTGGAACTTAAAAAACTCTTTTTTTTTCAACTACAGTACCGGTATTTGTCTCTGCAAAAGTCTAGTAAAAATTGTGTCTTTGATAATTTTCCCTGTAAGGAATTTAGAATGTAAAAATAATACAATAGAAATATTAAAAATAAGAACTTGACATAAATGAATTACATGGTAACAGTATTTCAAAGAAAGCTGTGTTACAATCAGTTTTAATTTAATATTTTTATACACGACCAAAATCAGTCAAAAACTTCGTTTTTTTTTAGCAATTCAGCAATGTATGGGCTACGTACAGGAAGTAAAAGTTGCCGATAGATTTATATTTTTAGCCCTTTTTTTTCTTTTTGTTTAAGTTGTCTTACAAATTAATTGTTTTTGGGAGTAAACTGAATTAGCCTCTTTTTTCCATTTCAGATTGCCATAAAGCAGGCAGAACCGTTCCTTTCCCTTTTTTCCCCAATTCGGGCAATTCACAATGCAGTGCGCCACCAAGAGTTTGCTATGGAGGGTCAACTTTTCAAATTTACAGTCCACAAAACATGGCCCATTTGAACGAGTGTCAGTAGACAACTTGAGCTAACTTGGGGCATAGCGTTCTGCCGCCTTACAAAAAAAAACACCACATTGATAAAAGAGAAGAAAAGGGCAAACAATACTCAAATCATACTCTTACGAAACTACTGACCAGAAATACTAACAATTTCAAATGTCCCGCGCTGCAAATTTGTCGACCATCTCCCACAATGCACTGGGAAAAATGAAATCTTCGTGGCAACTCTTGGTGGCGCACTGCATTAATTATGAATCGCCCAAATTTCTTTCTGTCCAATCAAGGAGGTGAAATTGTACAGAAAACTGGATGTCAGATTCCTTGACATACGTTCACACTCATATCAGGGGATCCTGCAGTTCTTTGTCCCCATCTTGGAGTTTGCACGCGATCTGCATCGCAGACCTCAGACTGTGCAGTCGGTCTCTGTTGAAATGTTTGTCCCAGAACGGTAAAAAGCAGAAAACCTGTACAAAAGATGTCAACACACATTTACACAAGTCCTAAATGTACAGCAAAGATGACAAATACTTAACTCAAATAAGTAAAAATCCTATGGGGAGTCAGGTTGGCAGTGTGGTACTTTCCTCGCCTTTCACCTCTATACCTCTGTGACATAGGTTCTTATCCCGACATGGCCACGGGTGTCACTTGAATTTTTTCATGGCAGCCAATCTACTCGGGCCAAAAAAAATGCTCCGGTTACCCTACCTACCCTATTTTGACAGCCCCTACCCTAATTTTTTTTGTTTGGGGGGGGATGAGGAAAAAACCCTGAAAATCTTCAATTACTACCTTTTACTCTTGACTACACGCAGACACCTCCATACGATCGTGCAAAAAAAAAAAAATTGCAAACAAAATTCCCTAACCTACCTACCCTATTTTCAAATGCCATGTAATCGGAAGCAGCAGTATTTTTTTTTTTTGCCTCACCATTAGTGCTGCAAGATGTCACTGGCAATGAAAACATTGAAAATCTGGGGGTGGGGGATGTGGATGATTCTTGGAGGTTCTGTTGGGCATGCATAGGAGGTGTACCAAGAAGGGGGGGGGGGCCTTTCACCTCACGTGGAATGGGTGAGGGATTTGGTTCAAATGTGGAACAGTTTTGGTAAGGTCTCTAAAAACATGCTGTAGTCACATCAATCACAAGTTGATGACAAATCATCCAGCCGTTAAGTCAAGTTGAAAATATACAAATGAATGTAAGCAAGTTCAGATAAGCCTCTGCACTGATGACGTCACACTTTGTTTACATGTGTGCTTTCTTACGGGAGCATGGTGAAGACAATGCTTTCGTAGCCACATAGAAAAGCGCACAATTAAATGAAGTGTGACGTCATCACTACACAGGCTTATTTCAAATGCATATGCGTGCAATATGGGTCATGTGGTCATTTGGGATAATCAAACGTCACATGAATAATTCAAACGTCACATGAATGCACAAAGAGACGGTTGCACGACGCTCATGCATTAATTACAAGCAGAATCGGCGTCTGAGTAACAAGTCGCTTGATGCCTATCCTGAATGACCTTTGGCCTGGACAACTTCATCGAGATACTGAACTGGCTTATGAATGAGAAGAAGGCATTCCATTGTCACTGTCCTGACACTGTTCATTTCAAATGCTTCTCCCTTGACTTAACACATGACTTGTGATGACTAGATTACAACTGTGGTAGTTTATTTCAAATGAAAGGACCTACCGAATTAAAGATGAAACACAGAGGAAACCAGGTAGGCAGAAAGCCGCTGGAGAATGACAAACACTGTAAAACAAGAAAAATAGTAAGACTTTTGAAATATGCTATTAAAACAACCAAAAGCCATCAAGTTCAACTCCACAAACTAAAAATTAATACCCCAATGAGCCATACTAAATTTTCTGTTTGCCTCCATTTCGTATTCCAGTACTCCCGAAATTATAATCTGTATCTTTTTTTTCAAATCAGTAAAAATTGTACCATGCACGTTCATACAAAGTCAAATCTATCACTCAAGATTCAGGCTCTAGATCTATGGATGAGTTGAACTATCAGTAGGGAATCCAGCACAGCCAGTTCCCCACCCCCCCCCCCCTCTATTTTCCTTGGTTTTTTGGTGGGAGGTAGGTCTTTGCCTCCATTTTTGCAACCCTCCCCTATCCATAAATGCTGGATCTGTCACTGACTATTGCCTGCTCCTGGGTGGACCCGGGCCCAAGAAGTGAAATTTGGTAAGCACAGACTAGAAAGTATTTGCTCAGCAAAAAAAAAGCAGGATCAGCTAAAATGTCGTCAAAAGTTCATTGCTTGTCATCAGGTGACTTATGCGTCACAAATTAACTGGATAACCAATATTTTCTGCGAAGCAGGTGCATAAACTTGAGCTGGTGATTGGGGTTGGGACTGGCCAATTCGGGCGATTCACAATGCAGTGCGCCACCAAGAGTTTGCCATGGAGAGTCCACTTTTCAGGTTTACGGTCGACAAAACATGGTCCATTTGAATGAATGTCAGTAGACAACTTGAGCTAATATGTTATAGATTGGAGCATAGCGTTCTCAGCCGCCTTACAAAAAAACCACCATTTTGATAAGAAGAAAAGAAAAGGGCAAACAGATCCTCGAATCATACGCTTACAAAACTACTGACCGGAAAAAACTAACAATTTCAAATGTCCCGCGCTGCGAATTTGTCGACCATCTCCCACAATGCACTGGGAAAAATGAACTCTCCGTGGCAAACTCTTGGTGGCGCACTACATTGTGAATCGCCTGAATTGCAAGGGGAGGGGAGGGGATTGGGAATGGGAGGGAGTTGGCAGGAGGAAGCATTACCTCAGCTTCAGTACCTTGCTCCTGGCCATGTTTGAACTCGATTTCAACGACGTCCAGCCACTCCGCCCACGTCCAGTTGAAAATCTGAACTCGGAATTTCTCCCGATCAACCTGAGGGCATTATGTCAAAAGAACTAGGGTTAAGCAGGCTTGGATGACACATTTGGAGATCTTACAATAGGATCCAATGGACAGATTGTCAGTTTGAAAGGAAAAAAAAGGTGAAAGATTAGTAGAGATTTGGGTGGGTATGTGCAATGGTAGTGATAATGATGATGCCAACAATGATGACGATTATGATTATGATTATGATGATGGTGATGGGGATTAGGCATGTTACTGTTAGGCAAAAAAAAATAGTTCTGCTTCCGGTTTCCCTACCTACCTTATTCTGACAGCCCCTACCCTAATTTTTTTTATAGGGAAAATGAGGAAAAAACACCCAAAACCATCAATTTCTACTTTTTACCCTTGACTACATGCAGATGCCTCCATATGATCGTACACACACAAAAATTGGCAAAAAAAAAATCCCTACCTGCCTACCCTATTTCCGAATGCCATTTAATCGGAAGCAGAACTATTTTTTTTTTGCCTTATTTAAATAGCCAATAATAATGATAATGGTGAATGGTGATGACTCCATTCATTCCAATCAATCTGGTGATACACTTGTACGATATATTGCTGTTGATCTCTGCTGTTATGTCAACAGGAGCGATAGAATGCACCACAAAGCCTTTGCCTTGGAGAGGCCATTTTTCAAATCTAAACTTGACGTCCTTCCAGTGTTGTATTTGAGTCCATCACAAGTCCTTCCAAGAGTCCTTTCATAAAGCCAGTCACAAGTAACTGGATGAACAATGTTAAAGGAAGGCTTTCATAACAGTGCATTTGAATTATGACTTTGACTTAAAACTGATCGAAAGACTTGTGATGGACTTGCAGGGAAGCACCCGAATATTTCATTCTTATCTTAATTAAAGTAAAACACCAATGTTAATGGAATCCCGTAATGAAACTCATTGTTACTCACAAAAAATTTTAAACTGAAGTCACACGCACTCCTGAAAATGCAGTGCCCTTGTTTAAAAGGAAATTGGTTTGACACATTTGTTGACTCTTTACCCAAAAATACCCTGCAAAATGGCCTTTGGATTCTAGGCATTTTGTAGCACATTACGTGGCAAATTGCTCATCTACTGTTTCTGGCTGTGTATATGACATGGCTATGGCTATGGCTGGCCATCTTACACGCGCCTATGGAAGCCGCTGAAGCCACTTCCCATAGTCATGTGTGTTACTGCTAGCCGTATAGCAAAGATGCAATCTTACCTTATTCACAAAGAATGTGCCGTTAGTGCTTTCCAGAGATTGGACTCGATCCACGGCTTTGATGAGCTCCTCGACACATACCCCGGGCAAGGTGTTAGGGCAGTCCCACCTAAAGTTCAGTTGAATGAAAGGACATTATAAGTATTACGACAGAACTGTAGCATTATTCCAACTATGGTTTGAACGATCCGTGCTTACGATCACCGTTCTGTGCTAACCACGCTAGCAGAAACATTCTGTGCTAACCCTGTAAGTACGCAATCCTTACCCATGCATGTACGCATGCGCATAAGCCAAAACTTCTCGCTAACACGTTAAATGCGCTTACCGTAAGCACGGAATTTTCTGCTATAGTATGCAGAGATTTTTCGTTAACTGTAAGCAGAGACATGAAATTTGGCCCTGGGCACGTGATCACTGTACACTCACGAGGCCCCCTTCAATGGAGAAACCATTGTGCACGCTACTGTACAAGACAACTGCCCTGTGATGGATTATCTGAACAATAGCTAGCACAACGCTTTCGCCATTAAAGGGGGCCTTCGTGATAGAATTGTTATCGTGACCGGATTTGTCTATAGTTGGGGTCTCTGCAATAGTTAGGGCATAACAGATACGATCAAACAATTACAAGCTATAAACCACCTCAAGCATAGTAGAGCTGGTCCCAGAGCACAACAAAATCTACTCAAGCCACTCAACAGAATGGCTAGTCACTTGAAATCTCTTCATGCATGTGGTGTCACAATGGGCTGGATTAAGCCCATGGGTAATCCTATACAATAGCACTGCTGGGCTCTCTTCACAGAGCCAACAACCAGAATAACTGGGCTGGTGAAATACTTGTCTTCACCTCATGAAAACTTTGGCGAATTTTGTTTGCTAAAGAGTGAGTAATGGTTGCCTGAATTAGTTTTGCATGTTTTTCTGCACTCAGGATTCCTAGTCTGAGTGACAGAGATCATGCCTCGGACTCTAGACTTACAATGCAATATGGGAAATAGGGTTGAATAAAGGAAATTTGCCCATGATTTATTGAATGCGTACTTCTCTCTGTGGCTGTGCACCAGTTTGACTCCCGGTACCCACATTGCGGGGCGCATCGTGGCCTGAACAGGGCCCTGGATGGAACTCAAGAAGCAGACCATTGTTCCAGTCTTCAAGAACTCACTGAAGCATTAGTGGAAGTCACGAGGGTTATTCTTTCCAGCGATGGTCATCAGATTTCATTTCCATAATCTTGCGTAACTGTAAAAAAAAATCAACCATATGATAGCTACACAAATAGACCTTTTTGCATTTTGAGTGATTTTGTACAAATGGCTACCAAGCAGTGTGGGAAGGAAAAAGCAGCAATGTCTGTCATGGTGCCGTTTATACAATTTCCATTTTTCAAATGCACTCAAGCAATATTTGCAATAAGGCTCGAGTCATAGGCAATGGTTCTTGTGGAACTCTTTCCTGTGTACAAAACGATTGTTTCATGACCTGAAGTTGTGGGGTTTTCAAAATTTATTCAAGAGAAATCCAGTAAATTTTAAAAAGAGAAAAAACGTAAATGATTTTGAAACTTTTGTCTGCAGCGCAACGGCGCAAACTCATGCACGGACCGAAAATCTTTGACCCAGCACAGAAACGTAACACACAATTTATTAACGCGCATGTAGTTGGGTCGTAAGTGCACGCGTTATCCGGAACTTGGCAAAAGCATACGGTCATTCGTTGGCAAATTTTCAAAAATTAGAGACTTTACAACTTATTTTGATTCAACAAGTATTCAATGGAAGAGTTTATACGACTGTAGTGTATGAACAAAATATTCGAAATCACACGGTCCAAGTGATATACCGATGAGAAAATTTATCGTCGATTCGCAGCTCCCGCGATTTTCTACAAACCGTTGAAACATCTCGAAGTGCGAGTCGCAAATCTGGCCAAAATTCCTCTTCTAAATACTTTATCGGAAAAATCTTTGTGTATCAACACATGATCAAGGAGCTTACATTTTTCTTTTCAAAATGCACATCTTCAGAAAAAAAATTATTGGAAACTAATCCAAAAGAGGTAGGTTTTTATTTGAACTTTGAAGCAATCCGGAACTAGGAAAAATCCGGAACTAGGAAAACGAAACGACTACGTAGTCGTAGGTAGGCCTACAAAAAAAAGTACAAATAAATGCATGCAAATCAACCCAAGAAAATTGACATTCATGTCATGATTGGAGTTCCTAAACACATGTTTGCCCGCCCGAATGATCTCTAGACAAATCTACACCGAAACTGCCACTATTTCTCAAAATGTGCACATCACAAGAGGTTACATACTCACACAATTCCGGGATTTTCTTTAAATTCTGTGCATCAAAATCATCTGTCGAGGGTATGTTGTAAACATTGGTCAAAGGTCAGTATTAAAATTTAATATTCATATTATAACTGGTTTCCTTACTTTACAGTGACATCTCAATACATCTGAATATTGGGACCAGCCATTGCTTTAATTATCGGAGCTATTGAGGGCGCTATACATGTGTGAGTCATGTCATGTGAATTGTAGTTTCGATCCAACTCGGACCCAAACCAAGTCGGACCCAAGCCAACTCGGACCCAGGCCAACTCGGACCCACCACCAACTCGGACCCACGCCAACTCGGACCCACTACCAACTCGGATCCATAACCAACTCGGACAATTATTCAACAATTTCATAAAGTTTGTCCACTTATCATCTGTAAATAGAGTGATGCTATTAAGTATAAATTTTCATTGTAGTTGTCAGATAAAATATCTGTATTGCAGCAGTTTGTCGTCGTAAAGCGCATTGAAATGCTTTTTTGAAATGCGCTTTAAAAGTGTAATTAATTATTTACTTTTATTATTTGTTTCCATTGAAACATATTGCGCTTTAACCAAAAGTAATTAAAATTAAAGTTTAACCAATTATTCATTTTCATATTTGACATCGTTCACGCCATATCTTGCTCAATTTAACAGCAATTCATTTCATTTTTAATTAACACCACATAAATTCAAAACAGATCTTCATAGAAAAATAAAATTGGAAAGTATGACATTGAAACATAAACACTTTCAAACATGACATGATTAATTCAATAAATATAAGTAAACATTATAAGTCATTCAATAAAATAAATAAAGTATAAAAACGAAGTCTATTCTAATCTCTACATGTATATGATTTAAAAAACCAAAACACATAAACACCATTGCATACACTGCAAGAAAAACGAAGGTTCCATATTGAACAAAAAAGGTTAATCAAAAAAGTAAGTTACACAGATTCGTAAAAAACCCACAAAACTCAAAGCCAGCATGTGAACTAAAAAAAAGATCAACTTATTAAATACCCTACAATTATGAAATGTCAATCATCAAAAAGGAGTATTGGAGCTCTGGGAAGATTATCCTTCAAGGCCTTACAGGTAGCTGTCTGTATGTTCGACTATGATGTTCCATGGGGGGAAAAAAGTTAATCAAAAAAGTATAAAAAGTTAAACAGATTCGTAAAAAAAAAACAATTAAAAAAACTAACAATTACATGAAATGAAAGGCCTATTTCAAATTTATACTTTGCTTTTTGTGCCCGACTCAACAGATAAATGCCGAACTTGATCCAAATCGTTCAGTGACTGGAACTGCTGCAGCTTTACATGTACTTTGGAGACTTTCCAACGTGCTGTCGAGTCCAAACCGACCGCGATATATAACAAGCTTGATCTACTGGCTAGCAAATGTTTTAACTATTAATTGTACTGAACGAAGTAAACAAACAGTAATCGATCAAGCTGTAAAAGCTCGACCCGAGACCAGCCAAAATATCGAGACCAAAGGGGACCGTACCAAGACCGAGACCAAGACCGAGACCACAGCTTCCGAGACCGAGACCAAGACCAGCAAATAGTGGTCTCGAGGGCGGTCTCGAGACCTTGAACACTGATTATTTGGCACACACCCACAAAAAGCAGATGAAAAAGGAAAACATTGCACATATCCATTTCTTCATGTGAATGAGTAATAAGAGTGCAAAATCAATGTAGTATAATCAAACAACAAAACTAAAAGCCCCATTCTGACCAATATAATTACAGAATATCTTCACTATATAAGCACTGTAACATTAAGATGACCTATAAAATATAATCTCTGAAACTAATGATTAAGTCATTGTTGGGTCCGAGTTGGTCGTGCTTGAGTACGAGTTGGTCTTGGGTCCGAGTTGGTCTTGGGTCCGAGTTGGTAGTGGGTCCGAGTTGGTAGTGGGTCCGAGTTGGCGTGGGTCCGAGTTGGCGTGGGTCCGAGTTGGCGTGGGTCCGACTTGGTTTGGGTCCGAGTTGACCTGATGCCAATCGTATCGGCTATCGATCGTTTGGATCGTTATTCTGAATCATTGTGAAATATCAGGCGTAAGTATCAATAAAAAAACAAACATTTTTTAGTGCGAAATGTTGAAAACGTGATAAATTTATTGTGGAAAGAATGTAGTATCCATACGCCACTTCGTTGGTCGTGTACAAAGTCTATGGAGAGTCAAACAAAAAGAACACTTGACTAAAGTCTAAGCTTAGTCTTGACCTCCGAAATGATGGGGGGCGGGGGGGGGGGGGCGGCCGGCGGGGGGTGGCTTGTACCATACTTTCAATAGGGGTGCTGTTCAAATCCGACGATTATCAAGACTATGTTACAGAATACTGTAAAAATACCCCCTAACCAAACTGCCTCTAACACTATTTTGTGCACAGGCAGACATTACCACTACAGTTGTGCAGGCGCTATAGTATAGCTTAATTAAAATATTTTTGGGTGTTGCAGAGCAGGAGGGGGGGGGGGGGTCGCAATATTTTGAATGAATTTTTATGAAAACAATTTTTTTGGACATGGCTGGTTTTTTTTTGGATAAACAATTATATGCAGTAGACCATCATATTGGGGCCATCTTCATTTGTTCCTATTCGAATCAACGTAACCAAAGCCAGGCTTGAAGGAAAAATAGTCTGGTTCCTTTTTGCACAAAAAACATTATCATTCAGTACTTAACTGCATATAGACTGAAATAGTGGAAGCATGATACAGGTCCATAACCAATTGATTTAAATTTGCAGATGTTTCCTTTCCTCAGGTCAACGAACTTTCATACAGTTGATGAACTAGTTCAAAAGACCAATCATCACCATGAATCTGTCATCGTCGTCAAAAAAGAAGCGGGGCTTCCACATGAAGGAGTCGGAGCTGATGTGCAAGAATGGATGCGGCTTCTATGGCAACGTGGCGTGGCAGGGCTACTGCTCCAAGTGTTGGCGTGAGGTGTGCCAGAAGTCCCGGCAGGCGCAGATAGAGAGCGACGCTTTGCTTGCTCGCAAGTAAGTGTTCCGTGTCGCAAATTAGAACGTTCCGTTAGACTCGGCCCACTATGCACGTGAGCAACACCACACGTGTCTCTGAAATGCCACACCCTACATGCTCCAGCCAAATGCGCCATACACTCGTGCGTATGACCCGTTTGGTTGAAACTCCATGGGCGGGTCTAAGTGAATGGGTCTATTCAAACCATCGTTTTGTTTGATCAGTCACAGACAGTCAAACATTCATTCCACTTCCCCCTCCATTCCTTTTAGGCAGGCTAGTCACCAACAATCAGACCATATTTCTATAGGCACTTGGCTAGTCATATTCCATCAACAGACAAAAGCAGGTAACTGTGGTAGTCACTGTTGCCTTATCAATCTTCTACAGTCAAAGCATAGCTGTATCAGGTTTCATAACAATCACAGCCAGTCAATCCTGCTTCATGAAGGCAGGGAGCACTCAACTGTCACAGTCACTTGATTTATTTTGACTGCTGGGTTGGCTTTGTTGTATTTGCCAGCCAGAGAAGGAGTGTTAATTGGTGTTCTTAACAAAAGTTAAATCTATGGGGGCAGATGGGAAGGACTTTACAAACACACCTTAAAGGGAATATACATCATTTGCTTTTGCTGTAATTTTCAGAAATGGATGGAATTGGGGGGTTGGAAATATATAGCAAATATAGTTACACTGACTTTTTTTGAGGTTTTGGGTTCGAAAATGCTATAAAAACCAAGAAAAACGATCATTTTCCTGTAGTCTGGTTCCCTGACTCCATATAAGAAGAAACAGAGCAGTTTACATACATTGGGGAATTGTAAGGTCAGGGAACCAGTCTAGCTGGCTCGTACCCGTTCATAGGTTTGTAATCGATTGCAAACAAGTGCAATGGTCAATTGGGGCCAGTATTTGAAAAAAAGCCAGTTGTTTCCAACGCTGATCGGCCGATCAGCGTTGGAAATAGATACAAAAATACCACTTTTCTTGAAAATTACAGTATACCAGGTGCCATAATTTTACAGGATGCTTTAGACTGTCATTTACCAACATCCTATTAAGGTATTTCGCCAAAACTTGGTAGTTTTATTTTTCGATGTTTGCAAATGTTGTATATTCCCTTTAATAATTACACTTAACCTGTACCTTAATCAAGCCAACTTTCTGGAACTGCAGCTTTTGCAGACATGGGGGTCTAAGATGGACAATCAATCAGAATTAAGGAAGATGTTAACCTACTTAGTCCCCTCCTGGAGGTACAAGTTTGTTATCTCAGGATTGAAGAGGACTCATGAAGGTCCTCAGCGAAGAATTTGTGATTACAGCTAATCTGAAATTTATCCAGTTACGTCTAGTAAACTACAACTGAATTGATCTTTTGTGTCTTGAAAGAATTGCGGACAGCGAGCGTGCCCACTCGCTGCAGCCCGCCTCGGGCCAGAGCAACGAACCGCTGACCTTTGACAAGTTTGAGGAGAAGAAGAAACAGCAATCGTCCACCCGCAGCAAAGCGGTCAAGACGTTCTTTGGTAAAACTGCCAAGAGTCCAAACAAGGGTAAGAAACTTGTAGATGTTGAAACAGTGATGAAACCTGTTGAATGTGGCCAATATTTAATATTGCACAAACCCTTAACGATGTACCGGTACTGACCGTGCCCTTCAGTATTGTTTTTAATTTGTTTTCCTGTGGAATATTAATTTTGTATTTTGACATAAAAAACTTGTTTTTTGTATTTTGGGCGTATGAAGCCCCCCCCCCCCCCCAAGGCTTTTATTTGGGGTTGCTGTTTGCCATAGACAGATCCGCCCTGCAAGTAAACTAGTTCTGTCCAGATTGGGGGAGGGGGGCTGGAACCAGACTACCCAACTACAGAACTGTCATTGGGCTGTAAATTACTAAAAATTTGTGAAGTAATTTTTCCGTAACTAAACTTGGGCCGATTTCTTTTATTCATTGTGTCATTCAAAAGAAAATAACTTTTGTACACTAGAAAAAGAGTTATTTAAGAATTTATGTCTGGATCGCCCCTTTTGGGGGCTGTAGATGTCCGAAATCAAACAGGGATATGAACAAAAAGGGGGGACTCCCCCACTTCCACCCCTTTCTGATTTGGAAATGAAATTACAAATTTTCATGAAATTTGGTAGGCTAGTACAGACTTTCATGCTAGCAGCACCTTTTATATGTTTGCAAATAAGATATCAGTGATAATTATGAAACTTCATTTCTACAAATTTTTTGCAGAAATGGTTGGCCAGCATCCTCCCATGGAGCGCAAGCACAGCACAGAGAGCCAGAAGGCCATGGGCGACTTCATGGAGTTCCTGAAGATGCTGAACCGTCCGGCCGCCCAGGACCTGAACAAGCAGTGCCGGCTCTTCGTGGAGAAGATCCAGCGCGCCACCCACCTCAGCGTGGACGAGCAGTCGGAGATGGTGCAGGACTTCTATGCCGCCATGGGCGAACGCATCAAGAGCCATGTAGCGTTCAAAGGTAAACTCGCGCAAGGTAAATATCGTTTCTGTTTTGTTTCTCTGCTGGACTAGCTCTCGCATCACCACCATCAGCGTCATCTGCTTTGAGGCTTCGTTTACAGCTGCTCCTCAGACTTTTCATCTGGCACAGCAAGTACATTTTCTTTTGGTCCATTAAGTAGACAAGGATGAATCTGTTACCATATCTCACAAAACGTGGCTGGAGTTAAGTCTGTCAAATGTCCAGTCACAAGTAACTCACAAGTCCATTCATGGGTCCAGTCACAAGAAATAGGGGGTGAAGTTCATGTGAATAGCTTTTGACGTGACTTGGAACTAGATGACATTTGTCATTGACTTGTGATGGACTAGTGATTGACTTGTGATTGACTTGTGATTGACTTGTGATGGCTTGTGATGGCTTGTGATGGCTTGTGATGACCTGTGATTGACTTTTGATGACTTGTGATTGACTTGTGATAATGTGTGATTGACTTGTGATTGACTTGTGATGGACTTGTGATGGACTAGTGATAGACTTGTGATTGATTTGTGATGGCTTGTGATTGACTCGTGGTGGACTTGTGATGGACTAGTGATTGACTTGTGATGACGTGCGATTGACTTGTGATGACTTGTGATTGACATGTGATGACTTGTGATTGACATGTGATGACTTGTGATTGACTTGTGATGGAAATGCGCTTCGCATTTATTACCCCTGTTCATCAGGCCGTGATACCATTTTCTGCAGCAGCTCGAGATCAGCAAAATCTGGTCTCTACCTTCACAGGTACCCATTTATACTCCTGGGTGGAGAGAGCAATTGTAGTTAAGTATCTTGCCCAAGAACACAAGGACCATGTTCCTGTCAGGGTTCAAACCCACGTACCATTGCACATAAGTTGAACACTGTAATCTTACATTTTGCTTCATGGGGTCAAAGTGTGCAAAGATACGGGCTGTCAACATTTTTCAAACAGTTCTTCAAGATCAAACCAATCATTCTAGTTCACAACATACGTCATGCTGCTCTCCAAAGGTGTCACACAACATTTCACAGCTCTTAATTGATAAGTTAATCTAGCAACAGTTCTGGCACGCAGAAATAGTCAGGGACAATTTACGTTCAAGTTAAATACTTTCTTTAAAAAACTATATGAATGAAGACATAAAAGAAGAGATTACAAATCTCAGAATGTCCTTCCTTTACAATTAATGCTTCATTTTGAATACTGTGTAGTTGATCTGTTCCTAGTGTGTTTCCAGCTAGGAACAGCCTGCTCTTAAAGGGAAGATACAACATTTGCAAACATCAAAAAACGGAATGATCAAATTATCTCGAAATACCTTACTGGATTGTTAGGGAATGACAGTCTAAAGCATCCTGTAAAATCGTGGCTCCTGGTGTGCTGACATTTTCAAGAAAAATTGTATTTTTCCAACGCTGGTCGGCGTTGGAGAAAACTGGCTTTTTTTCAAAAACTGCTCCTAATTTTTCATATTAAGTTATTCCGCATTTTCTTTGCGATTGATAACACACCTGTGAAGGGGTACAAGCCTGCTGGACTGATTCTCTGACCTTACAATTCCCCAAAGTCTATAAATTGCTCTGTTTCATCTGAAGTGGGGTCAGGGAACCAGACTGCAAGAACATGATTGGTTTTCTTGATTTTCCCAGCACCTACAAGCCCAGAACGAGAAACAAGTTAGTTTAACAATATTTACTATACCATACTAATCCTCCAAATCCATTTATTTCTGAAAATTGCAGCAAAAGCAAATGTTGTACATTCCCTTTAATTAACCCACTAAGTAGCCCTCACACCGCCCTGTACCGCTCTGCCTGCTACTCCTCATACCGCCTCAAACCACCCAAGCATCCTATAGTTTTATTGATTTTATTGAGGAGTAAATACAATGTAATACAATTGAATACAACTGCTAAAGGGTTCAGTCATTGTGCACAGCAAATGGGTATTAACCCTCCTGCTGTCTGAACAATCACAGACAGTCAAACAAATATCAATCCTCTTCCCTGCCATGCCTTTTACGCAGGCTAGTCACCAACATTCAGATCATATTTTAAGCAAGCGCTGCGACTAGTCAAATTCAGTCAACAGACAAAAGCAGGCAGGTGGTGGATACAGCTGGCTTATCAGTCACCTGCTTTATGTAGGCAGGGAGCACTCAACTGTTAAAAACAGTCACTTGATTTTGACTAAAAGGACAACTTTGCACAGAATGTATGTTTGCATAGGAGGGTTATTGTAGAATCCTACCACTCATAATTCTACTTAAAAGCTGTCATAGGTTTCCTGTAATGCTTGGATGCCCCGTTGACTATTTTGTGTTTCCCACTTTGACGTACGATCTGTAGAGCAGGGTTTGGCTCAAGGCCGGGTCATATTTCACGTGAGAGCAATAAAGCAAAGTTAATTCGTGACATTACAAATTAATATTTCAGTGTGACGCTCATTGATCGTTTGCCCAATAAATTCGTGTTAATTATAAACCAGCCGTGAGACTTTTTTCTGTGTGTGGCTTTTAATGTCATTGATGATTTGACTACGGATCCATGGAGCAAAATGTGCTTAAATGGTCCTTGAAATTCATCACTGTCAAATTTCAGGGTCGTCACAAGATCAGTTGGAAGGCATGCTGGACAACATAGAGAAGGTCATCATGACCCGCTTGTACCGCACGCTCTTCTGCCCGCCGTACACGGACGACGAGCAGAAGGACCTAGCCGTCCAAAATCGCATCCGACGTCTGCGATGGATCTTGCCTGCCATGCTGGATGCAGTCATTGATGAGAGTAGCCCCAGGGTGAGAGAGCTGATCGAGAGAGCCCAAACAGGTCAGTGTTATTAAAGCCAGAGTCCATCATTTACAGCTATCCAAAAAGTAACTGGCGTAATTATTGTTGAAAAACATACTGGGTTGAAAGATAGTAAGGGGACTAAACTCCCTGTGAAATTATTCTTTCTGGCAAGATGTCATTTTGAAGAAATTAACGAAAGAAGGCCTTTCCAAAGGTGCGTCTTAAGAAGCACTGTTGGAAATGTCCGTTAGTAGTTCGTTTTTTTTATTCGGCAAAGTGCACACAAGTGTTGACATGACGCACATGCGTGCGCAATTGCTATAATTCGTCGGATCGGTGCGCGACATCACGTAGCTGCAATCGGCTCTGTGAGAACGTGTCTCAGATGATGAAATGAGGCCCAATTCCAAACATGATTTAGCAACTTTTGATTTAAAATCGAGATCCTAGAATGTTTTTTTTTTTTTCGAAATATACAACTGAAGCTGAGCTGAAACTTCATCAGCTTAGTTGTTTAGCACCCTTCTTGAGAGTTTGCACTTTTGTTGCTTCAAACGAACGAAATGCAAAAATTACAAATGATGGACTATACCTTTAAGTTAGGAGTATCGCATAAAAACTGAGGGCCAGTGGGCTGTCCTGGAATTAGTGTTGGTCAGAGACTGGGTTTGAATGATCATTATTCTGAACTACCAAATTATTATGAAATACCTTAATTGACTGTTAGTAAATTACAGTCTCAAGCATCCTGCGAAATCATTGCGCCTGGTATGCTGTACTTTCAAGAAAAGTGAAATTTTGTATCATTTTCCAACAATGGGAAAAAAACAGCTGTTTTCGAATGCTGCCCCCAATTGACCGAATTATGCTAGTCCACATGTTGTTTGCATTGCGTTTTGTATCCACGAATGGGGGCAAACCAGTTCCCTGACCTGATAATTCTCTGACGTCTATAAATTGTTCTACTTCGTCTGAAGCATTATGTCAGGGAACTACCAGAACAGTGTTTTCTTCTTGCTTTTTCTGGCATCCATGAACACAAAAATTTAAAACAGTTAAGTCATTGGAATAATATTTGCTAAAAAGGCTATCCCAAAAAACCATCCATTTCTGAATATTAGATCAAAGCAAACGTATATATTTAATGTAGCCGTTCATGATCCCCTGGCAAGTGCGGCCAAGTTGTCATGGCAATAGAGGGCGCTATTGACATGATAAATCAAATCCATAGTCTTGGAAATAGTAATCTCCTTTTCATAAAATCATCAAAACTTTCAAGAACTAACGGCCTTCATAGAGTGAGCGTTACAACAATTCTTTATTTTGTTCGGTCAAAAGCAGTATTTCAGGATTTCAAGTGAAAGAGAACTACCGTAATTTTCGGAATATAAGCCGCGGCTTATACGTTGATTTTGCCCATGAAAATGTTTACTGCGGCTTATACACAGGGCGGCTTATACGCCGAGCCTTGAAGAATAAAAATGAAATTCACATGTGTATTTAATGTACTGGTATAAGAAGAGATATGTTGCTGAAATGAATTATCAATTAAGAAAGTCATTAACGAACCGAAACCACGTGCCACGTAAAGGTGCCGAGCGGTAAAAAGTACGGTGAAAGCTGGCTTCGATCATGCTTCGATCGACGCTTGCAACAAGCCGCACGTGATTCTAGTGTTGCTGCATGCAGCATGCTTTCCCCAGCGGACCACACCATTTGAGGTAATATAGGTGTACTATCTTGGAAACTTATAGCTTCTGTATTGTAAATGGAACTGGTTCAGAGCATTTTGGCTAGAATTTGGAGGCCTTACAAAATTGAAACCGCTGCCGTTGGTGCGGCTTATACGCCAGTGCGGCTTACACGCCGACTTCAAATCTTAATTTGCAGATTTTCGCGTGCTGCGGCTTATATTCCGAAAATTACGGTAGGTAGTGTACGTGAGCTAACAGTTTGAGACTTTTTTTTCTCGGTAATCCCTTCATCAGACCTCATCGAAGTCAACTCTCGTCGAGCGCCCATCGACAAGCTGTCCTGCATCGTGCGCTGCAGCAAGAACATCTTCAAGATCATCAGCTTATCCCAGGATGCACCGGCGAGTGCAGACGACTACCTGCCTGCCATCATCTACATGGTGCTTAAAGCCAACCCGCCCCAACTGCACTCCAATATTCAGTACATCACCAGGTTCGCAAACCCGTCCCGGTTGATGCAAGGCGAAGCTGGATACTACTTTACAAATGCGGTATGTACATGGTGGAAGGCTAGAAACAGTCATTTTAGTGCTGGTTTTGTCCTCAAATTTCAAACTCTTGAAGATTTTAATTGAAATGAGAAAAAAGTAGGGGCCTAACGTTTCGATCCAAGCAGGGTCTTTGTCAAGACAAAGATTTGCCGATTAGTAAGCATTTTAGAGCAGTTTTGTTCATTTTCAAATTTTTATTGAGAGGCTCAATGATCAAAGTAATGTAGCGGAATCATTCGTTACAAGAAAATTGACTGGTGCTCGCAATAATCAGTTCATAAGCTCTTCAGTACAGCACAATAAGCCGGTTCAGTGCACAGCAAGATTCAGTGATTTTGTTTTTTTGTTTGTTTTTCTTCGGGATAACCGTGGCAGATAAATGCACACAAGGCTATGGGGGACGTGGTAAGGGCCCGTGACCATTCAGCCCCGGTATGAAAAGGGCCCCCCAGTAAACTCGTCCCCTCCCAAGAAGTCCTCTCGTACCGTCCCAGCTACCGGCCCAGGAGCTGGTCCAGTTGCTAATCAGGAACTCCTCTATCCTGGGGTCTATTGTTTGCAAGTATTGACACATGTAATATATCCCAGAAGAAACCCGCTTGTGGTTTTCATCTCTCAGCGCGAAACAATAGAACACTTTCGTCGGCACAGATCAAATCCCCTGCCATGTGGTTTCGCGCACAATGGGATCGTAAATTACCAAGGTGTTATGGAAGGATTTTATCTTTAATCCGGTAAGTCTGCTATTGTCCTGCTCTGGACGTTCTCTGAAGGCAATAAATTGATGCGCCTGACTGACTTCAAAACTTCTGGTCAGACAGGACCATGTACCGAACGAGACTTGGCTGAAGACCGGACTGGCTTTGGACCGGACGAGGTACTTTTCATACCAGGGCTGAATGGTCACGGTCCCTAACCAAATCTGCATTCTGTGAAATTTTTTGTGCAATCGAAAAAGAGATGGAACTTTTGTTCGCACAAAAGTTTTGACACACAAGACACCTAAAAACACTTCGCTGTCCAAAGGCATTTTACAAAATGTTATACTCCAGAACAATACTCCAATACTTCAGAATCTCAAAGATTCAATCTTGATGGTACCCCGCAATGCTTTTTGCACGCATACGATGAAATGTTTATCCCGAAAGAAAAATCGGCAAATCTTGATGTGCTGATGCGTAGTTGGAATACCCAACTCGCTTATTCAAGTTTGTCAGTAGCCATATCTGGTACCCAGTCTTGATTGCTGTACACTCTATCCACAGTGATGCCACCAGACTACTGAATGGTTTCCCCATCTTTTCCCCACAAATTGTGTATATATGCAGGTCTGACTTAATGCTTCAAATTTAGATCACTGGGTTGCAGTTTTGTTGTGCAAAAGAGACAAGAAAAATTCAATTTGACTTGAGTTTTTAAGGATATTCAGAGTTCCAAACCACTTTCAGGGGAACCTTGAAAATGAGTTTCAATTTTTTTTCCAGTTAGGGAAAACTCAGGGAATTTGGGAAAAACTAAAAAAAATCAGGGAAAACTCTGGGAATAGGACAGTGACCCAGAAGGGAGAGGTTTTCACCAGTATGGCGTATGTGCATCTCTGTTGCATATGGTGAGGAAAGGATGGCTGTAAGGGGAGAAGGGAGGTCATGGCTTGTCAACAAGTTGCCTGTGTATTATCAGTATCTTAGTTTCTTTGCTGCAACCACCTCCCAGCAACCTTGTTAAAATGAAAATATTTCTCGTGGAATTTTGGAAATTTCTCAGGTAAATATCAGGGAAAATTCAGGGAATTTCGTTTTCACAAAGTGTTTGGAACCCCGATATTTGACTCAACACAATTACAATGTACAAAACAGGGACTGTTGATAGTGCAACATTGACTACTCATGAAAGCCAATGCAGGGTAGATTTTGTATAGTGTTGACACACTGGTCCATGTGAACATGACACGCATGCGGTTAATTTTCCAACAGAATAATATCAAAACTGGTGTTTTTTGGGTTTTTTTTTGGTAGTGTTGTGCCATCAGCTTCATAGAGAACCTGGATGCACAGTCGTTGTCACTGACCCAAGAGGAATACGACAGCTACATGGCTGGCGAGGCCGTGCCGCCGGGAGGCCTGTCCCAGGAGCCCATCTGTGACGGACTGCGATTGATGTATGCCAATCTCACGTCCCTGGAGGAGCTACGAGGACGGCAGGACCGACTGATGAAGAGCGCCAAGGAGCTGCAAGCCGAGATGACCGCCTGGAAGGACAGCGTCATCAAACAGGTAATAACCAGGGGCAGATTGCAATACAAAAAAATGCCGCTATGGGCTCCGTGCGCCAACGAAAGAGGGCGCCCTTTTACTTAGCAACAACGTCCCATAGGTAGGACATTAAGCTGGTTGACGCACACTGTTCCTTGTGTGTGACGCATGTACACCAGAGGATTTGTACTATGTACACGCAGTGGTACGGCCACGCGTCACGGCAAAATTGCAGTCAGGCAAGATGGCGTCGGTCTGTCAACCCCAACTGTACTTTCTTTGCCGATGAGGGGGTACTTGTGAATGGAGCAGATAACGAACACCGCTATAACAAACATTTGGCTATAACAAACATCCCCTTTTGCTCCCAAGATAATTCTATTCCATGTGTAATGCACAATCCCTATAACTAACAACCGCTGTAATGAATATTTTTTATGGACCCCATTATATTCATTTAACCCGAACTCCTGCAGCATTTTTCTGGGATGCAACTTCAATCCTGCAAATCCTCCAATTGTCTCCATATAACAATTACATGATGAAATAGAGGAGGAAAGTCATGCAGCAGGAGACACACCTGAAGCCAAAGTCAGACGAGAAGCCGAGATTTCGTAAACACCCCTCATCTAATTGATTGATTGTATTTTGTTGCAGGTGGATGACGTTTTGAGAGAAAAACCCTTGATCATCCGGAGGGCCAAGGTGCCCGCAGGACTGGACACAGAGATATCCAGCACGTCACAGAATCTACCAGCCCCGCTTGTGCCAGAGGTCGTCAACAAATGAGGAATTTACGTATGCCATTTGTAGGATTCGTTGAGGGCGCTCTTGCCGAGCACCAGGGACAAGTGGACGATATCCAGAATGGCACAGAATCTTCCAGCCCCTCTCGCACCACAGGTCGTCAACAAGACAAAGTTATCGGGGATGTCACCGAATCCCCCACTTCCTCATGTGGCCTCTGTGGCCTTTTCATTAGGACCCCCAGTGTTCAGTGAGGGGAACTTGGACTTTTGGCCGTTTGGTGTGGAGTGTGCAAAATTTGTGTCATCTGAACATGTATAAATCTGTATTATCTTCGCATGGGTGCTAGGTGCGTGGCAGCAATTGCATAAAAGTGTCAGTCATATCTAACTCTTTGTTACCGATGTGGATATACTTGCACATGGGCTTCATCACAGGTTACTTTTCCAATGGGAGTGTGAAATGAAGCACTTGTACTTATAACATGTATAATGTAAATGTATAGGCTTATTTTCTACTTGACTCCAGAGGGTCAGTGTATAACAGTGGCATAGTCGGGGGCCGCCCGATAGTCCGAAGGTCCGATAGTCCGAAGGTTCTTTAGTCTGGAGGTTCGATAGTCCGAATGCACAAATTTTCATAAGAGGGGGTTCGTTAGTCCGAAAATGAAATAAGGTTCATTAATCCGAACATATGATACAATAGTCCGAATGTTCATTAATCCGAAGGTTCATTGGTCCGAAGTTTCATTTTTCCAAAGGTTTGGTAGTCCGAATTTAGAATAAGGTTAATCAGTCCGAAGGTTCAATAGTCTGAAACAAAAATAAGGTTCAATAGTCCGAAGGTTCATTATTCCGAATTGACAACAAGGTTCGATAGTCCGAAAAGACTATAAGGTCCAATAGTCCGAATCGACAATAAGGTCCGATAGTCCAAATCAACAATAAGGTCCGATAGACCAAATCAACAGAAATGTCCGATGGTCCGAAGTGTCAAACTGACGAACCATATTGCCCACTCGGACTGTCCAACCTTAATATCAATTCGGACAATCAAACCCTACCGTATATTCGGACTATCGAACCTTACCATCTATTTGGACCAGCGAACCCTATCGTCTATTCGGATTATTGAACCTTCGGATTTATTAACCTTATTCTATTTTCGGACTAACGGGCCCTTCGGACTATTGAACCTTCGGACTAATGAACCTTCGGACTAATTACCTTTCAGACTAAAGAACCTTTGGACTATCGAACCTTCGGACTATCGGGCTGTGACCGTCGTAGGCCATGAGTATGCGTACAAGGCAATTTTTTCCCCACGAGTACTAGTACAGGTACCAAAAAAAGGTTCTCGAGTTCAAGTACAAGTAAAAGTACAAGTACTTTCCATGAGTAGGAGCAAATTTAAATGGGTACTTTTGTTCTCAAGGGGTTTTTGCTGTCAAAGTAGGCATTAAACAAATGCTGAAGCCTCCCAAACAGTAGAAAGGTTAGGTGCTTTTCCTGCACGTACGTCTTAAAAAAAAATTAATTCCTGTGGGAGAACATTTGCAAAGTACGAGTACTAGTACGAGTGAGTTCTGTCTTTGTGGGAGTATGAGGAGTACGATTACGAGTACTACAACAGTTGTATATAATGAAGGCCTCTTCAGTGGCACACATTGACTTTTCCCCAGAATTTCCCCATGCATTGCCAATTTGTTTATTTGTTTTAGCTTCAAATTCATTCAGCTAAATATTGGTTTTATGCTTGCAAAGCAATTTTAGTGTCTGAAAACGTCGTCTACAGGTCAAAAAAAGGCAGTGACCAAAAATCAGGCACAAAATTGGGACGAGATTTGCCTAATGTGGCGCACTGGAACAAACCATAGAAATTCTCAAGTGAACATGTGATATTTCTTTCAAATTAGATAAAACATTATTATTGGTAAGGAGTAATTTCCATATTTTGAGGCACAATTTAAAACGGTTCAAAGAGCACTTAAAACATTTTGTTTTTTGCAAAATTGTGTCGAATGGACATTACAATCCAAACTTTGTAATGGGTTTTTAAACTCAAGATGTATACAACATTTGCAAACATCAAAAAATAAAACTACCAAGTTTTTATGAAATACCTTACTAGGATGTTGGTAAATGACAGTCTCAAGCATCCTGTAAAATTGGTACCTGGTGTGAAGTCGTTTTCAAGAAAATTGTATGTTTGTATAAATTTCCAACGGTGGTCGGCCGACTGACCACCGTTGGAAAAACCCAACAATTTTTCAACTACTGCTCTAACTTCACCATTTTTTTTTTCAGTCCAAAAGTTTGTTTGCTATTGGTTACATATGTTTATGAACGGGTGCAGGCCAGCTAGACTGCTTCCCTTACCTTACAAAGTTCCGGCATCTATAAATTGATCCATTTTTTCTTTAGTGGAGTCAGGGAACCAGACTACTCCACCATTTGTGTTTTTCTTGGTTTTTCCAGCATTTTCGAACACAAAACTTCAAAAATGTCAGTGTAACAATATCTGATTTATCATAGTAACCCCTTAAATAGTTCATTTCTGAAAATTACAGCAAAAACCAATGAATGATGTACATTCCCTTTAATAGGGAGATTTACAACTTGCTAAAAATTAATTCCTGCAAAATTTAGGGTCAAGGGTTTAACTCCGACGATATGCTAGAGGAGACAAATTGATGTGTGCCACATAATAATTCACATGAAGTTGATATGTTGTGAGAAATCTGTGCACATAGGAAAACAAAGTGCAATACTACATGTACATAGTAAACTTTATATGCTAATTATTCACAACCATATAGTTCAGACAATAAACTGATTTTACATTTCTTCAAAACCATGCCTCTGTGTTTTATTGCTTTTTGTTAATATAAAAAGAAAATCGGAAAAGGTACTTTTTTAGTCACCGTACACAAATCATCAAATAACCTGGTACTTATTTAGAGATACATGCTATGGATCAACAAATAAATGTACGAACACAATAAGAAATGTACATTGCTCTTTGTTTAAAATAAATAGATTGTCATAGATTGGACTTCTTTAGGTCACTGCTGAAGACACATCTTATCAGAAGGCTTTTAATTTGTAACATACGTTATTTGTAGGGATGCGACGTTTACGTTTACACTTTTAAACGTTTAAACAAAACATTCTAAATCCGTTTACGTTACAAATTTTCCAAAACGTTTAAACGAAACCCAAATAAAAAAGGGCCTATATTCACACGATCTTTTGAGTCAAATATTAGCCAAAATTATTAACGTTTTCGAATCTATATTTAGTTTTCAAAAGCTTAGAATAGTTTTGTACACGGTTTCTAATCGAGGTCGTCCTCGATTTGGTTCCAGTCCTCGATTCACCGACGATGTTGCACGTGTGTGTCCTCGATTTACACCATAAACAAACGCTAAAAACTGTGTTTAGCATTATTAAACACAATGTTGCTATCACTTTGTAAACATGTTTAGAAGCTAAACATTACGTGTCCGATTCCTAAACATTACTGTTCAATAATGTTAACACCTGATTAAACACTTCATCCATCCTTAAGTGATAGGAAGAACATTTTAGAAAAGTGTTTAATTGCTAAACACAGCTTTTGCAGTGTAGGAAATTCAGGATCCAATACAAAAAAGCAAAATTATGAATGTATAATATGACGGACAACAAAAAGGACTCCTTTGATGACGAATGACGATTCAAATCTCTATGCCCTTGTATTGTACCAATAGCAAATGTGTAGCAAAATGTGTGACGGGTTTGTACTCTCGAAGTTTGTGATGCTATGAGTATGCAGTTCAATCTGCAATTAACATCAAACCAAAAAATACAATAAGTCTATAAAAGTATGTCAAAATGTACCTGTACATACATGAATCAATTACAATATGAACTAGATTAATTAAACTGACTGATTTGATCCCCAAACTCATGAAATTGTGTCTTTCTCAACCTATGTCATGTGTCCTAGTACATCAATGTTTACATTGAAATTAATAGTCAAGTATCCAACATTAACCTTGGCTGACAGTAATCCATATAAAACTGATGAAACTGACGTGAGAATCATGTCACGTGCATTCAATAAACGTGCATCTAACGTGCATAAAAGTTTAAAACGTGTATCGCTAATCTTTCCCAAATTTATCCCCAAAAGTTGACCCAAAATTATTATAGCTAATAACAGTACACAGACATGTTCACGTTGGCGGGTGGAATCTTCCGTTTCTGTTTGGATGAAAATGCGTGGGTTCTCCAAAAACGAAGTCTTATTTGTCAACTTGTTCTTTCATTGTATGTCTTTAAGTAGCTTGGGGTGGTATCTACAATCGCACAGGAGTTGTCGTTTCCGGTTCCCAGAAATCACTGGGAAATACAATTACGAGGATCTGGAGCCCGATCGCGATATGGTGATGCGAACAAACAAATTTATCTAAGACATTTTCTCAATGGTCGTGCGGTGTACCCCGCAACTCGTTCGCCATACTGCATTCCGGAAGCCGAGTAAACACGAAAGGCTACCATAATGCACACTACGCATCAAGTGTTTGCATTATGTTTTTCACTGTGATCGTGCATAATTAGGCCAAAAAAAGTTCTACTTCCGGTTTCCCTACCTACCCTATTCTGAGATGTTTTTATGGAAAAAATGAGGAAAAAACACCCCAAAACCATCAATTTTACCTTTTACCCTTGACTGCACGCACACGCCTCTATATGATCGTGCACACACACACAAAATTGGCAAAAAAAAAACAATTCCCTACCTACCTACCCTATTTTCGAATGCCATGTAATCGGAAGCAGAACTATTTTTTTTTTTGGCCTTAATTGTACCTTGTACTTGAAGTTGTACTTTGTACGTCATAACAACCATCCTCATGCGAGTATAACCTGATAACTGGCGGCTTGATGAGGGTGGTACTGGTACATGTTCTACATGTTCTAGTGGGACTTGTTTACTTTTGAAACTAGATGTAAACGTTGCACAAATTAAGGTTGAATGGGGTAATGTGTTCCACATATCAACCGATTCAGAAAAGAAGCTGATGTGCCCGCATGCTGTGGATTTTGGTGAGAAATTTGTCTGAACAATGTAACTTATTATTGGAGGGGAAAAACACTTTCGGGAAAAAAATATACAACATAAAAAAGGCGATGTGCAGCTTAGTTCTAGGCTCGCCTGCTCATGACATGGGAGATTCCCAAGTATGCCTTTTGGTAGAATCTACGAGCGAATCTCCCTGGTACGGCCAGTATCACAACTCCAGTGGTAACAAATACCAAGAGCATTGTTTTGTTATTTAGTCAACCGGTACATATGATTAACCCTCCTACACTCAGTGACAATCTGTCACTGGTAACCCTATCTATGTCTGTAAACTGGCCTGGCCTCATATTGGTACAATTGACAGGTTAAAATGGCTGCTACACAACCTGTAGCATTATTAATAGTCAACTAATCTATCAAACCACTTAAACGCACTGTCTTTGGCAGTTTTACGGTGTAGCCTAATCCTGGGTATGTGTAGTACTTGGTGACCAGCCTGTACAAAAGCTACCGAGAGAGTTCCAGTTCGGGGTTTTTGATAGTTAGTGACAGTTATAAGTATAGGAGTTAAAGCATTGTTTTGGAGCCCTATAATTTATGTTATTTTATTTTATAAATTCATTCATTTCCCTGTAAAATTCACCTTTAACATTTGTTATTATTTGCCATATTGTGCTTTCGCGTCGCTTATTATCATTTTCTTTTTCATTTAAAATTTACTTTTAGTTTAACTATTTTGTTACGTTATTTTTATGTATGTATGTTTTTTATTTAGCTTTCATACTGTCTTTGTTTATAATCGTTCTTGACATCCTGTATCTTCTTTGTTGTTTATGTTCAGGAGACTCAAACTCGACCAGCTGTGCTTTCTGTGGGTCCCCTGCATCTCTTGGTGGTGTTATTCCAATGTTATTCTTATCTTTATATTCTAAAATGCATGAATCATAGTAAATTCTAAGTATAAACTGTATTCTTTCATGCCTTGAGATGAAATAAAGTAAAGTAAAAAAATAAATAAATAAATAAAACAAATTAAGAACGGTCGTCTTTGAGCTACAGCCTAGTAGATAGCGAGATGAGCTATATCCACAAAGATCCCTGGTCGAATCCACGTCGTCTCTGCTCATTTTCATCGGCTATTTTTCTTCTCTGAGTTTATCGTCGAGATACTTTTCCCACCTCCATCAATGAACAAAAATTTGCAAAGGAAAACAGACCAAAATCGCCATCAATATTTCAGGGAAAAAAGTTGATTTATTCCTCATATTCAAAACACAAAATCTGACTGTAAAAATAATGTTTCAGTCTTGACCCAAATGATTGAAGTCTCATTTGTATTTGAAGGCCTGTGCGTAATCTAACTCGGCTCCAAAGCTTCCAATGATACTTGATGGACAGCTATAATAAAAAAATATATATTTTAGGAACTTCATTGATGTACTTCATTGATGTATTTAAATTTGTTTGCTTGGAAAAAATGTTGCAACCTGACACCACTTCCGCGATTGTGTACAAATTTCATGATTAACTGTTTCGAAAGCCTTTGAAAGGTCAAAAAATACCAATTGAAAATTCACCATTATCTATGGCTTTGAGCAATTCATGAACAACATACGACTTCATAATGAACATGGCTCTCCGAACTAAATCTGTATTTACTTTCTCTTTTTGGACTGATGACTGCCACAATGCTGTCCGTGCCCTGATTCTTTCAAAACTGGACTACTGCAGCTGCCTTCTTAATATAGTCTCTAAGAAAGAAATATCTCGCCTTCAGAGACTTCAAAACAGATGTGCAAGGCTTATCTTTCCGACCCCCAAACACACCCATACCTCTCCTCTGCTCAAACAACTACACTGGCTCCCAGTCGCCCAACAAATTCAGTTTCGCACACTGGTTCACACATACAAGTCACTTAACACTCTGCACCAGATTATCTTTGTTCTCTTCTCAAAATCCAAAAGAGTTCTTACTCCCTTCGTTCTTCTGCTTGTGAGTCTCTTGTCATCCCCAAGTCACGTAAACTGGCTGGTGACAGGGCCTTCTCTGTTGCCGCCGCCCGGCTATGGAACAACCTGCCCATCTCCATCAGAAACTCATGCAGTGTCTTTTCCTTCAAAAAGGCTCTCAAGACCTACCTTTTCCCCCAAACGTAGCTGCATGTCCTTCTTTTGTTGTTGTTTTTGTCTTCTTTTCCTCTTTCTTCTTTTCTAGCGCCTTGTATCCTTTGGTAATTTGGCGCTATACAAATCCAGTTATTATTATTATTATTATTATTATAAAACCAGAAATAACTTGTACGTGTACATAAAATGTACACTGAAATTTGATACATTTTTGTTTTCAACAAAATCATTGGTTGTACTTGAAAGGTTAAATTTTCGTGATCCTTTGTTCATAACTTAACTGGGCTGTGTCTAATGAAATAGTTATCAGCCCGACCACTCTGCGTTTGTAACTCAACAAACGCCTTGACCTCTAGTTTTTGGGGTTTTTTTGTATTTTTTTTTAGTTCCACGATTTGACCTTGGTGATATGTATGTGGCATATTTTCGAGTGGTATAATAGGGGTGTAAGTGGCGCCACCAACGTCAAAATAGCCCCCCCCCCCCCACCAAAACCCCAATTTTGTTCTGCGGCCAAAAATTTTGGGCAAAACTTCTAAAAACAAAAAATTAATTGTGAGTTCCCCCGCCTAAAGCCAAATCCTGGGTGCGCCACTGAATATTTACTATAAAACACTTACTTCGAAATCCATTTTTGAGGATTACAGCGAAAACAAATGTTTGTATATTACCTTTACATGTAAGTCTTCTTTGATCAAGCTTTGTGTTTTCTTTTCAAATTCTTCAGATTTTGACAAAGCTGTGAGGAAGACAGAATATCCAAGATGGCTGGCAAACGGTGTATCGGTATGGGATGTCTCAAGCGTCTGGTGCTCCTCTTCAACCTCCTGCTCTTTGTAAGTTGATGTTTATCACAGGACTCCCAAAAACGGTTGTCCGACGTCCCGGGACAACCAAAAGTTCCAGGATGCCAGCCCGATGGGCAACCACTTTTTTCACCGATTCTCACACATTTTTACTCTTCATTTAAGTCCATGGGAATTTTTTTAAGTTCCAGAATCCTATACAATGTGCACAGCGTCGAACAATAATATCAACATTTTGTACTAAGCTGCTGCGCTATCACCATTTTGCAAGCGTGCGTGCACGGTGTACGGTGCCCACCGCTTTGCACCGCGCCGGTGTAGAGTGGTCCAGTCGGATCCAGGAAACGGCAAATGTCATTTAGCTGGTAATTAAAGCAATCATTTCATTAGACAATTTAGCGGCTATTTCACTGGCCACTTTAGTAGCCATTTTCACCGGTCATTGTACTTACCATTTTAGCAGCCATTTCAAATACCAATTTAGCATGCAAAGTGGCAGCCACATATCTTGGCAGCTATTTCACAAGCCAATCTAGCAGACACTTTAGCAGCCACTTTCCCAGCTAATTTAGCAGCCATTTCATCAGTCAGGTTAGCCGCCATTTCATCAGCCAGTATACCAGTCAAAACACCAGCCACATATTATTTACCTTCTTTTTTACCATCCACAGCTCTCGGGCTGTGCCATTCTGGCCCTGGGTATCATCCTTCGTATGAAAGAGGGTCGCTTTTTCCCGCTGGCTCCAGACCTGCCGTTGATCCGGAACGCCGCTAATATTTGCATTGCAGCCGGTTTCATCGTCATACTTATGCCCAGCGTGGGATGCTGCGGTGCATACAAGGAAAGCACTTGCCTGCTCAAAATGGTGAGTAACACCAATTTCAGGTTAGTTCGAAGAGTGGAGGTGGATTTGTTCAGTGCGAAGCGAATTCGTCAGGGTAATGGCAAATGTCAAAATGAAAATTCAGTTGACCTAAAATTAGCTTCGTTTTCACGTGATGTAGTGACGTGTACAGTAGTGACCATTAAAAAAAAGTCTTCAAAACCATATGTTAATTTGAATGAGCATTTCAAAATAGGATATAAACTTCCACACAACCATGCTTAAAAGTTTGGCGATTTTGTATTATTCTTGCAAGAACCGAGTGAGAACGAATTTCAGGGGGCAACATTTTGACTCTCAAAAAATTAGCTATTGCGTGCTAGTTGTGAGCTGCCGCACAGCATTTCGCATTCTGTGGACATGCGAGAAACATTTTGTAATGGTGCTGTGTGTATTATGACGTACACAACATACATGTACGGTAGCCCTACACTGAATGCACACGGCTGGAAATGCGTATGCGTATTATATGCCACCAAATGTCCACCGCATCCGATGTAAACAATCAGGTTTTTTCGTCTTTTCTCGGGAACTGCAAGACATTGGGTTATTTTCCTTTCAACCAGACTTTTGATAAGTAAGTAATAGGATAAGTAATCAAATCCAAAACATCAAGTTTTTTTTTTGGGGGGGGGGGGGGGGAATTCAGGCCCTTATGCCCCTCAGGGCGTTATGCCCCTTTAAGGAGATGTCTCATTATACCTCGGTCATTAATTCCCGTTTCCTTTCTCTCCTTGTAGTTTTTCCTCTTCCTGCTGCTGATCTTCCTTCTGGAGGTTGTCGCTGTCATCCTTGCTTTCGTCTACCGAAGACAGGTCGAGACGGTAGTTACTGACGACCTGATGATCAAAGGTCTGAAAAATTATGGCAAAGATGGCGAGGCATGGCTTACCTTTGCCTGGGATAGGCTCCAGACTGAGGTAAGGCTCGATGGGCACCTTAGTGAAAACCACAGGACGCTTATTGACCACTTTCAGAAGGCTCCCTGAACGCCATATTTATTCGCGTAAGGGATTAAGAAAAAAAGAAAGAAAGAAAACGAGTGGCGAATCATTTTATGTTAATTTAATGTATATTTATTATTTTACAAAGGGCGTCAATTTTTGCCTGGCCGGTGATTTCTCCCTTCGCTTAATTGGCCCCCCTTTAGAAAAAATCCTGGCAACGCCCATCGCATGAGCGTCAGGCGTCGTTGGCAATGTGCTGAAACTTTGCTCAACGGTAACAGAAAGTCGGGGGACCACTGAATACATTACTTAAGGTGCCTGATGCTCACATAGAGATGTTATGGTCTGTGCAGATATAAAATTCAATTAGTTAAAAAGAAAATAGAAATAAATCGACGACGTCATCACACCGGAAGTTTTAATGAAAAGACCTTTTAATCATACACAAATTGCTAAAAAAATCATTCGTGACAGATATAATCAAAATGTCGCTATAAATAGCACAGTTAACACAGCTATTGAGCTTTTTGGTAATGACGTCACGATAACGTCACCAGGAATCATATTACAAGCAATCAAAGATTTTCAGATTTAATCTTTGAAAATCAGTATAAAATCAACTGTTACAGATTTGATTTTGTTATTTGTGGCAATCGATACAATATTGCAGGGTCTTCTTTTTTGGTAAAAAGTGCAAAATCACATGACCCTTCCTCCCGGTCAAAACCGAAAGTGCCTTATTATTTGAAATTGGCAGAAGATGCGAACTTGCTTTCAACGATGTAAGTCTCTGCCTAGGCAGTACTGTACAAAAATATTGCAGGTGACGTCATCAAATGTTAGAGCGCCCTCTGGCAGCATGTTGATAAAGTCAAACATGCATATTGAGTTCATGTGTGTGGCGAATTTTTGCAGTCATCACTAGCCCAACACCGTGTGGTTGTTCCTACAACCTCTAGTTATTATATTATTTTATCTTTTTTAATTATTTTTTTTAAGTCTGAGTGTTGTGGTGTGAATGGCTTACGCGACTGGGCAGACAACAACGATGACTTCATATTGAACCAAACCCCAGATAGTTGCTGTTCATCGTATACAGAGGGATGTGGTATATCAAATGTTATTGAAAAGTTCCAAGAGGTAGGTTTAGTTTGGAATAATCTGGCCCGCCCCGTTGCACCAGATTTCCGCTGAGCAAATGAGACCCTATAACTGTGACATTAAATGGGTAAAAAGAGCAGTTTATTTGCTCAATCCAAAAAGGGAGATTGTTAAAATGTGAGTTTAGAAGAGAGGCAGCATACACTTTGAAGATCTTGGACTTTTATTTTTCGTACGCACAAAGCGATATTATTACGATGGTTTCAATTGTGTACAGAAACATATGGCCTTTACAGTAGAGCGACTGTGATCCAATGGTTACCGTGTTCGACTCACTTGCCGCGGCACGTGGGTTCGAACCCGGACGGGGAACATGGTGCTGGTGTTCTTGGGCAAGACACTTTACTACAATTGCCTCTCTCCACCCAGGAGTATAAATGGGTACCTGTGAAGGTAGAGACCAGATTGCGCTGATCTTGAGCTGCTGCAGAACTGGTCTCATTGCCTGATGAACAGGGGTAATAATCGTGAAGCGCTTTGAGACCTTGGTATAAAGTACTATAATATTAGTAGTAGTAGTAGTAGCAGCTTGAAAACAGCACCTTTCTCTTTTAGTTTCCCCTTCTTGCATTCAGAAAAAAAAATAAAGATTTAGATTTCATCTTTCACGGCTTCCGTTCTAGAAAAAAATGTATACGTGGTAGGACTGGGCTGTTACTAGTTCCGGTTGCGATAACTAGAGCCGTGGCGATGTGTTTCTCGATGCCAAACTGCAATGGGAAACCATTGCAGGCTCTCCAAAGTTGAATTCACTTCTCATCTCATTGGTAAATTTCACTGTGAATGCTTCCTGCTGGCCAAGTTTGTGTGGCATTTGCATTCACATTCACGTGAGGTCGGAACTGGCCCTTTACTAACTTTGTCTCGTTACTTTTCGCCTTTCGTCCAAGGATGAATTTGTCAGGATTCTGATTTTAGGATTTTGTAGAGAATCCTGTTTCAATGCTGGACTGGAATTTCTGAGGTTTTATTATTTAGGTTTTTTTCCTCTCAATGTAATGTCAAATAACGGTGGTGCTATATAGCGCTTTAAATCTAAGGTTTCAAAGCGTTTTGCAATTATTGTCCCTATTCATCAGGAATGATACCATTTTTCTGCGGCAGCTTCAGATCAGTGCAGTCAGGTCTCTTCCTTCACAGCTACCCATTTATACTCCTGGGTGGAGAGAGGCAATCGAAGTAAAGCGTCTTGCCCAAGAACACAAGCATCGTGTTCCTCGGCAGGGTTCGAACTTACGTACCACGGCACGTGAGTCGAACACCATTACCATTGGACCACAGCGCCTCCCTAACATGAAAGAAATGGGTATTTTGAAGGGGTATACCTTTAGGGAATTGACCCTACATTGCTGTGGGGGCTGAGCAATCTTCAAACCCCGTGCTGGTTAATTATTTCGTATATATTAATTCTCCCACTCTCACAACCTGTCGGTCTGAATGGAATCATTTCTTTGCTTCTCAAGGGTTGTCAAAAAGCACTGATCAAGCAACTGGGAGATTCCATCTACTACATCGTTGCAGGATGCATTGCTTCCGGTGTATGCCAGGTATGTTATTAGGGCCCCCGTCTCAATTCATATCTGGGACGAGTTCCGAACAACTTCCGGGCATTGTGTGGTATAAGTTGCAGGATTCTGAACCAAAGTTAGTCCTGCAATCATTTGACAATGAAGTTGTAAATATTGATGAGACAAGCAGTTGTTGACGAAATTTAACAGAAACATGTCCGGGACCAGTGTAGAGCTTCTATTGGAGACTAAGTGAATGACTCTACCCAAAGCGTGTCCGGAACTCGTCCTGGATATGACTTGAGACTGGCCCTTGACACCCATCTCGTTCAATATCTGGGATTGGGCTTTGCCGTGCCTGTCTTTACGGGGGAGACAGCTTTGCAGCCTTGCAAATCAACTTGTGAACATGTACCAGAGTTGTATACGAGTTGCTGATTTTTGTGACTCGAGTCGAGTCATTTTAAAGAAGTGACGCGAGCCGAGTCGAGTCATTAGGTCAACAAGGTCGAGTCAAGTCGGGCCGAGTCACAGTATGTAGTCGTATCGAGTCGAGTCGAGTCAAATATTTAGCTCGATTAAATTCGAGTCACGAATATTTGAAGACTACAATAACAAATAAAGACAAGAGATTAAGTCATTTGTATCACTAACAGTTAAAAAAGAAGTGAAACTTCGGTCTTACAGGCTCTTATCTGGTTTGACTTCAGATCTAGAATTTTTTCCGCTGATAACTGACAGCATCACAACCAAATTGCATTAAACCAAACTGTTTCTGATTATTTAAAAGTGGGCATGTTTATATTTAATTGTTAAAAGGATGGCATAAATTTAGACGGCGTTCGAATCCAAGAGCTTAATAAGAAACCACACGTTGTTTGTTTGTACAAGCGGCCGCTGTACCGTACTGTATTCGCAAAGTGACGTGAACATAATGTGTGCAAATATTTTTCGCAAAGTTTTGCTTTTATTTTTGGGACTCGTGTATGTCTTATTAGCCTTCGCTCGAGTCGAGTCGATTTTTCTGATGAGGGACTCGAGTCGAGTCATTGGCTCGCAGTGACTTGAGTCGAGTCGAGTCATTTACCCTTAGGGACTCGAGTCGAGGCGAGTCATCAAAAATTGTGACTCGCGTCGGACTCGAGTCGAGTCATTGACTTGAGTCATTACAACTCTGACATGCACAGCCAGGGTACTTTTTCCTTTTATCCCTCTTCTGTAGAATGTCCCTTGTCGGGTACGGTCAGACCAAGACTGACTTGTGGGGTACCATTCTTCCCTTGGTAATAATAATATTACCAGAGTCTTATATAGCGCACGTATCTACCAACAATTAGGCACTCAAGGCACTGGAAATTATGTCTATTATTAAAGGCACCCCGGCCACAAGTGTATACTGGAAATCGTGTCCTTGTGGAGTAATGTCTTTGTTCTCGTGTACTAAAGTTTTATTATTGAAAGTATGGCATGAGCCCCTCCCTCCCCCCAGGACAACAAAGAATCTGTTGTTATCCCTCTGTCTGTCTGTCTGTCCTTGGCGTGTATTTGATAGCAGTATTTTTCTTTGTTTTTTTCAATATCCACAGATCTTGGGAATGGTGTTTACTATGATGCTGTACTATGACATCAAGCGTGAAACCAGAAGCTATGGTGAATGGGCATAGCCCCAATAATTATGCCAAAGGATTGTGCATGAAAAGCATGAAACTTCACATGTTAGTTCTTCATGCCCAAAAGAACATTTTCAGATATGGAGGCATTTCATATTTGACCTCTGGTGACCTTTGAGAGGTCAATGGCTTTTACATACTCTATTCATGACTTTTGTTCTTCAAAACTTCACTTTCCTATGACCCAAGTCTATCTCATAGGTCTTCATACCATGAAAATAATTATCAGATGTGGAGACAATTCATCTTTGACCTCCGGTGACCTTTGAGTGGTCATGACCATTGTAATTAAACCTCCTTATGGCTATTTGTAAGATTGATTCTTTAAACCCCATCATTTTTTTCACGATTCATGTCTTAATTAAAGGTGTTCATGTCTTAATTAAAGGTGTTCATGCTATAAAAAGATTTTTCACATATAGGCCATTTCATATTCAACCTCTGGTGACCTTACGAGAGGTCATGACCTTTGTAAAACCATAGTCTACCTATGGATATTAATAAGATCTACACAATTGCAAATGCCACTTTTTTGTATGAAGACTTCATCACATGCCAAGTTTCATGCTTTTATCACAAAATGCACAGTTTTGTATAAAACATTGTTAATCACCCTGAAATATCATAAGGAATTTTGAAAATTTACATTTTTTTTCTGAAATATATAATACCTACTGAAAGTACTAAGCTGTTAAAGAGTACTATTAAGCAAAATTATTTAGCAAATTTACTTAGCAGGTTTTGACCGGAGTGGAGCGCTGTGTGGCCTCGTGGTTAAGGGCACTGGATTCGTGGCCTGTGGATAAAGCTGCAGGTTGTGGGTTCGAGTCCAGCCCGGGGTCATGGTGCGTGTGCCCTTGGACAAGGCACTTTGTCACTCATTGCTTCTCTCCACCCAGGAGTAAAATGGTACCTGTGAGGGCAGAGATGGTTATATTGTGATTGAATAAGCTTGCTTGCGCTTAACAGGCAGCATCGAGTTGTATACTCCCCAGGGAACTGAGATGGTATTTGGAATGTTTATTTGGCCCAGTGATCAGGGGTAATAATAATACTGTAAGCGCTGTGATTTAGTTTACTAATAAAAGCGTTCTTAAGTGCCGATTATTATTATTATTATTAGTCCTTCTTAGCATGCAAGCAGTATAGTATTGTGGCTGCTAACCGGATAAGCCAAAGTCTCTCTTACCTTACAAATTTGTCTAATGAGCAGCTGTGAGTACTATACAGGGTGACGGAGACAGGATGATCTGGACCCAAATTAAAGACAATGTTAAAAATGTGTAGCAAGTATCAAAACAAGTGAAAATAAGATATGTTATATGCTGGTATTTTGGACATGTTTGGTGAAAGTTTCAACAACTTTACTGAAATCGCGTTCTGATGTGAAGCAGTGTAATAACAAATAAAAACCTAGTCATGGTAGCTGACTCACTTGAAGTTATCGACACATTAAAAAAAAAGGCAAAACCAATTCCGTGTGCAGACTGGGAAATGAGCCACTTCGATAAAAATGGCATAACTCCTCACCACAGCCACTAATTTGATAAATTCTAATTTCCTGTGAAAGACAAGGTAATAACCATTAATATGAGTCACTCAGATTTTTCTCAATATACTCTATTTGCCACACACACAAAAATTGTGAAATTGGGTCCAGATCATTCGGACTCCCCTGTACTAACTTTGATGTCATGTCTGATTAGCCGCTGCACCAAGTTTTGCCACATTTTTATTTTCAAAGTGAAAAGAATGCCTTGAAAAGAACTCTTTCTTGTACAGATTTGTATTATATTCCTGAAAGTACCATTAGGGATACACCTTATAGTTATTTTTTCGATAATAGGGAGACACCGGTCATTACCCCAATTTAGAGGCAAACTTTAGCAAAATTGTGCCGTCGCAATTAGGTTATATTTGTTGCTCGTGGTCTAATTAGTAAAAATACCGAAATTGGTGGAAAAAGGACAAGGGAATATTGGGTTAGGGCACATTTAAGTTGGAAAAAAATTGTGCACAAGTCTATTGGAAAGTGAAAGTCTCCCTAATGACCCATTCCCGGTTATTATATTCTTTGTTATTATAACCCGATCTTGGATGTTTAAACATTTTCAAGGATAATAAACATTTTGCCCAATTCCGTTTTCAAAATCACTCTGATGATTAAGCATCGTTTAAATCATTCCTTTTTGTGTAAATGTTGTCTCATGTGCATGCCATACTCTGCTAGACTCCCACACCAGTCGCTTTGGTTTAGCACTATCGTCTGTTGATGATAGAAACGTACTGAATGCACGAGCACTGTAAAGTCTTGGAAGGAGTCTATGCAATTTATGGATACTACTTACATGTATACACGAGGTGAAACTCGAGTGAAAAATGTATGAATCTGAAAATGATACATTTATTGATCTTTATTATCCTGAAAAACTGACAAAATTGACAATTACTGATTGAGAATACTCTTTTCCTCCTTTTTACGAAAAAAAATATTCATTTTTATCATTGGAATTTGATTGTCTTATATAAAACACGTTCACATTTTCATAAAAGCCGATTCATAGACGTACCTTGTTTATTGGAATTGTACTGGTTTAGTGGTTTTTGCTTTCTGTAACTTTGTTGTATTTTGAAAACGAATTGTCCACAAGTTTGCACAATATGTCTTGGGCTGAAATTTTGAAATTAAACATTGTTAGCACAGTACAGTCATGCGATATCTTCATCTCAAGACGTCATGGAAGCTGATGTCAGTGTGGAATATATTTGCATGTATGAATATTAAATTAAAACCAAAACTTTAAAAAGTTGTACTTTTCAGCATAATTGCAGGAGGTTTTCTAGTGTGAATATCACCCCTTGTCAAATGGAGCCGTCTCCAAAACATGACATCGTCTGATATACATTTGGTGAAACTGTTGATTGGTCAATTTGGCTGCCATGTTTTTGTAATACAACAAAGGGTTACGGAAAACCGGATAGAAGGCGCCCGCTGAAAGGTCAGAATCTCGAGGTCAAGACGCAGTCTTGTTTTGCATAATTCATCACCGAATCTGCTCGCATATCATAAACCCTTGCTGTGTAAGAGGATATTCCATAGGGTAGATATTTTCCTCAACGAAAATGTACTTTGGATTGTTGAATTGAAGCAGCTTGTTGACAAACCGATAAGCAGTGAATGTTGGGTTGTATAGAATAATGATAAAATAGTCGGTAGATTTACTTGCTAGGAATAAATTGTGAGGTTACGGAAGACGGATATAAGTGCCAGTCGATAAGGGATGAATGCATTTGGCGGCCGCCACTTAATATCTTGCGTCAGCCACTTAATATCTCGCGGTCGCCACTTCATATATGGTGGCCGCCACTTATTTATCTTGCGGCTGCCACTTAATATCTGGCGTCAGCCACTTAAAATCTCGTGGTCGCCACTTAATATATGGCGGCCGCCACTTCAATATCTGGCGGCAGTTGTGGACGCCAGGAGATTCAGTCCGCCAGACAACTTCGCCTGGCTCTTGTCTAAGATATTGTGTCTCCCGCGTCAGTTTATCCTAGGCTACTTTTGTCTGCCTTGCAGAACGGAGATTTATATACCCACGTAATTATGATGAATGTAATGAATCACTCAATCAATTTGTTAAGCTCATTGTATTAGAAATAATATACAGAATATTTAATTTATTGTTAATAAGGTAATGTTTCGATTACAAAAACCGAGTACGGCCTATGTAACCTGACGTTGAGCGATTTTTCCAGATGCGGTACAATACCTGACGAGTCACAGTGAGCAAAGAAATCTGCAAATCAGGAACCAGCAGAAAAAAAAGCAAGTAGTTATAATTAATGTCGATTGAAACTGCCCATACGATAGAAAGTATCCTGGATTTAATAATATGAAATTCTGATGAAAAGCTTTACAAAACCTCTCAGTGGGGAAATTGCCAAACCCCGACAGCCATCAAGTACTCCGACTCTGCCCTCATCAGCAAGATAGACATGATTAAAGCAAAATACCTTGCTTGCGGACACAACGATAATCATTCTTTGGCTGAATTTAAATCAATCTTTAGAACTCTTCCATCGAGTCAAACTCCGTCAACAATAGGACTACAGACCCAAGGACTAGGAGGCTTGGAAGATGCCGACAATTCCCCCAACCCCGATGGATAACCATGTTCCGATTGTGCTGGTCCAGGACGGCCAGCCTGATGTCCTTTTTGTACTGTTATCACCTACTCACTGATCTTCACTTAAATGAAATAAGTTGTAATGCTTGGATAGTGCTTTCCATCGTACCAACAATCTCAAAGCATTATTATTCCCCGTTCATCAGGCCTCGCGGCAGCTGATACTATCATCGCACATTCCGATCTCTAACCTCACAGGGTTATAAACCGTTCATACTCTTGGGTGGAGCGAGGCAATTGGAGTTAAGTTGGTCTTGCCCAAAGGCACAAACACCATGCTCCTGGCAGGGTTCAAACCCATGCACCATCGTACAAGAGTCAAACACCATAACCACTGGATCATGGCATTCACTTGTGAATTTGAATTTGCTGGATCTCTAGGCCTACAGTCAACCTTGAACCTTTCTCACTGACTGATAATTTGTTGAATGGTGCGATGACAATGGTGCGATGACTTATTTTTGACTTTCGTAAAAAAAAAATGATGCTGGACCTGTTAACAAGTGGAAAATTTCACCGAGTACAAGAATTTTGGGACAGTCATTCATAAAAGGCTTCATTTTTTTTCAGGAAGTTAAGTTCTTTTAATGTCCATGATTAAATTTTGCATCTATTCTACCAAAGCTGCACTAAAAATATTAAAGTGGTCCGGAGGAAAAACAGGTAAACGAAATTGTTGAACAAACTATCTCACTTAACTGCAGATTTTAACTCGGGACCCAACTCATTCTCTCCATTCATCTTTACACATACTCCGATCAGGAAGATTTGGTGCTCTCCCCACTCACACAAATTGGTTCAGATATTAATTTTACCTAGTGCCATTCATATTTACAATTCTACTTTTATCAGATAAATATTGTTTGCAATGTTTCAATAAGTCAGATATCTTTTTAAATTTATAACTTAGCACATCGGTACGCATGCAGATTTGAGTTTGTGTTTACAATAGCAGCTTTTTTACATAGATATTTACTTTCTTTTTTCATTTTGAATGATTTTTCCAAAGTAGGGGATTCATACTGTTTTATACTTCTCTTTTCCCCCCGTAACTTTTCGCCTAATGTAAATTCATAAGTGTTTAAATACATGTATACTGTTTTTATGTGCACATTGAGAAGATCATGAATTTCACTACTTAAGTTTTTAATTGTGATAAAACAAAATATTATATTGAATTGAATTGACTTTCTCACTGACTGACTTGACTTTGGGCGAAATTAATTGACTCAGATGACACCCACAACGCCTTAGACCAATTTGGCCTGGGACCAGCTTTACAAGTCCGGATTAGTCTTGCTTCTTGATTCGTAATTGTTCCATGATAAATATTGGCCAAACAAGCTAGCTGGAAATATGCGAATTCAGTACCTCCCCGTCCTTACTCAAACAATGTCCAGGTACACTGTTGTTATGTACCTGCGATGGACCGGCATCCCATCCAGGCCAGGGAGAATAGACACAATCTCAGTCGTTTCGTCATACAAAGGAAACAGGAGATAAACACCGTCCTGATGGGCCATAATTTTCTAGCTCGTGACAGATTTTACTTTACTTTATTAATCAAATTAGGTTTTGCCCTTCACCGACGTATAAACACTGTATACTCAGTGTGTTACCTCCCGAGTGAAAGTTGGGGGAAAATGCGGTTTTTTGGACATCATCTAAGCTTAGCGAGCTATCTGCTGTTCGATGCAAAGTGCCAACTTATTCCAGTCAACTGCACCAGTGGCATCAAAATCATGGAAGACACTAATCTCATCCGGTATCTCTGAAGCATCTCGTAAGATGGGAATAATGACCCGACTGAAGTCCTTGCTCTTTCTTAACTGGAGAGCTTGATGCATGGAATAATCGCACTCGTGATTGAAGTCTTCATTATATATCAATAAAATGCTGGCACTGGATTTCATCAGTTCAATCTCACTCCTGATCCTGAATTTTCCAGCAATAACGTCCCTGTGACGAGTACACCCTTTCAACTTCCGGATTTCTTCCAATTCCACCAGCAGGTCGTATGACACCCAATCTCTCTGGTTCTTGGGATAGACAACGAAAAAGTCATACTCAAAGCTGGAGACCCTTGCTTTCTCAGGTGCTTTCCTAATGGGCTGCTCCTTCAACTCCCCAGAAGGCCTCATGATGGCTATTTTTGCCACGTCTTCAGCCAGAGATGTCATCTCGTGGTCAGCCTCAGCATTTTCGGATTTATTCTCAGGTGCATCAATGGAAGCAGAGGCACCAGCCAAAGTTTCATCAGGAATGATACCTGCGGCGACCTCTGTTTCTTCTTTCATCTGTCCTGCAACAACTCTCTTAGCCGAGTCATCGTGTTCGTCAACTACAGGTCTAGCAGCAGCAGTACCATGACCTTGTGCAACTCCTTGTGTCACGTCACTTGCTCTATGAAAGTAAGTTTTAGTCCAAGGCCCCTGCAGTTTTCCTCCGGTGTCAATAGTTGCTTTTGCAGGTGACACTGGTTCCTCAAACTTAAGTAAGGATGCCAGTTGCTTGAGTTCCTTAAACTTATCACAGTAAGCAGCCAGCTGTTGCAATTCGTCTGCATATTCTGATCTAAACTTACCAATACAAAATGAACGTATGTTTTTCTCGCCGTATTTAAGTACCGCGCTCCTCAGGGAGTAGGCAGTTTCAGCAAAGATGGACCTGTCCTCCGAAGATTTCTCTTCACGAAGAATGGTCAGGTAAACACTCAAGAGTTCATTGAAATTGCCAGTGTAAGTGCTTGTTGGGGGTTCACAGTCTGTTGCTTGCTTGAAGCATCCTATCGCTGAGCGCTTCTCTCCGATCTCAAACAGGCAGCGTCCTCGACTGAGATGTACCGCAATCATCTTATGGCCATCTTGACAATCTCCTGCTTTGGTGAAGTGCAGAAGGGCTTTCTCAATCAGGGACCTGATCTCACTGTCTTGCTCTGTGTGGTTCTTTGCAAGGAGGTAATAGACCTCTCCCAGGCGGGCCAAATCCCACGGGGTGACATGCATGGCCATGGCTTTCTCCAAGTCACTTTTGGCAAGCTGGAGAGCATTCCTAAGAAGACCCATCTTCGAGGCGTCTTGCCCTGCCTGCTTCACGTGATAATTGTAGTATTTGAGGTTGATCATTGCTCTGGTGGTGAACGCGTAGAAATTGAACTCAGTGCTATCCAGACTTATGGACTGCTCCAACAGTTCCAGGGGCTTCTGGTATTCCTTGTTGAGGGAATACAGGAAGTTGGCATAGCGAGCTAGGAGCCTTGCATTGTTGGGGGTGACTTCCATGGCTTTCAGCATGCACTTCTCAGGATCTTTCTTGTACTCCATCAGCTCCTTACGCACTTCTTTAGAAATCTTCCTGATTTTAAACGACCTGAAAATGTCAGCCAAGTGTCGCCAGCTATCCCACTGAAACTCGGGATCACCGGGAATCCGTTGGGTGATTTCATAGAACAAATTTACAGCAATGTCAATGTAGTCTTTTGCAGCATGCTTGTTCTCATAATAGAGACTGTCAAACAGCTTATGCGCGTTGGTGGCCATACATAATTTCCAGTCGTCTTTCTCAGCAGTCTTAACAGCTGTACCGCCAAGGTCCAGTGCCTTCCGGTACAAACCATTAGAATCCATGAATCTCTTTCCTTCGAGAGTGTCGCTATGGATGTCATAGGCATACGCATAAGCCTGTTCGGCCAGGCACCGGGCTTTGTTCAATTTCTGAGATTCAATCAACTCACTTTGATCTTGAGATCGGAGAAGGCGACTCAGCTCATCTTTGCAGTGTTCTGCCTCGGCCAGTCTGAAGAGCTTCTCCAAGACATACTGGAGGTCAGCTAGGGCGTTCAGGTTCTCCGGGTCTTTCTCCAGGACTGCGTGGAAGTAGCCAAGGGCCTCCTCATAGCGGTGAAGTCGGAGGGTCAGGAGACCCTGCAGGTTCAGGATAGCAAACTCCTCCGACCGGCCAGTTCGTACTCGAAGGAAGTGATTCAGATCTCTGACTTTAGTCTCCACCACAGCTTTGTCAATGTTAATGTCCTTGTTGATGGGAAGAGGCAACATGAACAGCCCTGGGGAGACGGTGGTGTCTGAGGATGCCATGTTACTGGTCCTTTCGTAATTTGCCGTTATGCCAGGCTGTTAAAAGAAAAAATCATTCAGACTTAGGAACTGTTTACTAGTTAACTGTTTACAGTGTACGTGGATTTCGTAATTTGCCGTTATGCCAGGCTGTTAAAAGAAAAAATAATTCAGACTTAGGAACTGTTTACTAGTTAACTGTTTACAGTGTACGTGGATTTCAGTTTCATTAAAATATCGAATAGAACAATTAATATTTTCTGACAATGTCTTCAGCTGTCGTCTTTTTAATTTCATGCCACAAATATTAGGATGAAGACGGAATTGACAGGCTAAACAGGGCGAGTCCAAAAAAGCAAACCCAAACCCCAAACAATATATTTCATATTTTAAAAAAAATATGTAGAACCAAAAATAATAATGACTGGAAAGCCAATTTCATAAGCCACTTTTAAATGAAGCAACTGAAGTTGCTCAATCCGTCCAAAGAATATCACCATTTATACGCAATGACCCTAAAACCTGTTTTGTCAAAAAAGCAGTGTATTGTGTATTCTGACTGTAACAACAAAGAAAATAACACAGAATACATGTTTTATAACAACTGTAGTAGTACACACTACCTTTATTAACAACCCAAACAATATGATTTATAAAATCCAATATTTTTAAAAGACGGACCTTCAATGTTGAATATCTGTAACTTTTAAACTGAGGTTTACTGGTGGTGTTTGAAGAAAATTGTGACGACGATTCTTGAAATCACATTTTTGGACGAAAGAGGTTTTAGGGTCATTGTGTTTAAATGGTGATATTCTTTGAACGGATTGAGCAAGTTCAGTATTTTTTTTCATCAAAAAGTAGCTTATTGAATTGGCTTTCCAGTCATTATTATGTTTGGTGCTACATAACCTATTAAATACGAAATATAATTTTGGAGGTTTGGGTTTCGCTTTTTTGACTCACCCTGTAATTGAGTCAATTTCGAAAGTCATTTCAAATACTTGAATTTCTCTCTATTTAGAATTTGAATATTCAGTAAAATACCGGAAGGAGCTGTTCAACGAAAGTAATAACTGCACAAATCTGTTCATAATCATAACAATATGATTTTATCTTCTGCTGTTATCAAGACATCATAAATTTAAGAAACAAATAAAGACAAATAGAAACAACTTTACCGACAAAAGGTTTGTTTATTGTTCTTTCAATCTGTTATTCAAAAATTCAAATAATAACAGTAACTGCATGAATATTCGAATACATGAAATGAATATTCAACACAGCTTCAACTACTTTTGGGGGTTAATTTGGGGGTTAAAATAGCAAAGGTCGATATCACTCTAGCAAGCAAAAAAGGTTTTCCAGACGGTTCGTGTGTCATTGTCAAATGTGAACTGCAGGATCTGTTCATGAAACAAGACGTGGGAAATTTGATTAAAAACAACTGAAATTGATTTAAATCAGTAATTTATATTAAAACAAATGTAAATTAAAGTATAACCAAAACTAAAAGTGTTACCCTGAGAAAACATTTCATGAATTTTTCTTCTCTAGGATTTACCATACCGAGCGATTTTCCTGTAGCTAATGAATAACCAGCGATCTTAAAACTTGATCATTTCAAATTGGACAAAACTGTAATGAAGTATTGTTGGCATCCTGCTGAGGACGACAAAAAGCAAGAATTTAGCATGAAAGAAAGATCATCTAGCCTGCACTCGTTACGTGCAACAGGTTTCTGGCTATATCGATAGAGGGCGCTGTTTCTTATTTTTTTTCTCAGAAAGAATTCTTGGCGATTTTTCCCAGATTTTCTCATTCCTAAGCAACCTGTGGATCGGGGAACAAGGCATTTTCGATAGAGTACTCCATAAGCCACATATCTGAGAGGTTTTATAAAAATATGGTTAACCAGATCGCCCTTATCAAAAACTAAAGCGTTTTAGTCCTCTCATCCCGATGGCGCACCCAGGATTTGGCTTGGGGGGGGGGGGCTCACAATTTTGTTTTCAAACTGTTTTCAGAATTTTTAGTTTTTGAAAAATTTGTAGCCAAAAATGTTTTGCCGCAGAAAAGAAAATTGGGGGGGGGACGGATTTTTTTGACATAAGTACGAGTGCCAATTACATACCACTCGAAAACAGGCCACATAAATTACTACCACGGCCGAATCATGGACCCAACAAATTTAACCCCATCCCCTCCCCCCCCAAAAAAAATAATTTAACAACCTCTTAGTCTTGGGGGAACCTCAAGCCCCCAAGGCGCCCCCCCCCCCCCCCAGTGCGTCACTGTCTCATCACTGTCTCGTCTTGTAACAGGAGCAAATGTGTAGCGTGACACACAAGGCTGTATTGGCTCTCATTTAACATGGGTCTTATTAATGGTGATAAACATATGACACCATGTTAAAGAAAAAAGAGCCATACAGTAATAAAGAGCCATACAGTAATAATGGACGTCTCCATTATGTATGTCCTTCACATTTGAGTCAAAATCTGAAGGGAGTTTGTCCCCCAAAAACATTTATGGTAATTTTCTCTGAGTCACAGGATCCTTTTTTACATGTTCATTTAATTCTTTTGATTTTCCCTGGTTATTAATCAGGTATGTTCCATTTTTAATATCAACTTTAACCAAAGGCCTGATTGTCAATATCCTCAAAATCTACTTTTCCGAACATATGACGAATAATTTCGCTCAAAATAGAGGGGGGGATCAAGTCCAGTGTGTGAGCCATCTAGAAGAACTGAAGATCTAGAACTGAACATGTTTTGGTACTCGAAGATGTCATTTTAAGTTACATTTACATCGTAGCAGGCACGGCCCCGGGGGGATGGGGGAGGGGGATTTATAACAACCCCCCCCCCCCTCTCTGCTCCAATTAGGTTTCCATGGAAATACATTAAAAATAATGTGACTCCCCCCCCCCCCAACCAAAAAATGATATTTGTACACTGTAGTGATATGATCATATGATCGACGGATTAGAACAGCGCCCCTATTGAAAGTATGGTACGAGCCCCCCCCCCCCCCCCCATTGATTTTAAGGAGGCCAGGTGTGACATGTCCCAAGAAAAAACACTGATCTACCTTTTAACATTGATTTCCTGATGAAAACCAACAACGGCCCCCCCCCCCCCAAAAAAAATTCCTGGATACGCCGCTGCGTAGCCCGACTGCATCTGGCCGTACGGTACTATCGCAAGCTCTGTAGTACGGCCAGACACCAAATGCTCCCCTGAACTCTGATCATGTAGCGATTTTCTCATCCAGGACAGACATTTCCAAGGTTCCTAGTTGTAGAGGAACTCATACCTTTTTGAAAAAAATGTTCTTTTATCCCAAAATCTTTATCCATATTGCCAAAAATACGACTTTCAGTCATCAACTCCCACAAATATCGTCCCGAATTGTTCCTCCATGCGATTTCAAAATGGCGGTTGTGTTGTAATTTATGCATTATGCGGGTGCGCTTGGGCAAGATTATGATTATGCATTGCAGTTCATGACGTTTGTCGGTCGCACGGCGCGGCTGGCCATACAAACACGAGGTCATGAACTGAACAATGCATATTCATAACCTTGCCAAAGTGCGCCCGCATAATGCATACATTACAATGCGGCCGCCATTTTGAAATCGCATGGAGGGACATTTTCGGGACGATATTCGTGGAAGATAATGACTGAAAGTCGTCTTTTGGCCAGATGGATGAAGATTTTGGGATAAAAGAATGTTTTTTTTCGAAAAGGTATGAGTTCCTCTACGACTAGTAATGTTAACTTTGGAAAGGTCTGTCCTGGATGAGAAGATAATTTCGATCAAAATCGGTAGCAAAATCGCCACATCCGAGTTGTCTGGCCGTACTACAGAGCTTGCAACAGTACGTACGGCCAGATGCAGTCGGGCTAGCCCTAGCCCCATAAATGTGGCCTATTTACTGGACTGCCTCCGTAAACATAGGCCACACATCCACATGTATAAAAATCGTGTTGACTTTGCCAAATTTTGATTTTCACATTTAGGCTTACTTTGTAGGGTTTTTTTGCTTTAGAAGCATTCTCACCCTCTATATAGGCTAATCAGAAAGTGCTGCCTTTTTCAGATGTCCATTTTTCGTGAAATTTCCAGATACATTTGCACACGTTTGCGTATCAAAATTTCAACATGAAATTTCACAAAAATTAGACATCTGAAAAAGGCAGCACTTTCTGATTAGCCTATATAGAGGGTGAGAATGCGACTAAAGCAAAAAAAACCTACAAAGTAAGCCTAAATGTGAAAATCAAAATTTGGCAAAGTCGACACGTTTTTTGTACATGTGGATGTGTGGCCTATGTTTACGGAGGCAGTCCAGTAAATAGGCCACATTTATGGGGCTAGGCTAGCCCCTGCGTAGCAAGTAGTCAGGTACATATACACCTGTACACGCTGAACCAGTGAATGATAAAATAAATATCACTACAGACTACAAACAACATGGAGGTAGAATAAGTATAGATGTATAAATTATACCTTCACAACCTTACCAGAATCACTGATGCTGTCGATGAGAGTCTACATCAATCCGAAATACTGACACTGACAGTTTTGTGTGTGGATTCCGCGAAACAGAAACGCCCCGATGCCTGTTTATTGCTCACATGGGGAATTCCCACATTGCAGAATGGACAGCGCCCTCTTGGGGTTGAGAAATCGGGTAGAGGGCGCCCTTTTGCACATACGCTGTGTTCCATACTGGGTGTACAAAATGCCAAATGTATTTTGCATGCCTGGATAGCTTAGTTAAGGTATGTCTCAGGGGAATTAAAGTTTCTAGCTATAGGTGCAATTATCAAAAACACTTCGTAGTACACATTGAATCGGGGCGGAGGGGCTGTCCCTCTTTTTTTATGCGCTGCACCGGCGTACTAATTTCTGTATCTGTATCTGTATCCGTTGCTCCAGCTAAACGGTAGAATCCGCATCCCGCTAGAGTTGGGGCGGCTATGCTGGAGCTAGTTAACTTGGGTTTTGGTTCCCTCCCCGATGACGTGGTCTACTAAGGCTTGTTTAAACTGGTTTAAGTCGGGTATGGTGATGATAGTGTTTGGCAGGTCGTTCCAAATGGGGATCGTTGATGGGTAGAAACTGGTGCTATAGAACTTGGATTTAGCGTTGGGTCGGTGGTATGAAAACTGGTGCGAGCTCCTAAGGGTTTTTGTTTTGGGCCTAAGGTCGTGTTTGACTTCAACGAGGTTGTGAGAGATCTTGTACATCATGGTTAGTCTAGCAATGGAGCGACGTGTTTCAAGTAGAGGCCAACCAAGCTGGTTCAACATATCTGTGACACTGGCAAGCCTGGTGAAGTTGTTACAACACATCCTGGCAGCGTATCTCTGGATACCTTCAAGTTGTTTGTTTTCTTCCTCAGTGAAGGTGGCCCAGCCGCAGGCACCATACTCTAGTTTGGGGCGGGCGAGAGACTGGTAAAGTTGGGATTTAACCTTTCTGCTACAGGATTTGAAGTTTCTTCTGATGATGCCAATGGTCTGCCTAGCGTTGTTGGTAATTTTGTTGATGTGAGACGACCAGCTACAGTCAGAACTCAGGATTAGGCCAAGATATGGGTGATTGGTAGTAGTTTGGAGAGGTCTCTGGTTGATTTTGTACGTGCTGATGAGTGGATCCTTTTTGGTGGTGATATGCATGACAAAACATTTGTCTGGATTGAATTTCATTTCCCATTCCCTCTCCCATCTGCACAGAGCATCCAAATCGTTTTGCAGGGATGTAGCGTCAGATGTTTCTTCTACTTCTCTGTAAAGTATGGCGTCATCAGCGAACAGTCTGATTTTCGAAGAAACATATGAAGGGATGTCATTAACGTAGAGGAGAAACATCAGGGGTCCCAAGACAGTGCCCTGCGGGACTCCAGATAAAACTTCAGCTGTTGTAGAACTTTTACCCTCCAGGACGACTTGCTGGGTACGTGTTGTAAGGAAAGTTGAGATCCACTTGTGCACATTACCGGTGATGCCATAGTGCCTCAGTTTGGTGAGAAGCCTCTGATGTGGGACGCGATCGAACGCTTTCGAGAAATCAAGTAATATTGCGTCAACCTGTTTGCCTTTCTCGATTGATTTAGCTATGTCATCAATGGTAATGAGGAGTTGAGTGTCACACCCTCTGCTTTTTCTAAACCCATGTTGGCAGTCTGTCAGGATCTGGTGCTGCTCAATGTGGAACATTATATGACGATGGATGACGTGCTCAAGACATTTACATACCACTGATGTTAGTTATATAGGGCGGTAGTTACTGGGGTCACTTTTACTGCCTTTTTTGAAGACAGGAGACACGTTGGCTGTAGTCCAGTCATCTGGGAGGTCACCAGATTTTAAGGATTGGTTAAACAGCGCTGCTAGTAGTGGTGCCAACTCCACGCTGCATTCCTTAAGGATTTTATTAGGAATGTTATCTGGTCCCGAAGCCTTGGAGGGGTTCAGATCACGAAGAAGTTTCTCGATACCCTCAGCCACGATCTCAAGTGATTCAATGTCTGGAACAGACTGCTGTAGGTTAGGGAGGTTGGATGTGTTTTCCTTGGTGAAAACTGATTTGAAGAAGGAGTTGAGAATGTTTGCCTTCCCAACTTGGTCTGAAACGGTGTCAGTGCCATTCTTCAGTGGATGGACGCCTACATTGTCAGTTCGCTTTGATTTGACATATTTCCAGAACTTTTTTGGGTTATGTTGGAGATCTTCCTCAAGCATACTGGAGATATATTGCTGGTGAGCTCTGTTGAGGTTTCTTTTATACATTTTCCGGGCGCTTCTGAACAGTTTGGAGTCCTCAGCAGAGTTAGTTTTCTTCTGTTTATTATACATACGTTGAAGCTTTCTGCTTTGACGACGGAGCGCAGGAGAAAACCATGGCAAGTTAAATCTCGTTGAGGAGTACTTGGATGGGATGAACTTTTCAGTAAGTGCGTTGAGGGTGTCCCTCAGAAGAATCCAATTTTCATTAACTGTCCTTAGATTCAATTCATGGAGAAAATTTTCACCAAAGTTCTTCAAATCATTACGGAGGTCTTCAAACTTCCCTTTTTTGTACAGGAAGAATTTGCGACGAACTGGTTTGGTAGTTACATCTCCAGCGTTAATCAGAATTTTCACCATGCTGTGATCTCCACAACCAAGAAGCACCCTGGTGGATTCAACGATGGTGGGGTTGTTTGTCATAAACAAGTCAAGAATACTTTCCTTCTGGGTGGGCTCAAGAACAAATTGGTCTAAGTTGAAGGAGTTACAGATGTCAACTAACTTCCTGCACTGAGCAGAAAACTGGGCGCCAACCTTAACCAACCTATCGTCCCAATTGATGTCTTTCAAGTTGAAATCTCCTCCCAGCCAAATGTCACCTTTTCCTTTGGTTAATTGATGGAGCTTTGAGAGAGATGTATCAAGTCTATCAATCGGTTCATGAGAGGAGTCTGGGTTGTAGAAAGCCCCCACGTACACCTTCTTCTTAGGTCCACATTCAACGCGAACCCAGATACATTCAGCGTCAGAATTTAATTCATCCACTAGATGACAGGAGAGGTTTTTGACAGCTATCAAGACACCCCCGTAGCCATCATTACGATCTTTTCTAAAGACAGCGTACTCTGGTGGGAAAAGCTCAGCATCAAGGATCTTTTCATTTAACCAAGTTTCTGTGCCAATAAGAATGTCCGGCGTATGTTCATGTAGGATACCCAAAAGTTCCGAAGCCTTATTTTTCAGACTTTGAAAGTTGATGTTAATGACAGTAAGCTTCTTCGCTCTGGTGGGTTTCTTAGACTTTGTTTTTGCTGTGTCACGTATGGGAGGATTTCTCTTCCTGGTTTTACAAGGCGGTTTGGGGGATGATGCAGCGAGGGGTTGTACATCACTCAAAGACTGGTCTGAGTCAAGTGGAGTAAAGGGATTTTCAGTTTCAAAATCAGTCACGATACTAAATAGCGAACCAGAAAAATTTGGATGACCACACCCATCACAAATCCATGAGGTACTACAATTAGCCAACAAGTTGTAAGTTTTACTACTCATGTTGATGCAAGCGGCATGATTCCATTTTTCACACTCTTCACATTGGATACCCTTCTCTGGATAATAGCCTACTTCCTCTCCACAAACACCACACGGTGCAGGGGGGTCATCAAGCGAAGAGTTGGATGGAGGGCCTGGGTTTAGGTTGACATCATTTCCAAGTCCGATCAACAAAACATGGGTCCAGGATAGGCCATGAGAGTTTTTCAGAGTTTTGATAAATTGTCTACGAGGCAGTAACGCAGTTGCAAAATAACTGGTGCTTGTTGTGCCAATATCGGGATCACATTCTGTCAGCCTTGTGTCTACGGTTGTACTTACAGTTTTGCAGATCCCATCACTAATACGTGCGAGAGTAAGCAGGAATCCAATCACAAAATAAGTAATGGTGAACTCCATGGTGGTTTAATCCAAGTCAAAAGCTGCAGAAGCGGTAGTAGGAAGTCCAAGTACAAACTTCGATGTCGGTCTATAAATTGCACAGTGTTTTTTAAAATGGCCGACTTCAAGATTCACTGTTTACACAGTTTACACAGTTGACTAAAAATGACGAGATTTGACGAAAATTCACACGAACGACGAACAATAAACCAATAAGCAGATCTTAAAAACATCAAAAGCGATAAAAGTGGGTTAAAAGACCTGGATGGCCAAAGGAAACGCCTAAAATCAAGGATAAAAAAGCTAAAAATCTCCCGCGAAATAAAAGTCGTCTAGCTCCGACACAGCGCCCTCTCTATGATTTGGCCCTATATTATCTAGAACTTTAATTAAACAATCGTCCAACTGGCCTGAGATTCAGTTCCTCTTTACATTTGTACAATGCAACAATCTAGAATGTCCATCTGTGCCAAGAATATTCCTAGTAAATCTAACGGAAGCGGTTTTGGAGCCTACTCATTAATCCAGCAACCAAATTAAGGCCCATACCACTTGAAGCCCTTATATCGACGGGGATTCGGGAAGCCTTCACACAGTGCTTGTCGCCAGAAATTGTTGTGTCCTTTGGGGTAACTTTACAACTCACGTACATACTTTGATAACTTGGAACCAAAATGGACAATTTAAATTAGTAGTTCGTTTTGTTATTCAAGGTAGCGCGCGCAAGCATTGGCACGACGCACACGCGCGCGCGCGGTTGCTATAATTCATCGGATCAGTGCGCGACATCGCGTATAGCTGCAATTCAAAACAATTCAAAATATGATTCAGCAACTTTTGATTTAAAATTGAGATCCTAGAATGCTGTTTTGCTCGGAATATATAGCTGAAGCTTAGCTGAAACTTCATCAGGTTTAGTTGTTCAGTATCCTTCATTAGATTTTGAACACTTTTGTTGTTTCAAACGAACAAAATGCACAAATTACAAATGATGGACTACATCTTTAAGTGCAAGAATCATTCGAATCACTTTTAAGTTCCGGATTTTTAAACACAACCACTCTTTTAACGTTCTGTCCAAGGATCACAATAACGTTGATAACTCAAAACTATCACTTGAACAAGAGAAAGAAAGTACTGGAACTTTCCAAACAAACGCGCGCGCACGCTTGCGCATTGACAAACTTTTACATTAATAGTCTGCTAGTCTTAGTTCAAGTCCATACACAACACTGTGGAAAATATCTTTAGGGAGCAGTGGCGTATCCAGCGGGAAGGGTTGTGGGGGGGGGGGTAAAGCAGGTGAAGGCTTTCCTCATTTCGGTGATATTTAGCATTTTGTAGGAAATGAAAGCATCAGCACTTCAAAACAGATTGTAGTATAGGTTTTTCCGCCCATTTTAAAACTGTTTTCATTCAAATTTATAAACGGTTAACTTTACTTTCGTCTCGAGAACTTTCGCGCAAATGCTACAATTAGTCGTTGGTCATTTCAATTGATCAATGGTCAATCAATTTCAACATTTTGTCCTTTCGAAGTCGTTAAAAATTTCAATGGAATTCGTCTCACCTGATGACCATCTACATTGAATCTGTCTTTGTTCAATCGATTTCAAGAAATTTTAAATTAAATTCATCAAACAAAATAATACGCACGCTGGTGTGCCATGCACAGACGTATTTACAAGTTGCCCGTGTTTTATTCAACATTCCAGCATTGCAGACGGAACAATTTGGCGTGATAACTGAGCCATTAATTATGAAAATAACAAATTAACTTCCTGATGATAATTGGTCGATTAAACATGTTACCAAACAAAAGTAGTACAATTAATTGAAATTTGAAATTCCTGTAATATACATTTAGCGCAATAAATACACATCGGTAAAGATGATAATACTGAAATAGCGTATTATTCTCTTTAGCCTAATGCCAATATTATTTTTTAGTGTCCACTACTATCGTATCCTGATTCGGTATGTAGTTAATACAATGTAATAAAATGAAATTCTAAGATTCATAAATACCTTAGATTATTTACCCGTCCATATTGGTCGAGAGCCCGTCACGTGGGTGGTGTTGAAGGTAGAGTAAATCATTTGTAGCTATCCAGAAAGTAACTGACGAAATTATTGTTCAAAAGCTCACTTTGTTTAAAGATAGTATTGGCAATAAACTCCCTGCTAAATTATAAGCCTAGACATGGCAAAAGATGTGTTTCTCAAAACATGGAGTACAATAAATTGTTGAATAAACTCGTTGGGAATTTGTGAATTTTGTACTTGTTTTGACTCGGACCGAAAGGTATTGATGAATGGGAATAAATAGGTGCCTAGCCGCAGTATTGACCTATCGCGGTAGAATCGCGTCTACGCAGTTTGTGAAAAATTGTCTTATCACATGATATACAAAATGGACGCGGAACGGGCAATGTCTGAGACAAACAAAACTTAACACTACCAAAATTTCCTATGGTTGTCTAGGGGCGATATGTTAATTAGAGGTAATTAGAGGTAATACGGCCTGGAATGCGCCAAATTGGGCTATAAAACGCGTTTTAAAGGAAATGATATTAAATTCTATATACATTTAATAGACATCAATGGTATTACGCACCACACACACACACACACACCCACACCCTCAAATTTGTATCCTTGTGGAGACATTCCTTTGTTCTCGTGTAGTAAAGTGTTCAATTTTGAAAGTGAAGTTTCAAAATGCTCTTATTTTAACCAGAATTAGTTTCCTTGGCTGAAATTTGGACTTAATATCCCGTTTCTAAAACTCTTTCATTTGCGACGGATCAACCCACCTTGGAAATTCCTATTTTTTGAGTAAAACCCAAATATTTATTTCGTGAAAACCTTGTGGAGACCTATTCATCTATAGAAATTGCCCTGTGGAGACCTTTACAATGTTTTGTTCCCTATTGTGTGTGTGTCTCCACAAGGATACGAATTTGCAGTCACACCCCCACACACACACACACACACAGACTTACGTTACATACCTTGTGTGGACATTGCTTTGTTTTCGTGTAGTTAAGAAAACTCGGTACAAAAAATAACTTTACTTAAACTGTGAAAACTCTTTTTAACCCTATTTTTTTTCTATGATTCCATATAGTGTTTCTCTTCATTCTGTTACAGATAAACCTAACCCAAAAATGTCTCTAAACCTGTTTTCCAGAAAGGGCAAAACCTTATGTGGACACGGCTTAGTCCACATAAGGTTAACACAACCTGCATTATGTGGACCTCTTTTGTTCACAAGTCCACATAGGGTATGTAACACAAACTCACCCACACACACAACGTGAAGCGTATATTGAAGTTACATGACTTAAAATACATAAGGGTACGCCACAGAAGGTCCGTGGCGTCCGATGAAACAACCAGGTATTTCGTCTTTTCACGGGGAACGGTAGGACATTAGGTTTCTTTCCTTTCAACAAGATCTTAGATTTAGTATAAGTAAACAATCCAAATCATGAAGTTTTCGGGGATTTCAAACCGTAATCCTCTTTAAACAAGAACGTTTAAATGCGGCTTGGGGCTTGGTCACCGATAACGGTCATTGCATTTGGTTCAGGCAATTTTTTTTTAGCGTCCAGGCCCCTTTTTTAAAGGGAATATACATCATTTGCTTTTGCTGTAAGTTTTCAGAAATGGATGGAATTGGGCAAGGGCGGATCCAGAACACAATTTTGGGGGGGGGGGCAAAAAAAATTGTGGTCCCCCAAAAAAGTGGGTCTAAAAATTACGGTGTGGGGTTCGGGGCCCGCTTAAGGGCCCCGAAAAAATGTTGGATTCTAGATGCTCTGTGATGCGATCTGAGGAAATTTCTGACCACTTTAACCAATGTTTTTTTGAGGAAAAGATGGTGGTGTACTCATTGCCTGCCTTTATTGCGATGTCACATAAAAAAAAAAAAAAATTGGTCTCGGTTTTTTTTTTTGGGGGGGGGGGCCATGGCCCCCTTTGCCCCCCCCCCCCCCCCCCGATCCGCCCTTGGAATTGGGGGGTTGGAAATATAAAGCAAATTAAGTTACACTGACTTTTTGAGGTTTTGGGTTCGAAAATGCTATAAAAACCAAGAAAACAATCATTTTCCTGTAGTCTGGTTCCCTGACTCCATATAAGAAGTAACAGTGCAGTTTACATACATTGGGAAATTGTAAGGTCAGGGAACCAGTCTAGCTTGCTTGTACCCGTTCATAGGTGTGTAATCGATTGCAAACAAGTGCGATGGTCAATTGGGGCCAGTATTTGAAAAAAACAGTTTTTTCCAACGCTGTTCGGCCGACCAGCGTTGGAAATTGATACAAAAATACCACTTTTCTTAAAAATGACAGTACATGTATACCAGGTGCCATGATTTTACAGGATGCTTTACACTGTCATTCACTAACAGTCCAGCAAGGTATTTCAAAATGATTTGGTAATTTTTTATTATGATGTTTGCAAATGTTGTATTTTCCCTTTAAAGCCGGTCGAGCACATACATGTGTGTTTGTTCTTAATCGGACCCTATTTACCAGGGGTCTATTTAAGTTCGCCCCGTGCATCTCTTTCTAAGCATCGATAATACCTGAGAATGAGAAGAGGAAACATCGGAAGGAATTGCATGGAGCCTATGAAAACAAACGCTGTGGTGTAACTGCCTGTGGTGTCGAACAGCCAACCTGAAATGTGCACAAAACACATAGGTGAGATGACAACAGATATTGCAATAAACTACGGTAAACAGACTACAATGTAGGCCTATATACAGAGCAGTAAATAGGCCCAAAATTGCCTACGGTGACTATTCATCACCATTGGATGCCCTCAGTTTTTTTCTAGATTCGGAGAGTTTTGTGACCCTTGCAAGTGAGGGTTTGTGAGGGTTCAAGTTCTGAACTACATATACAGTGCTGTAGTCGAGTCCACCCCATCCGAGTCCGAGTCCTTGGTATCCGAGTCCGAGTCCTTGGTATCCGAGTCCGAGTCTGAATCCGAGTCCTTGGTATCCGAGTCCGAGTCCTTGGTATCCTAGTCCGAGTCATTGGTATCCGAGTCCGAGTGCTTGTCTCCGAGTTCGAGTCCAAGTCCTTGGTATCCGAGTCCGAGTCCTTGGTATCCAAGTCCGAGTCTGAGTCCGAGTCCTTGGCATCCGAATCCGATTCTGAGTCCGAGTTCTCGGTATCCAAGTCCGAGTCCGAGTCCTTGGTGTCCGAGTCTGCGTCCGAGTCCTTGGTATCTGAGTCCGAGTCTGAGTCCGAGTCCTTGGTATCCGAGTCCGAGTCCTTGGTATCCGAGTCCGAGTCTTGGTATCCGAGTCCGAGTCCTTGGTATCCGAGCCCCAGTCCTTGGTATCCGAGTCCGAGTCCGAGTCCTTGGTATCCGAGTCCGAGTCCTTGTCTCCGAGTCCGAGTCATTTTATGAATCTCAAGCAGTGTTCTTATCGACAACTATTATGCTATCCCAATACGGAGAGTACTATGAGTGATATGGTGGTATATATCCAATTATATAGGGTGAGTAAAATTTAATTGCTAATTGTTTTTCACTTGGCTTGTAGGGGCCTTCACCTTGAGATGTACCGGTACCAAAATTATTTCACTTTAATAACCATTAATAAAAAGGTAAGTGTTCTTTCAGCAAAACGAAAACAAATCACATAGGGATGTGTGTGTGAATTGTTTTAGTTTTGCCGAAAGATGGCACAACGTTTTTGGTTTTTGTGATCCGTGGACAGAACTTTAAAACGGTGGTTGTGTTTAAAATTCGGTAACTTAAAATGTACATGACCGATTTAAATAATTCTTGTACTAAAAGAATGAATTGGGCCTTCATATCGTAGATTTTGAAAGTGCTACATGCAGATCTTCAATAAAATTAATAGTCCCGACATTTGGGTGTGACGTCAGCTGTCATTGCTCAGGTCCACTCTGGTTCGCGCTGATGTCTTCACGACCAAAACAATGGCCGAGATAAACTTGAAAGAATGAATTTTCGAAGGAATATATTGAGATGGGAGAGTAATGAAAGCCGAAACAGAAGACAGGCCAGGAAAGAAAACAGATGCTAAGGGGATTTCGGAAAATGTCTAGATGAAAAGAAAATTTACGAGAAATGAAAATAAGAGCGACATACTAGTAGCTTACCAGGTAAATAGCCCAGAGAGAACTGCAAGATGGCCCCTGCAAAAGCTGTCCAACCAAACGCTCCGACCAGTAAATCCACACCGAGTACCTGCTTACTGAGAACGTCCTGAAGACAGCAGAGGGCGCCAGAGCTTGTCACGATCAGGAGTGATGACGTCATCATTGGCCAATATGACGTCAGCCAGGGAGTTGCGCAGTATGACGCCGAACAAATCGCGACAGCGATGGCCGTCAGATGAAAACTTGACATCACCCCTCGGTCAAGAAAGAATCCCTGAACCAGTTTTGCTATTAAACCTCCAACGCCGCCAACTGTTACAAATGTTGCCGCCTCCTGTAAGGAAAAGCCATTTGACTTCGCTTGTGAAACGAAGTAAATGAGCCACATGTGGAAAGCAAACTTTGAGCAGCAGGCTATGATGGCCACCGACCAGTAACGGAAATCAGAGAGAAGTCGAATATCGAAGATCTCCAACAGGTTCTTATAAAATGAGGTACAGCGAGAGGGAAGTTGACTTGGATGTTCTGATATTCCATCGTTTGCTGAAAGCTTTTGGTATCTGCTTGCTGAAGGTGCTCCTGCTCGCATCATGAGGGCGCCACACACCACAAGATGCATAGAGATGGCACCCACCAGTAGCATGGCTCCTCTCCATCCATACGTATCGATGAATACCTGGATAATCGGTGCACACACAAACAGCCCGATGGAATCACCTGTGCGTGCAATGCCAGTGGCCGTGGCGTAGTTCGTGGCGAAGCAGCGGGCGATGGCCTCTTTTATAAGCACACTGGAAATCCCGAATCCCGTACCTGATGTGTGAAGAAAACAAAAGTGTGAAGAGAAATCAGAGACAAAGATCACTGCGATTGTGCGCCAGCTTCGCATGCACCCTCGTTTTCATGAGTATGATAACCGCTCGCTCCTCAGGAGATTCAGGTTTTGTTTACAGATGAACAAGGGTCAGCACCAGCGCACAGGAGAGTTAGGGTGCACTTTATAGTTAAACCTTTGAACACATAATAAACGATTTTGTTGCAACAGTTTACAAACAATTTAACACGTTTAAGGAAAGAGACGCAGTTGACGTATGCTTAACATGTTACATTTTGAGTCGGTTTTATTGTGCAGACGGTAACTGAAATTTGGACATTGGAAACCCATTTTTAAACGTTCCAAGTACATTGTAAACGCCTCTCGAACGGCGCTGTTCAGAAAGGAAGCGTTTATTTACTAAACAAAACGTTTATTGTGCCCAACCAGCACCGTTCACGAGACATACTACGGGTATGTCATTTGCTTACCCAGGAGTAGAATGAATACACAAGCTAGGTGAGCAGGCGAGTTGGCAAACGACGCCATGATGACCGAACCACCAATCATTGCACCACACGTCATGATGACGTAGCCGGGACGGAACCATCTACCCATCAGCCTCGAGGTAATTGTTGTAGAGGAGGAGATTAGTTTGTTGGTGGAGACGGGTTGGTCTATGTATGGGTGAGTTGGAATTGTGATTAAACAGAATACATGGTATTTTACGTGTGCACATTGTCTTTATAAGCTTTTTTATAGCCGTTGGTGATTGTTGTCGACATTAAAACACGGATCCTACCATAGAGCTAGGACCCAAGGAGTTCGAACTCCAAGACTTCAAAAGTAAAAGGTTGGTCGCCGCGCTCAAAAGCAACAATAAAAAGCACCTGGACCCAGCTTGCTCAGTTGCTCACGACGCTAATCTCTACACAATAGAGATCCGCGCTCACTAATGTTAGAAGAAAGAGTTTACATTGCTTTGTAGACAATACCATGGCACTATGCATGCGCAGTTGTTACGCATCACCCAAAAAAAAAAGATTTTGAAGTGTTTGTTCACAGTTGGATAATACTGTATACAATGTATATCAATATGATCAACATGACTGAAACAATTATTTCATGACCAACAAAATGCTCTTTATACCTTTAGGCCAAAAAAAAAAGTCTCCGGTTTCTGGTATGCGCGCGCGTCGCCGTAGCCATGCGCGTCGGCAAAATGAAAAAAGTTTTTTTTCAATAAAAGATGATGTCTCAAAACCGCCAAACTCACTGGTTTGACTGGAATCCTGCTGCTGCACAATTTTAACGTGTTTTTAGATGGGGTTGTGATCGAGAATAAGCTTTATGTGGCCTCTCTGGTCTCTCATAATATTTGCACTAAGTTTAGTCGGGCACCATTTGCAGTCATCAGCCGATATTTGAAGCAAAAAAAACAGGTAAAAAAAAAAAAAAGCCGCGTCGCCGCACCACTTTTTGGGCAAGCTCCATACCAGAAACCGGAGACTTTTTTTTGGCCTGAGTATGAAAACGTGTGAAATTTCCCAAAAACTCACATTCCGTAAATGATTAATTGCGAATTAAAATATCCGAAAAGACACGACAACTTATCTGAAAAAAACCCCCAATTTATCTTCAAATTACAGGGACAGGTAGCGCCTTCAAGGACCAACAACTGCACATCGGTTGAATTCATAACTCGCATCTAACAACTGCGCAGTTGTTAAAACCTATCTTGTCGTAAAATATATTTCTCAAAAAGGAGCAGCGACGTGACATGACTTATTATGCAGCACATATAGGGAGGTTGTTGGTTACCAACTGAAAAGGCTGCGACGACCAATGTTTTCAAAGGCCGTTTGCAGTCATGCAATGAATGGTCGAGGCTTGCGGTCACAGTGCTTTAGCTATGGACATTGGTCACAATGTGAATCGCCGAAGAGTTCTGACTCCTTGGGTCCTAGCTTTATAATCCTACACACAAAAATTAACGACTCGGCCAAACTCCTAGACTCAGCCAAACGTTAGACGCGTGATAACGGCCCGTACAGGTGGAAGAGGGGCCGTATCATTAAGTCTGACGCCTCATAGCTCCGACGCCTCATAGCTCCAACGCTTCATAAGACCGAAATTTCGGAATATGAGGCGGCGGACTTATGAGTCATGAATTCCACCCCATAGGTCCGACTCCTTACGAGTCCGACGCCTCATAACTCCGACAATGGACAAACGCTGTTTCGGACTGAGGCGTCGGACCTATGAGCGGACCCCGTGGGAAATACTACGAATACCGTACCTCTCGACAAAGACCCCTGCGCGCGGCGGCTTTCAGATTTGCAGGGCCCTGCCTCCGATCTGGTGTCAAAGTCTGTCAAGCCAGCTACTTATATTCGTGAATATTCATGAGTCTACGTTTTTGGTCTTTATTACTGAATTATGATAAGTGATAACTACATAACCATGTTAACGCGAGCACAATATCTTTAGCTATAAAATGAACTATGAAAATAATGTCGCTTTTGTTTCATCGGTTCGGGACCACATCTCTCTAAAACTTTTTAATGAAAGCCTAATTAAATACATAATTTGAGTAAACGGTGTTTCCTTGAATTTTGACGTTTATTTCCCGGGTAAATACTTCATCTATGACGACAAAAACTACACAATACCATCTGTTACATCCTCAAGTATATATATATATTTTTTAAATTTGGAACAATTATATCTTACATATATAAGGAATAGTTTTGATTACAGTTTTATGAATACATGTATTTCCATTTTAGATGTCATGCAAAAAAACCGACAATAATGGTACACCTGGAAAATTCGCGATTGCAAGCCAACGGGTATTAGTGCCCATATCACGCGTCTAGCCAATTAAGGCAAGTCCGCTCAGTGCATTTTGTACTGGAGCTCAGAACAGTCGTTTATTCTTGTGTGTCTAGGATCCGTGATTAGTACTAGCACTCCGGGCCAGGAATCTTCTGTTCCCAAACTACATTCATTGTACATGGTTGTTTAGCGTCCTCTTCAATACTTTTATGATACGTATACACAGGTATATATATATATATTTCCAGGATTTGTCGAGCAGTGCGATATCTCAGTTGGTAGCGTCGTCATTTTGTACCGCCAGGGATCCTCGCCGTGTGGGTACGAGTCACCGTTTTGTACCTTTTTTTTTTTTTCTAATCTGAGGCTCTGTGTGATTTTTTTAAGGGAAATAAAGTCCGAATTTCATTACGTTCGAAATCATTTCTTTTTTTCTAATTTTATATTTTCTTCTCATGTCTTTAGAGAAGTAAAGTCCAAAACGCCATAGCGTACACCCAATGTGGATGTCGTTCAGGGGAAAAATCGCCTCGGGCCTTGCGACTGAGCGCCCCTACATCACTTCATCTGATTCACAAAGTTAAACCGTCGTTTACGTTTGGTCTGTTGCTGCCAGCTTAAGCATGTGGTCAGACTCTGCGGGTCATTCACCTAATTCTTCCCTTTGATAGTAGGGAAGAACAGGAATTAAGTCTTAGAGATTCTTAAAATTCAGCTACTTCATGACGGAGGCTGCCGAGGATGAACATTCCCCACTTTTTTGTTTAGGTTTTTTTTTAATTGTTTAAACAGAAGAGCTATTCACTATTGAATGAGACATCGAACAACTAAAACGGGCCCACGTTGATCTTATGTACAATTACTTGGTGTACCTAACCGGCAATTCAGCGTTCCATTATTGTTCACTGGCCATACAGCCATTCCACAGGTCTGAGTAAAACTGCACACAAGGATCCTGCACACAAGGATTTACGACTCGGCCAAACTCCTGGTCAGACGCGTGATAACGGCCCGTACTGGTGGCAAATACCATCATAAATACTAGTCAAATCTGAACGGCTCTGTACCCGATCTGGTGTCGATATCTGTCAAGCCAGCTAATCATAGTTTTGAATATTAATTGATCCTACACGTTTGGCCTTTATTATTGAATTTTGATAAGTGATAACAACATAACCATGTTAATCCCGAGCATGAAAGCCTCATTAAAAACGAGATTTCTGTCTTGAAACGGTGTCCTCCTCGGAAAAGGTGTCACATTTGACGTTTATTTCCCGGGTAAATGCTTCATCTATGACGACAAAACTGCACAATACCATCTGTTATATCTTGAAGTATTTATTTATTTTGTGTGGTTTTGCTCATAGTTTGATGAATATTTCCGTTTAAGAAAAAAAGTCGGTCTCTGGTCAGACCGAAGTTCCGGAATTGATTCGGCGACGCGGGCTTCTTTTTTTTTGGTGGCTTTTTTCAACCTTGAGTTGTTCAGACAAGATGGGTACTATTTTGCTTTTTTTGTGTCCTCATTATACATTGGTGTCCTCCATAATTTGCCTTGGTGCCCTTTATCATTTGCCTTGGTGCAATTTCCCCATTCCTTGGTGCTCCTTGGTACAAAAATTTTAAACATGATTAAAATCGACGCGCGCACTGGCCAAAGACCGAGTATTTATTTACAATGTACTTATTTATTTATTTTTGGCCTTATCACGCGTCCAGCCAATTAAGGCAAGTACGCTCAGTGCAGCGTGTACTAGAGCTCAGAACAGTGGTTCATCCTTGTGTGTGTAGGATCCGTGTACCAAGGGGGAAGCTGTTTTCCTTCACCCATGCATAAACGGGGTAATGTCGGGAAACAGTTTGTTTGCATCTGACGCTGCACAGATGTTTTGCCTTTGCTATATGCCTTTACTTATTTCCGGCAGTAAATAAAGCTAACGATGTTTGAGAGTTTTGAGACTTGCGCGGCGAAATCAGGTCCCACGCCAGTTTCAGATCTGAGCGTATCCGTATATGAAGCGCCTTTTTAAAAAGTGCACATGAACTACTGGAATGAAGACAAGCGCACCAACGACTCGAATTTTTTTGTGGACCAAAAATGTTGTAAATGTACCTCGAAATTCATTCGCACGATAATTACAGAGAAACCGTCAAAACCGTCTCTTTAGGTAGGAATTAAGTGAACGAATATTTTACATTTTGAACGATCTTTTCAATCTGTGATTGTTTTGGAAGAACTTACGAGTTCCAGAGCCCAAAATGGTACATTCCGAACAAAAGTTGAAATTTAAACTTACCAAATAATCCAGTGGCAGTGCCTATGAAGGACGTTACCCAGCCCAAGATCCACGTGGTGGTATCAAACTGGTCTTGTAACAAGGGAAGCGTCATGCTGATGACTTTGATGACTGCAGACCAGATGAAAGCTCTGGTCCACATAGCCAGCACAGCAAACCATCCAGCACGGGCATCAGATCCACTTGCATCCGATCCAGCCATGGCTCAGCTGATCTGCATACCATGAAATAGATATACAAAAATGTGCATGATTTCTAACAAGGGTTTGCTGTGGTGTTTAAACCTTTGATTCTTAAGGGGGTGTGAGTGGCTGACACGTCAGAGTGAACTCAGAGAAGGAAAGATTTTATTTCAAGACACTCCAAAAAGTCGGACCCAGCACCCGGGTTTGTTTGTGACTTGATACTTTTCAGGGTCAAGATGACACTTCTCTAGATCATTTTGACAGGTGTATTTTGACCCGGAAACCTATAGGAAAAAGTGTCATTTTGCATTTTGACCCAGAAAAAGTCATTTTGACCCTGAAAAGAATCAGGTGAAATCTGATCCTTGACCTTTTAGACTGTACCCCTTTTTTAATAGACCTTATTCGTTGCAGGTATCTCGGAGGGTGTTCTTCATTGTTTTAATTTAGTAACAATGAATGCACAGAATTTACTCGTGACAGTCAAAGCGCAAGAAAACCATTGATTTCTAACTCCTCCTTTACGCATACGTTCAGTAATGAGGAGAGGGAAAATCCGAGAGAACAGGAAACTCTCCTTTCGACTCCTTTGGCACAACTAGAGCAATTTTTTGGGTAGGCAAAAATCTTGCGAAAATGAATTAGAGAATAGGTCGTAAGCTTTTACAGGGCGAGTCAAAACAAAAACGGAACCCAAACCCCAAAAGAATATTTAAAAAAACTATGTACCTCCAAAAATAATGGTGACTGGAAAGCCAATTTCATAAACTACTTTTAGACGAAAACACTACTGCATTTGCTCTATCCGTTTAAAGCACAAGTATATCACCATTTAGACGCAAAGACCCTAAAACTTCTTTCGTCCAAAACTGCGATTTCAAGAATCGTCGTCACAATTGTCTTCAAACATCACCAGCGATAAAACCTCAGTTGAGTAGTTAAAAATATTCAACAAAGTCCTTTTGAAGGCAAGTCTTTTAAAAGAAGTTGACTTAATAAATCATATATTGTTTGCCTAAGCAGGGTTGTTAATAAAGATATTGTGTACTACAGTTGTTGACAGTTGTTGAAACAAGTACTCTGTTTCATTTTCTTTGTTGTTCCAAACAGTCAGAACACACAATAAATTGGTTTTTTTTTACGAAACAGGTTTTAAGGTCTATGCGTTTAAATGGTGATATTCTTGAACAGATTGCGCAGTTTCTGTATTTTTTTTCATCTAGTTCATCAAATTGGCTTTCCAGTCATTATTATTTTGGTGATATATATTTTTTTGAATGTGACATATTTTTTTTACCCACCCTGTAAAAGTGTATACACTTTGCATGAGTCTATACCTTTTCTAACTTAGAAGTTTGCTGTCCTGGTTTTTTTGCAACAACATAAAGGCCTTCACGATTACGTTAACTTGAACGCAGATTGCGCCATTTGTTGATCATTCTGTGAATAATACAATTGTGTACAAAGGGTAGAGGGTTGACGTATTTCTCTGATCACTACGATCGGTTCCTGGCCTCATAACGTGGGATATCAAAGTTATCTTCTAAACGGAAAGTTTCAAAGAAAGTTTGCGAATGAATTTGATTTTGGGGGATCACGTCTTGTCACCATGGAATTCGAAACGAGTCATCCTATTTGGCTGGTGCAATACTAAGGACCCAATCTTTGTTTTGCGGAAATTAGGCCATGGGGAATTCTGGTGGACCCAGTGGGTATAATGGCCTGACTTTACTTTGCACGCTTGTTGTTGTACACTGAAGTTTATCAATCTAGATATTTTGTGAAACTGTTAGATAGTACATTGTATATACTGTGGCAAGTTGGCTGTGCACCAGACTGGGACCTTGTGTGCTGAAAAACATGAAAAACAAAATCAGGCCAGCTTTACTCACTCTATTTCACCATCCAAATTTGAAGTCTAAATTCGATTTTCAAAGGAGACTTTCCTTAAATACATTTTGCACCTGAGAGGAAAGTCAAGTTGAGGCCAAAGACTAGACTGGTACATGTCAAACCATGGTCCAACTGTTTGAAAAGACTGACCTCTTCATTGGTGTGGTGGTTGATTAGGCCAAAAAAAAGTCTCCGGTTTCTGGTATGGAGCTTCCCCAAAAAGTGGTGCGGCGACGCGGCTTTTTTTTACCTGTTTTTTTTTTTTTTGCTTCAAATGTCGGCTGATGACTGCAAATGGTGCCCGACTAAACTTAGTGCAAATATATGGGAGTCCAGAGAGGCCACATAAAGCTATTCTCGATCACAACCCCATCTAAAAACACGTTAAAGTTGTGCAGCAGCAGGATTCCAGTCAAACCAGTGAGTTTGGCGGTTTTGAGACATCATCTTTCATTGAATAAAAAAAACCTTTCTCATTTTGCCGACGCGCATGGCTACGGCGACGCGCACGCATACCAGAAACCGGAGACTTTTTGGCCGTACGGAGAAATGTGTAGAAATAGAGATCAGTACCAGACATGCTAGATGTTTCTTTTGGCACAGTTGATAGATGCAGTGCCGAAGGGTTGTTGGACTGGTTGTTTCAGATGCCGGTCTATTTTCTTGTATTGCATGTTTTCAATACCTTAAGTTTTGGGACTCGCATACACAGTATTGAGAGTCCCAAATTTTCGGAATAGCTGTGCATAAACACCTACCTTTCTCGGCAACGGATGACTGTCCGCTTGGTGTTCAAGATGACATGTGAAGATGTGCTTCACTTTACCTTCTCGATCGTTCTATTGTCCCAAAGCTTTTAGATAACAGCAATTGTGTTCAATTGTTAAAGCATAGGTGCACTTTCTTAGCGAGCATTGCAAAGAATCAGTCAACCACAGCGTGGTCATTAACATGGATGCTTCTGTAGCTACTTCACACAATAAGCCCACATCGCTTATATTATCGACGTGAATTTAGAGGCAGAATCCGTCGGGAAGGGGCCCGCGCGGGGTTGCAGGGCAGGTGAAGGCTTTTCCCCCGGTGACGTTATAGCCTTCTTTTGAGGAAATGAAAGAACCAGCACTTCACAACCGATTGTAGTAGCGTTAACCTTTCCTGCGGCTTTTAACCATTTTTTACGAATAAAATCCAAAATAGGGCAAATTTTTCCCAGAAAAATTACCCACCCTTTGCCCCCGACCTAAAACTTTGCCATCGAGCAAAGTTTATGCTTCTCGCCTCGAAATTTATAATTTGTCAAATATAGTCGTGGTGACTTACCATAACATTGAGGTGATACTGCAATCTTTCCAAATCTAGAACAAATATATTTGTCCAATTTCCTTAAAAGGTTTTTTTTTATTTTGGACAATAGTGAACCTTGATGTTAACAGAAATCTGACTACAGTAAACCAGGTTTTTTCCCCCAATGGAAATTCGCCTTTACAAAATCACCACAGTTATTACAGTGCAGTAAAAGTTGGAGGTTGTTTTCTAATGGGTCTTATCTTTACTTGGTCCCACTCCCATGTCTGAACCAATGCTGATAGCGAGGGACTAGGAACCAGTCTGCTCATCATTGCGAGGATATTCATAGTATGTTTAATACATTTTTGTTACATGTTACACAAATTTATAACAAAAACTGTCCTTTACACAAGGTAAAATGCCGTTATGATAAACTTAAATCCCCGTGGCTAAACTGACGGTATTTACCATTCAATTAGGCGTAAGAATTATTTGTATTGAAAAGTCAGGAAGAAACCTACTTCGCACAACAAATCTGTCTATACCTGCTACAAAAATAAACTTAACTCTCTTATTAAATTATCACAGAAAAATTATCTCCATAAAAAAATTCAATGAAGTAAAAAGCAATATTAAAGGTACTTTGAATGTTATTAATTCTCTTCTAAATAAGCGCAAGCAAAATGCTAACCCCTCCTTTTTTTAACCAAGATGGTACTAATCTTGATAGTAACATGGAGATTGCTGAGGCATTTAATAATTATTTTGCAATGTTGGCAATAACCTTGCTAGCAAACTTCCATCATGTAACACTTCTTTTCCTTCATATCTAAAGACCCCGTGTTCGAACTAAGTCTTTTTGTTACCTGTTACCCCAGCAGAGATTGTGGATAATCTTAACAAACTTCCTTCTGGCAAGGCCGCCGGATTTGATGGCTTAAGTTGTTTTATTATTAAACAAGCACGGTATTCTATAGCGAAGCCTTTGGCTGACATGTTTAATAAGTGCTTGACAGCTAGAGTATTTCCTGATAGCACAGGTTACACCAATCCACAAAAAGGTTGTAAGCAAGACATTGGTAATTATGGACCAATATCGGTATTGTCCATATTCTCCAAATTATTTGAAAAGTTAATTTGCACAAGATTAATATCTTTTATGAACAAGCACTGATGATATCGTGTCCGATGCACAATTTGGTTTTAGACAAAAAGGGTCAACCGATCTGGCGACATCCTATGTTCTTAGTAAAATATTTCTAGACTTGTCAATAGCTTTTGATACAGTCAATCATGATATTTTAATAAGTAAGTTGGAACACTACGGTGTGCGTGGAACCGCACTGACTTATTTAAAAGTTATTTGAGAAATAGAAAGCAGTTCGTGTCATACAATTCTGTAAATTCTCCCTATCGAGATCTTACTTGTGGAGGGTTCTGTATTAGGCCCAATACTTGTTATCATTTATATTAATGATATCATTAACACCTCTGACATTATTTCATTTTTTTTTAATTTTTCGATGATACTAGTTTATAATATACTCATAAAAATGTTGATACTGCTTTTAGAAAACTTAATGTTGAATTGAAAATAATTAGTACGTGGCTCTTAGCTAACAAACCTCGCATTAATTTGTTGAAATCGAACTATTATGATTTGTTGTGCGCATCAGTATAAATACACCCAATCTGTTCCCTTAATTTTAAACGATTCCAATCTAAGTCAAGTAAAAAGTACTTAATTCTTGGGCATAACTATTGATGAGAATCTTGCTTGGAAAAAAACACATTGATGATATAGCGACAAAAATATCAAAAAAAATTGGCAAAATGAATCGTTTAAAAATATTACCTCCCCAGTAGAATATTACTAACTTTGTACAATTCTTTTGTTTTGCCATATCTAAATTATTCAATTTTGACTTGGGATGGTTCACCATCCAAATGCAACAAACTGCTCATGTTACAGAAGCGAGCGGTCCGATTAATATCTCATGCTGGTTATCGTGATCATACCCTTCCTTTATTTGCGAATTTGAGACTCTTACAATGCAATGACCAAATTTATGTATAAGTTTACAAACAATACATTACCCACTGGCGGATCCAGCGGGGGGCGCAGGGGGCGCACGCCCCCCCCCCCCCCGGCAAATATTTTAGAATGTATACTACCGGTGAAAAACGGACGGTGATCCGACGGGCCACGCGTTTTGAGTTTGAGGAATAACAATCCGTCGGTTACACCACGAACCGACGTATCACATTTTGTTTGTGTTTCGAGAAAAACGGATTTAAAGTTGGTCATTATTTTATAGGCTCATTCCATATACTCCTTGTGTAAGAATTCAAGCTGTTTCGTTTATGCTAGTAAATTATAGATTAAACTTTATTGTATGCAATCCGTGTGCATCTGAGTTGCTAAGTTTTTGAGAAATTCAGCTCCAAAGTTATTCGCCACTTCGTGAAACAGATTTTTATCATTTTTATCGTATGTCATACAACGCGCTTATAGTGGCCGTTTGCCAGATACGGAGATACGTCGGTTCGTGAAACGCTAAATTCCAATTTTTCATGTCGACGCTCCTTTGTGACGTCATAGCATTATGGGAATTAGCGTGTAAAGCGGCGTATCGGGATACGCCACTTCGTGGTGCAGCATTTTTCTTTTTCTTTTTAGAGATACGCCGCACAGATTGTGAAGTGAAGCATGACAGCGTGACGTGGCACGATCCTGCTCTCCCTCAAAATATTGTAAAATTTATTTAATCGGCCGGAAGTGCCCACTGCCCACTATCAAGGTGACAACAGTCCATCAGCTAGCAATACATCCCTGACCATGGCTGACAGTCAACCTGCCAAGAAAACAGGACGAAGACGCCGGAAACCGAGTTCTTCGAGACCACCATCGCCGTGTGCGAGCGATAGCGAACAAGATGGCGGCAGTGGTATGTGTTCCTGCGTGCAGTGGTAACCTACCGGCTATTGAGGACAAGCTCGAGAAGATCTTAGCGTCCATTACTAATGTAGAGCAACGACTTACCTCACTGGAGCTGAAATATCATGATGTTAACACCCAGGTCATGTCCAACAAGTCAGATATTGCTGACTTAAAGTCATCGGTGACACTTGTCAATGACATGTACGAAAACACCAAAAACTGGACAAAAAGATCGAATAAAACCTCTGTATAAAATTCGTAATGATTTATGTATAAACTACTCTGAAACAGAATCCTGTTTTATAGAGCTTGTTAATTCCCATAAACCAAATGTTATCATTGGAGTTGTCTATAAACCCCCGTGTCTATCATGTAATAATTTTATAGATCAGTTTGATGAAATATTAAGTCGTTTAAATACTGAAAACAAAAAATGTTATATTATGGGTGATTACAACATAAATTTAATGCAGTGTGCTATCGATAATACTGTACACAATTTTATGAATATTCTTGATTCTCAGTCATTCTATCCCACCATAAACAAACCGACTAGGATTACTATTGATAGTGCAACTTTAATTGATAATATCCTAACAAATGATTATTTGAACCATACTTCAGGTGTTCTGATAACTGACATCAGTGACCATCTTCCGGTATTTTTAATTATTGATAACTTTAGAGAAAGTGCTCAGGCTAATACAAATTATAAAAGGCGAGTTTTTGGTAACGATAATATTGAAAATTTTACTCATGATCTGAATGAGACTGATTGGGATTGTATAATGTCATCGATCGAATGATATCCATTGTATGTATAATAACTTCTTGGCTCACGTTAAACAACTCTATGACAGACATTTTCCTGTGGTTGAAGTTAAGTATCGTTATGATAAATCAAAGTCACCGTGGATGTCTGATGGTATCTACAACTTTATTAGGAGGAAAAACCACTTGTGTACAAGAAGTTTCTTAAAAACCGTACTTCACAGAACAAATCTAATTATACTTTGTATAAAAATAAACTTAACTCTGTTATAAAATCATCAAAGAAAAATTATTTAAGCAAAAAATGTAATCAACAAAAAAATAACATTAAAGGTACTTGGAAACTTATAAATTCACTACTCAATAGGCGTAAACAAAAAATGAACCCTACGTATTTCTGTACTGATAGTAACAAAATCACTGATAGCAAAGAAATTGCTGATGCCTTTAACACGTATTTTGTTGACATAGGAAGCAAACTTGCCAGTGAGCTACCATTATGTAATACTCCCATTGAGGCATTCCTAAGTGAAAGGTGTTCGAATTCACTCTTTTTGACTCCCATTACGCAAGAAGAGATTGTGGACACTCTGAACAAAATTCCTCCAGGAAAGGCCCCTGGATTTGATGAATTAAACTCTCTTGTTATTAAACAGGCCAAGTATTCATTGGCTAAACCGTTGGCTTATGTCTTCAACAAATCCCTTACAGCTGGACTTTTTCCTGATGGGTTAAAAATAGCTCAGGTTATACCGATATATAAAAAAGGCTCGAAACATGATATTGGAAACTATAGACCCATTTCTGTTTTATCAACATTTTCGAAACTATTTGAAAAGTTAATATATACACGATTAATATCTTTTATATATAAACATGACATTCTCTCGGAATCACAGTTTGATTTAGACGTAATCGCTCTACTGATTTAGCGACATCTTATGTAGTTAACAAATTGTGTAATGATATAGATGACAAACATTTTTCTATTGGCATCTTTTTGGATTTATCGAAAGCATTTGATACAGTTAACCATGATATCTTGATTCGTAAATTAGAACATTATGGTATCCGAGGAATAGCCTTAGACTTGTTTAAAAGTTATTTATGTGACAGATCCCAGTATGTCTTGTATAATTCTGTAAAATCTACAGAACAGCCTATAACTTTCGGTGTACCACAGGGCTCTGTATTGGGTCCCTTATTGTTTATCTTGTACATTAATGACATCTGCAACACTTCAGATATTATTACATTTTGCTTATTTGCAGATGACACAAGTTTATTATATACTGACAAAAATGTAGACTTAGCGGTACAGAATCTTAATCTTGAGCTCCGAAAAATTACCACTTGGCTTTTAGCCAATAAATTATGTATAAATGTTCTCAAATCAAATTATATAATATTTTGTGCTAGCCAGTACAAGTACACTCAGTCTGTTCCTATAATTTTAAATGATACTCATCTTGATCAGTTAAGGGTACCAAATTTTTGGGAATACATAATATTGATGAGAACTTAACTTGGAAGAATCATATAGACGTTATAACAGCTAAAATATCAAAAAATATTGGTATAATGAACCGTCTAAAATATTTTTTACCTAGTAGCATATTACTAACCTTGTACAACTCATTTGTTTTACCGTATTTAAATTACTCAATTTTGACTTGGGGTAGTCCAACTCCTAAATGCAACAAACTGCTTACTCTACAGAAACGTGCAGTTCGAGTAATTTTTAAAACTGGCTATTGTGAACACTCTGGGCCTCTATTTGCAAATTTAAAATTGTTAAAATTCATTGACCTGTATCATCTTAACTTAGGAAAATTTATGTATAAATATATGAATCGTGCATTACCTGCTTGTTTTCACCCCTGTTTTACACTTACTTCAAACATTCATTCCTATAATACCCGCAGTACTACTAGGCAAAATCTGTATGTTAATTATTGTAGAACGACATTGTCCAAAAACAGTGTTGTCCGACGTGGCACTCTATATTGGAATAGTCTGGATAACACTTTTAAATCATCACCCACTCTCTCTATTTTTGCTAGAAAACTAAAAAAATCAATTGTTAATTGCATACTAAAACAATGTAATAGGGATAACAACGGCCTTGATTACTGTCTTACACCGGTGTTTGTGCTCTGTCTTTCCATGTATGTCTGTCACTTGTCTGTCTGTCCATAGGCTGGGGAACAAAAGCTTATGCTTCATCCCGGACCTAGATGCTGCCATTTAGTTAATGTGCACTATTGTAAATATATATATATATGTACATGTATTGCCAATTTGAATATATAACATTATGTATCGTCCTTTATGCAGCATCGAAATAAATGTACATTGTATGTATCTATATAAACAATACCGCCAATGTAAGCAATACACGCCAATGTAAGTAAAGAACGTCAATATAAACAACACACGCCAATGTAAGTAATGTACACCAGTGTAAACAGTACACGCCAGCGCAAGTAATGTACACCACGCAAGCATACAACCCGTTCAGCTAGCCTTGTACTTGATTACGCTTTACCCATGTAAGCTAGCATATCGTACAGTCATTGATCTCCATTAGTAATGTTGTTTCCCATCATGCCTTGCGCGATCGTAACCCCTGGAATTGTGTAATTTAAATGTGCCAAAATACGGTACATTATAATTAGGGCTGTAGTTTATCCGTTTTACGTGCCGACGCCATCTTTAAAATGTTAAAAGTTGTGATTTTGAAGAATCAATCCTTTCAAACACAACGTTTGGACGTTGTATTAATTAGCAAAGATTTGTATTAAATGTACGTACACCTTTCGTGCCTTTACAACCACAGATACAGGGGTTTTTTTAGCGAAAAACGCGGCTGACATAATCCATATCGTACATGCAACGCGAATTTTGTATCCTAATTTTTTTTTTCGTACGTGACGTTACGTGCAAAGCACGCGAGCGCATTATGGGGGCGCCCGGCTTGCAATCTTCGAAATGCGCGCGCAGTACGCTGTGAGTAGCCATTCGAGCGTCATTTACGTCATCATCACAGCCAGGTTGGTGTAAGGAACGAGCACGCGCCCCTGGAGTCGACGTTTGGACGTTGTGTTAATTAGCGCTGTACAGAATGATAATTTTTAGAGCAGATTTTTTTCCCATGCTAAACAGAGACATGAAATATGGTACCGATTAAAACAATCAGTTTTACTTTCTTCTCTTAACCTCCAATACTTTTTGTTTAGTTCAGAGATAAGTATTCGGGTAGAATTCTATGCAGCCAATATACTCCAGATTTGTATTACATTTTGCAAGCTACCCGTGTTTTATTCAACATTCCAGCATTGCAGACGGAACAATTTGGTATGATAACTGAGCCATTAATTAAGAAAATAACAAACTTCCTGATGATAATTTGTTGGTTGAAAATGTTACCAAACAAGTGAAGTAACACTATCTGTAATTCAAAATTCCTTTAACATATACATTTCGTGCAACAAATGCACATCGGTAAAGATGATCAAACTGAAAGGCGTCTATCATCTTTAGCCTAATGCCAATATTATTTGGTTCGGTATTAAATTAATTTAATGCAATGCAATAATAATAAACCATTTGCAGCTGTATCCAGAAAGTAACTGACGAAATGTATTCCCTTAGCAAAAACAAATACAACATTTACTTGGGGCTTCATGTTAACTCCTCCTGTGCGTCTCTTTCAAAACATCGATAATACCTGAGAATGAGAAGAGGAAACATCGGAAGGAATTGCAAGGAGCCTATGAAAACAAACGCTGTGGTGTAACTGCCTGTGGTGTCGAACAGCCAACCTGAAATGTGCACAAAACACACAGGTGAGATGACAACAGAATGTTGAAATAAACTTCGATAAGCAAATTACCTTGTACGTTTTTATGGTTGCACAGCAGTAAATAGGCCTAAAATTATCTACGCCGACCAAATCACCATTGGTGCCTTCAGTTTTCTGTCTCAATACTGTGACGTGTGGTGCCAGCTCTCCTGCGTCAGGCTGGTTTGGTTGGTAGCGTGCCGTCCCGATGGTATCCTATCCCTGCAGTGGTGGGCCACAGCACCAGGCTATTCCCTCTTCTGGGTTGGTTGGATCAGCCAGTAGACTGGTAGTCAGGGCAATGGAATGGGAGAATGAAAGTGGGAACTGGGAATCGGAATGTGGAGTCGGAAGTGGGTGGAGTCGGAATGTCGGCGGAGTCGGAATGTCAGCGGAGTCGGAATGTGAGTGGAGTCGGAATGTCGGCGGAGTCGGAATGTGGGTGGAGTAGGAATTGGGTGGAATAGGCGGAGTCGGAATGTGGGTGGAGCAACTTATCTACCTTGGGACTTTGCCCTAGACTTAGTCCTAAGTAGACCCTATACCCTAAGACAGACTAGTAATTGGTGAACAGAAACAGTAATCAAGTACGATGGTCATGCCTTTAATCATCATCATCCGTCATGTCATTCCGCATAATCAATTATTCTAATCATAAGAGAATCAAGCAATCAACTGACTAAATCCTAGCCCTGCAGCTCCTTTTATAGACTTTGAGCCCCATAAGCTAGTGCACAACTTCTCTTTGCCATACAACAGTGCATAAACTCAATTGACCAATCAGAAACAAGGATTCCTTATATGCAAAGTGTGGGTGACTCACAGTGTGCTAGTGTATTTAAAACATACAGTTGGTGACTTAATTCCTATTCCGTCACATGGCCCCCCTCCCAAAGTTTTCAGTCCCTGAAAACTACAAGAGCTTTTAATAAAACAACTCAGATGAAATAACTAAGACAAAAATATTTTACATGAAAATTAAGTTTGGTAAATCTTTAGCACATTCCAATACTTCTCGGAAACATTTACTTTGAAAAACAACAACTTGGTGGTTCAAAACTTAGCTTTAAAACTTGACTTACAAATATCTCAGATCTGAACAAAATCGTATAAACTTTAATTTCTTCAGAAAACATTCCTCAATGTTATTTTTATAGAGATTTAGGAGTTTAGGTGGAAGTTCTTGTCATCCTTTCCTGATGGCAGGCTACATCGTTCCAACAGATTGTGTTGCCGTATTCCCTGTTGATGTCCTCTTCACCCTCTGAGGTGTTTAGCTGGCCCTGGTTACCTGGACACTGGACCGGTCCTCCTGGCGTAGCACTCTGTGGAACTTCCCCCCTTTTCGTGGAAGTACTTCTTCCACTTTCGGAGGTTGACGTCGGAGCAGCTTGCCTCTGAGGAGGAGCCGAGCGGCTTGCAGCTCAATTACAGGCGTGATGTGGACGGTCTACTGGACTTTTGGCTGGTCTTGGCCATTGTGCTCCCACCCCGGTGGGTTTTTTTCTCGTGCCGATCCCGGGAGTCCCTTCTAGCGAACCGTTCGTCGCATCCACCACAGCGAAATTGGGCCTGTTCCCTGTGGCACTCTCTCAGGTGTCTGACCAGGTTAGATCTTTTGGTCGTGGTCATTCCACACCCTGGCTCTGGGCAGCGGTGCACTTCTTGCCGGGACGGGTCTCGGGGGTCTCGTTGCCTGTCTTTTCCCTTGTCGGCTCCCACCTTGAGCTTGTCTTCTGGCATCTCCCCTCGTACCTGGAATCTCGGTGGAATGCCCTGGTGGAATACTGTTTGAATTCCTGTGGAATGTCTCGGTGGAACATCGGAATATCGGTGGAGGGATGCCGAAGTCTTGGCGGAATGTGGCTGGAATGTTGCTGACTTTCCCCCAGTGGAATGTTGTTGAACCTTCCCTTGGAATGCCACTGGAATGCTGTTGGAGCACCTCACTTTCCACACACGTGGCCTCACCATGATGTTCTCTCTCACCATGCTTGGCGCTTTTGCTACATGTTGCTTGAGTAGTCCATGAGCCTTTCTTCCATGGAACTTCGCATGGCCACAGCTCTCACAACTCGTTGCTGTTGTCCGTACATCCTTCGTCATGCCCGACCAGTAGTAGCGTCGGCGCACTATCTGCAGTGATTTGTAGACGCCGGGGTGACGTGACACTTTACTGTTGTGTAGTTCCTTGAGAACTTTCTCTTGAAATGTGGGCGGTAGGACCATCTGCCATCTGCCGCGTTTTCCATTCTCCAACTTCCATTGACGTGACAACACACCATTCCGGATCCGTAGCTGCCTCTGAGCCCAGTATGTCTTCATAGCTGCCGATTCCTCCGACATGGCTTCCCATACTGGCTCCTCACCATTCTCCATCGCCCGCATCATCGGCCCAATTGAAGAATCCGCCAGCTGTACGTCCCTCAATTCCTGCAGTGTCCACCGTGGAGTTCTTGTCAACGTCCATGCCCCTCTTTCATTTTCTCCAATGGACTCCTTGAGAGTAGCCTTTGTCGTCGCCGTGTCGTGGCTCTGCTCTGGTAGAGACGGCTTCCCCACGACTAGCTGTGTTAGTCCCTTGGGGTTTCCAGTAGCCCATCCTCGGCTCGTAGGAGTTGGACAATTTCTTTTGAAATGTCCCAAGCCCCCGCAATTGTGACAGGTTTCGATGTCCCATGGTTGTCTTCCTCCTCCATCTCTCCGAATCCCAGCATCGTTTACTCCTCCTTCGTTACTCCTCGGAGCTGCGGTCTTGCTGTGCATTGCCTCTGCTAGGCCAGCTATCATTGCCTCCAATGCATTGAGTTGTTCCAACATGCCCTGTGTATGCCGGTTGAACTCCTCTCGAGAGACCGTCTCGACGTATCGATTGGCCCTTGGATTTCTGTCCTGCCTACCACCTTGGCCCCGCTGCCTCTGTCTCTCGGAGTTGATGAACGATTCTGTCTCCAGTGCCGCCCGTATCGCCTCATCTAAGGACTTCGGGTGTGCTCTGAAGATTCCCGCACGCACTTCTGCATCTGGGATGGCATCCATGAAATGCCCTCGGGCGAGTCTTTCCCGCGAATCTCTGGGGAGCTCAGGGTATGCCAATTCCGTCAGCCGTCGGACGCTGTGACCGAGTGCTTGTAGACCTTCGTTGACCCCCCTTGTCCTACTCCTCAGTTCTGACAGGAATCTCTCGGCCTGCTCCCCGGGACCAAATCGTCTTTCCAACCTTGTAGTAAGGTCGTTGTAGCTCAGTGTCTCACCCTGGACCCCGTCTCCAAGCACTTGCTGAGCCTGCCCCTTCAGGCTTGCTGCCAGGAAAAATGCTTTCTCTGCAGAGGTCCACGCGTTGATCGTTGCGCAAGACTCAAAGTGAGCCTTGTAATCCCTCCAGGGAATATCCCCTGAAAACCTGTCTGGAACAAAACTCGGCTTCCGTTGTGCTCGGTGGATCTTCTCATCCCCTGCACCTGTCTTTTTCCCTTGTTCCGCTGTTGGCCCCTCTGGTTTCTTGCTCCCAATTGTCGCTCCCGCCAACCCTTTCTCCAGTCCCTCCACCTTCTTTGGTGAGGAAGCCTTCGGTGGTAGCTGTGGTTGACTCGACTCCATCTTGGTAGCAAAAACTGGACCCCACGTGCTTGACCGCTCACTTGAAACCGGCCGGTACTCGCTTCCGGCTCCCGCTCCGGGCACCTCGAACGGTCTCCCTTGAGCAGAAGCGGTGCTTATGCTTGCTCCGCTTGTAGACTGCCTTGCTGCTGCTGCATACCCTGGGGATGTCCGCAGTCCTGCCGTCATAGTGCTGAAGACTAGTGGCACGTAAGGGCCGAACCCTGGTGGTGCTTGCCATGCTCCACTGACGGTAGTGATTCCTGGTGGTGCGGAAGTTCCAATATTCACACTTCTGGTGGAATATTCCCTTGCTCCCGCTCCGCCCGGGCACCAGTTTTCGATCTTCCCGATCGTCACTGGTAGCCTTGGTGCTTGCTCGACTCTGGCTCCTGATATCTGTAAGTTGCTCACGGGAGTAGAAGTGCTCAGTGGGTTCAACATCGGCGATCCTCCGGCTGGTTCCCCCAGCTCGCCCACCCATCCACGTTGTGGAGTTCTCTGTTGAGACCCCTCAAGATGTGCAGGGTTGATGCTCGCCATCGGTTGCCTTGCCCACTCTTCTCCAACCGTTGTCCATGGTGTCGATCTCCCTAGAAACAGCCCTGGATTCACGGTGGATGTCATTGGAGAGAACTGGAGCTGCGATGCTTCCTGGGCCGGTTGAAGGATGCTGCTTGCTCCGCTCGTCGCCGCACTTCCCACAGCCGCTGGAAATAAGTCACTGCCTTGATACCGGAACTCCACTCCCGAGTCGACTTCTTCCACTCGGTGCCTCCCCGGTGTAAGCACTGCTTGCTCTCTTTGTTCCATTCCGTTGTCTTCTTCCTTCAGCTGCTGAATTCCACTGAAGTTTCTCTCCTGGTGGATCCCACCGCTGCCACCAATGTGACGTGTGGTGCCAGCTCTCCTGCGTCAGGCTGGTTTGGTTGGTAGCGTGCCGTCCCGATGGTATCCTATCCCTGCAGTGGTGGGCCACAGCACCAGGCTATTCCCTCTTCTGGGTTGGTTGGATCAGCCAGTAGACTGGTAGTCAGGGCAATGGAATGGGAGAATGAAAGTGGGAACTGGGAATCGGAATGTGGAGTCGGAAGTGGGTGGAGTCGGAATGTCGGCGGAGTCGGAATGTCAGCGGAGTCGGAATGTGAGTGGAGTCGGAATGTCGGCGGAGTCGGAATGTGGGTGGAGTAGGAATTGGGTGGAATAGGCGGAGTCGGAATGTGGGTGGAGCAACTTATCTACCTTGGGACTTTGCCCTAGACTTAGTCCTAAGTAGACCCTATACCCTAAGACAGACTAGTAATTGGTGAACAGAAACAGTAATCAAGTACGATGGTCATGCCTTTAATCATCATCATCCGTCATGTCATTCCGCATAATCAATTATTCTAATCATAAGAGAATCAAGCAATCAACTGACTAAATCCTAGCCCTGCAGCTCCTTTTATAGACTTTGAGCCCCATAAGCTAGTGCACAACTTCTCTTTGCCATACAACAGTGCATAAACTCAATTGACCAATCAGAAACAAGGATTCCTTATATGCAAAGTGTGGGTGACTCACAGTGTGCTAGTGTATTTAAAACATACAGTTGGTGACTTAATTCCTATTCCGTCACAATACAGAGTTGTGTGGCCCTTGTACTTGAGGGTTTGTGAGGGGGGCAGGCCCAAGGTCTGACCCGAGCTTGGAACTACGATTTCCGGGGCAATTTGGATGATGAACCGGAAGGTTGCTTTATTTTGTTATAGAGTGGATGGATCATTTTCATAATGGAGTTGGACTGCAGGAATGCCTTTTAGGGGTTGTCATCTTAAGAAGGGAAAAACTGACCCCAAAGTCACTTATTAACCCCGCAATAATCGAACTGAAAGTGAAAGAAGGTTAATCAAGCTTTGATTTGATGAATGCCTTGAACACTTTTGGATAGCTGTGAGTGTTTTTCTCGATAATTTTTTTGAAGGAAATTTATTATAGGTGTCTATGGACATTTGTTTACTGGTCTGTGCTCCAATGGTCTCCTAATTTTTTTCTCTAATCGCTAGAATGCAGGAGGAAGTATTGTACATTTCAAACAAATTCGGGGGCATGCCCCGAACCCCTGGCAGGGAGGCACGCCTTAGAGTCAACCCAAATTTATATCACACCACCACCCCACCCGTTTCCTGAAAGGTAGATCCGCCCCTTAATTCGAACGGCCAAAATAGACAAGTGCAGAGAGGGCTGACCGGGAAACTTGGTCGAGATTAAACTGAAAGAAGAATATTTCAATGAATTTACTGAGGAGGGAGAGTTATAGAAGACTGGAAAGGAAAATGCAAAGATGCATGGGGATTTCTACAGACGAAGAGAAAGTTTACGAAAATTCGACAAAAATGCAACGGCGAATCGAACACCCATGCAAAATTTAATAAGAAACAGCATAGCTTACCAGGTAAAAAGCCAAGAGAGAATTCCAAGATGGCCGCAGTAAAATATATCCAACCAAAAGTTCCGACTAGTAAATCCACACCGAGTACCTGCTTACTGAGAACGTCGTGAAGACAGCTGAGGGCGCCAGAGCTTGTCAAGATCAGGAGTGATGACGTCATCATTGGCCAATATGACGTCAGCCAGGGAGTTGCGCAGTACGACACCGAACAAACCGCTACAGCGGTGGCCGTCAGATGGAAACTTGATATCACTCCGCGGTCAAGAAAGAATCCCTGAACCAGTTTTGCTATTAAACCTCCAACGCCTCCAACTGTTACAAATGTTGCCGCCTCTTGTAAGGAAAATCCATTTGACTTCGCTTGTGAAACGAAGTAAATGTGCCACATGTGGAAAGCAAACTTTGAGCAGCAGGCTATGATGGCCACCGACCAGTAACGGAAATCAGAGAGAAGTCGAATATCGAAGATCTCGAACAGGTTCTTATAAAATGAGGTACAGCGAGAGGGAAGTTGACTTGGATGTTTTGATATTCCATCGTCTGCTGGAAGCTTTTGGTATCTGCTTGCTGAAGGTGCTCCTGCTCGCAGCACGAGGGCGCCACACACCACAAGATGCATAGAGATGGCACCCACCAGTAGCATGGCTCCTCTCCATCCATACGTATCGATGAATACCTGGACGATGGGTGCACACACAAACAGCCCGATGGAATCACCTGTACGTGCAATGCCAGTGGCCGTGGCGTAGTTCGTGGTGAAGCGGCGGGCGATGGCCTCTTTTATAAGCACACCAGAAATCCCGAACCCCGTACCTGATGTGCGGAGAGAAACAATTGCTATAAATAGACGACCATGATCATGCGCTCAGCTTAATTCGCAAGTAGCCTAATTTACAGTTCAGTTTTAACAGTTTAATTTTGATAAATATCCTTTTACATTGTAATTCTTAAGTTCTCTTTTGCCTCAGCAGAAGCCGTACAGCTAAATAAAATTCATTGTCATTCATTGTCATTGTCAGTGGCGTAGCAAGGTCACTTTTATTGGGGGCTAGATGTGAAAGCGGCAACTTTCTATGGGTTTGCTGTTCAAACCGGACGACCCTGGGCAATATCGGACAATACGTGGCACTTTTCATGGCGGCACAACTGCCGAAGTTCGCGCGACACTTTAAAAAGTGCGCTCGTGAAAAACGGGCACTCGTGAAAAAAGGGAACTAGTGAAAAAAAGGGAACTCGTGAAAAAGGGGCACTCTTTACAAATTATTTGGGGATAAATACCCCGGCCCATTGCCACCCCCCCCCCGCCCCCTTCGCCCCGCTGGCTACCCCACCGCGGTTGTGATCATGCGCTCTGCTTAATTCACAAGTAGCCAAGCAACAAAGGCAAGCACTCTCATCCCCATGAGTATAAGATTTCTATTCTTCCTCATCGCCCTATCTAAGATCAGTGGCAATTTGAAAGATCTCAGTGGAAGGATTTTGTTTTCAGATGAACAGGGTTCGACACCTCCATTTGCGCATTAGAGGTCAAATTACGTTTTCCCCTTTGGGACGGTTAGGTTTTAGGATGATTGAAGGGTACACTGTAAACTCATACTTTTGAACGCATTATTAACGTTAAAACATTTTAACCTATAGGCAAAAGTTATCGGTTATGATTTGAGTCAATTTCAATATGTAGATATTAGTAGCACAAACAAAGCCTCAAACAGCCGAATTTTAATTCGGACCCTGCTTGTATTAACTGAAATTTGACTCTCTGGAAATTTGGAAAACCAGTTTTAAACGTTCTGTTTTAACGCCTAGTGAACGGCGCTGATCAGGAAGGAAGCGTTTATTTACTTCGTTAAACAAAACGTTCATCAGCAACGTTCACGAGGCGTATTAAGGGCATGTCATTTGCTTACCCGTGAGTAGAATGAACACGCATGCTAGGTGAATAGGCGAGGTGGCAAAAGACGCCATGATGACCGAAACACCAATCATTGTACCACACGTCATGATGACGTAGCCGGGACCGAACCATCTACCCATCAGCCTCGAGGTGATTGCTGCAGAGATGAAGAATGGTTTGGGAAGGGTTGGTCTTTGCATGGGGGTTGGAATCGTTATTAAAGGGCCGATGACATGGATTTTTTTTCATGGGAACATATTAAATGCAACTTTCTGCTCCGGTTCAAGTTCCCATGGGAAATACATGGGAGATTTCTGTATTAAAGGGTTAACTTTTTTTTTTTTTTTTTTTTTTTTTTTTTTTAATTTCAATATGCAACATAAAAACATACAAATACAACAGATTGAGCAAAAACTAAAAAATAAATCAGTACATCAGCAAAAGCCATTTTCTGGAATACTCAAAAACAGACGACAGACAGACAAGACAATACAAAAACAATGGACTGGACAATAGACAATACCACCTAAGTTATCTAAACATTACACAAGCAGATAATATTTGAAAAAAGGTCTTATTGAAAAAGATTAGCCCATTTATTATGTAGTTTATCAAGTGACCCGTTTCTTGTAGCAATGGCTTTCTCTGTTTGAAAATACAAATATACCAAGTTTTTAAAGGCAGTTATCGACAAGAGAGGTAAATCCTGACACTTATTATTAAAGATAAACTTTTTCGCTACAACAATAATAAAAGAGATAAGACATTCCCTTTCCGGCAGTAATCCAAAACAAATATCTCTACAACTTAAAGTCACTGGAGCATGAGAGGTAGAATTAAGCCAAGTAACGATATCTTTCCAGAACAGCTGAATTTTTTCACAATCCCAAAAGAGATGTAGCAAACTCTCACGCTCTTCATTACAAAAGAAGCACGTGTCAGAGTCCTTCTTTTTAATTTTGTAAAGAAAAGAATTTGTCGGGATGAGAAAATGAATAAATTTATATTGAAAATACTGCAGCTTAGAATCTTTGGTAATCCTAAACGGAATTTGATGTACCTCATCCCACTGTGGAGAGAATCCAAGTAAAGTGGTCCACTTCTGCTGGCACTTAATAGGCTCTTGGGCTACAGCTTGGACAATAGAGTTATAAACATACTTGGAAGGCTTATTCTGATTACAAAACTCGTGAATCAACAATAAATTAGACTCAGTTTCATTTGTCAAGTCAAAGCCAACCAGCTGTTTCCAAGCCCTTGGAAGTGCTTTAAGCAGACCATAATACTTGATAAAAGAACACTTAAGATTACTGTACCTCAGCTGAAAATCATGAAAAGTAAAAATATTACCATCTTCTGAACAAAGATCTTTAACTTTTAGAACTCCTTCTTCCATCCAGGAGCGATAAAAAATACATTTATCATTTATTTTAACATTGCTATTGAACCAAATAATCTCCGACAAAAAATGGGTGGAAGGCTTTACTTTTTGCAATTCTAGCCAAGCCCTGACAACATCTTTAAGGAAGCTGTCTTTTAAAATATGGAATGGGAAATCTGAAGGAGAAATATTCAATTTCCAAATTATATCATAAATACCAGCCTGTTTAAAAACACCATTGACATAAAGCTTCCACTTTGCCTCTTTCGAGCTGTCAAGAAGTCTTTTGATCCAAGTACACTTAAGACCCTTTTGGAAAGAGTCTACATCAAGCATTTTCAAACCACCATGCTTGTACTCATTAATAACAACTTTCCGGCTGACTCGGTCAGGCTTCCCATTCCAAATAAATTTGTAAACCAGTTTGTTCACCTTAGCGATAAATTCCTGAGGAGGATTAGGTAGCACAGTCAACAGAAAAGTCAATTGTGACAAGGCTAAGCACTTAACAATAGTGATCTTGCCAATTGGAGTCAGGTCTCTCCTGGACCACAAATTAAACAAAGTCTGAATTTTTTTCAACTGATCATCGAAATTCAGGTGAAATAAATCCTTTTCATCATGAGTAAAGAATATACCCAGAAATCGAACTGGCCCATTAGTCCAGGAGAGACCCCTACCAATCGGCTGAATATCCTTGCAAAATCTCATTGGACCAAGTTTCATAGCCTCAGATTTATTAAAATTAACTTTGAGGCCAGAAGCCAACTTAAAACTGTCAAGAATCTCAAAAGTACAAGAAATGGATTTTCTGCTCCCGTCCAAAAAAATAGTAGTATCATCAGCATAGGAACTGATTTTCAATTCTGTACCCTCAATTTGAATACCTGCAATATCATTAGAACGTCTAATACAAATCGCTAGTAATTCAACGGCAATAATAAATAAATATGGGCTCAATGGACATCCTTGGCGAACCCCTCTGGTAACATTAAATGAATGTGAAACATGACCGTTATTGATAATACAACTAGAAATATTACAATAAAGAGTAGAGATCCACTTGATAAAATCTTTCCCAAAATTAAAATACTTCAAACTTTTTTCTACGAAGGACCATTCTAATCTATCAAAAGCTTTTTCAAAATCCAAAAAAAGAACCATACCAGGAGTAGCATTTTCTGAGGTGAATTTAACAGTGTCAAGCACAAGACGAATATTCTCACCCATATATCGATTTTTCATAAAACCGGTTTGATCTTCATTAATAATTTTAGGGAGAACAGTCTTAAGTCTGTTTGCAAGTACTTTGGCACATATTTTATAATCGACATTAAGGAGAGAGATTGGACGCCAATTTTTTAAATCACTAGGATTTTTACCTGGTTTTGGAATTAAGTTTATTATCCCTCTCCTCTGATCAACAGACATTTGACCACAATTGAAAGAAAAGTTAAAAGATGCAATCATGAAATCCTTAATATCAGACCAAAAGACTTTATAAAATTCAGCTGGGATGCCATCACAACCAGGGGTCTTATTGTTACTCATTTCTTTAAGAGCAGCTAGACACTCTTTTTCTTCCAGAGAACCATCACACACAAACTGGTCATCTTCAGTCAACTTATTCTCAAAATTGCTAGGAAGGAATTCATCAAATTGGAATTGCTCTGTAGAATCAGAGTGATATAATGTAGAGTAGAAATTGAACTCCTGCCTCAAAATGTCCGACTGATTTGTAATGACATCCCCGTTCTCACACACAAGCTTAGAAATAGACTTATTTTTAAAATTACGTTTTTCTAAACTAAGAAAATATTTGCTATTCTTTTCTCCAAACTCAGTCCACCGAGCCCTAGATCTTACAATAGCCCCCCTAGCAATGCCTTCAAAAATCGTCTCTAGCGTGTTCTGCTTAGATTTGAGAGAATTCAACACCTCGACCGAAGAAGTCTCAAAGTAAGATTTCTCCAACTGCAAAATTTCAGATTCAAGAGAAGAAATTTCCAGCTTCTGGGCATTTTTCTTCCTGGAAGCATACTTGAGCGTTTCACCCCTAATCTCACTTTTAATAACTTCCCATAAAGTACTGGGGTTAGCCGAGGTATTGACTTCTGTAATGTACTTAATAGCATTTTTAATATTACAAACATAATCTTGTTCTGTCAAAAGCGAGGTGTTTAATTTCCAAAAACCCTTGCCCCTCTTGTTATCAGCATTGGTGAGCGACAAAGTAATCATAGAGTGATCTGTTTTATAACCGGGAATAATGTCTGTCAAATCAGTAAGACCCCAAAGATGGTTAGAAATTAAAAAATAATCCAATCTGCAAAAAATCGGCGGGGAATGGTTTGATTTCCAACTGAAATGTCGAACACCAGGATTGTTCTCTCTCCAAACATCAATTAATTCTAGGGAATCCATAATAGTCGAGATTTTATCCTGCACTTTAAAATTAGTACAAGGCCTACCACCTTTCTTATCAAAAGTAACATTCCTCACCGCATTAAAGTCTCCTCCCATAATGATATTCCCACAATCAAACTCTGACATTTTTTTAATAATCAAATCAAAAAAATCAGGCCAGTCTTCATTATAAGCATAAAGATTAACTAACGTAAACACCTCGCCATCAACCTCGATATCAACTATAATAAATCTCCCAGAGAAGTCAATCAAATGTTTCTTAACAGTATAATCCAAGTCATTTTTAAACAAAATAGCAACACCTGCTTTGTTAGATTTATCGTGGCTAAGAAAACTAGCATGTCCCCACTCGTTAGTCCAAATTTTCTCTGATTTCAGTTCGCTATGCGTTTCTTGCAAAAAGAAAATCGAGAATTGTTTCTTTCTCAACCAAAGAAAAAGCTGTCTGCGTTTGAGGTTATTATTGATCCCTCTGACATTAAGAGAACAAATATTGATTTTACCCATTTAACTCTCAAGGAAAAACAACAACATGTATCATCTTTGCATATAACCACATCTTATGAATTATGGGGGGAGATGGTGAGAAAAAGTAATAATACTGATTGTTGGTTTAAACGACATTGCTAATATCAGGCATCTAGGTGATAACAACAGCATCAACAGCGAAACCACAGAAACAATGAAACCACACACATAACAACAAAAAACAAAAAACAGATACATTCAAATTGTTCTGCAAATGACTCGATGTTCTATTTGTTGGAACACGGACGTTTCTTGACAAAATCCCTATGGACTCCGGCCGCTGCCAAAGTTCTGGTACAAGTACTTCATGCTAGCTGCCTCATCTCTGTCAAAAGTTCTCCAGTTGTCTCCCTCCTTCATTTTCAGCTTAGCAGGGTAAGATAAGTATACTCGCCTAGCTGGATTTTCCTGCAGGAGAAGTCTCTTGAAGTGTAGCATCTCCCGTCTCTTCTTCTGTACTTGAGGGGTGAAGTCCTCCGACACGAAGACATTCTGGTTCTTGTAGGGGTTGTTCTTTAACACCTTGGGAGCAGCCCTCAATATCATCTGCTTGTCTGGATAACGGAAGAAAGCCACATGGATTGGACGTGGTCCCTTACCCCGCGTTGGAACAGCCGGTGTTCTGTGTGCCCTTTCTATCTGAATATCAGCAACATTTGTCAGCTTCATCTGGTCTCCAAGAAAACTCTTGATGAATGAGGTGCACGAATCATGATCATCCTCACTCCCTTCTGGAACATGTAGAAACACGAGGTTGTTTCTACGGAGACGGTTGGAAAGATCTTCCACTTGCCTTGTGAGCTCCCGGACTTCTTTACTGCCTGCTTTGCCGCCCAGCACTTCATCCATGAAATTCATTCCTTCCTTCATTTCTTCCATATCTTTGTTTAGGTTGCCAATATTCCCCTCTACCTTATCGACTCTTGTTGCCAGGACTTCTAGTAGATCTAACTTTTCCAATTTCTTTAAGATAGAGTCCAATTTGCTGCTACAGTCACAGTGCTGGTTTTGAGAATGCGCCGCTGCTGAATCTATATCATGCGATACGTGGACGGCGCCATCTTGGTTTCCAGCAGGCACGTTGTCATGAGCTGAAGACAACGACTTTCCCTTATTTCGCTCTTCAGGGTTAGGTGAAGCTCTCCTTGTTCTAGGCATTTTTGTCTATGTGCCTGTACAGTTGACTAGGATGGCTTGTTTTACAAGAAGGGTCTTCAAAAACCGTCAAAATGAGGACATAATTTCTGTTCTGGCCGGAGCCCACAGAAAGACGTGTTCACTCACATCGACGCATGCGCAGAAAAAAAAGGGTTAACTTACCAAATAATCCAGTGGTGGTGCCTATGGTGGACGTTATCCAGCCCAAGATCCCCGTGGTGGTATTAAACTGGTCTTGTAACAAGGGAAGCATCATGCCGATGGTTTTAAAGACTGCAGACCAGATGAAAAGCCTGGTCCACATAGCCAGCACAGCAAACCACCCAGCACGGCCATCAGATCCACATGCTGAGCTAGCCATGGCGCGGCTAATATTGCACTTTATATACCATGAAATAGAAATATATTAACAAAGTCGGATACAGGGTTTTATTAACATGGGTTGGCAGAGGTGTTTAAATTAAGGATAGCTTTAGGCCCCCATCATATAGTAAGGTCAGGTGTAACACAAGGTATTCTTTATACCACGGTATAAAATGCCCATGCATGTTCACTCATCCATATCGATCAAAGCCATACAAAGCCTTTACTCACTAACTCCTCTTAAAGCACTATTAAGTGAGCGGGATAAAAATAAAACTAGAGAAAGACACTATTTGACCTTTGAAACAAGATATATGCGACGGATCTCCGCCTTTTGTGTTGGTCGTTGTGCTCCCTGGATCTCAGGAATTCTTTTGATAGCTGCGTGTATAGGTATAACAATGAGTATTATGATCTGGGGGTCCGGGTGCACACGACCTTTACTCCTACGCATCAACCCGTGCACGGTATAGTCCTAGATCACAGCTTTAATACGTGTTATGGTACCATTAAGGAGACATATGTTATCAGAATTTCTTCGCATGATGAGAGACATCGGTCATTAGGGAAACAATTTCATGTCTCCCTAATGTCACAGCCCCCCTTTAGAGGCGAAATTTTACCATCGCAATTAGATTATATTTGTTGCTCGTGGTCTAATTAGTAAACATACCGAAATTCGTGCAAAAAAGGACAAGGGAATATTGGATTAGGGCACATTTAAGTTTGAAAAATGTTGTGCACAAGTCTATGGGCATGTCTCCCAATGGTAATCCAGGGTAATTATAAATATTATAATTGTTCTTATATAGTGCTTTCCATCGTATCAACAATCTCAAAGCGCTTTACAATTAACCCTAAAAGAGCCGGGCGGAATCCGCCCCCACCCGCAAATTTTCTTTTCCCAAACTACATCCACATACATGGTTGTTTAGCGCCCTCTGCTATACTTTTATGATACGTACATTGTACGCAGATATATAATTATTTTTCCCCGCGTTTTTGGCGAGCAGTGCGATAGCTCAGTCGATGCGGTCGTGCTTGTGCACCGTGAGGTTGCGGGTTCGAAGCACCTTTTTGTCCCCGATTTTTTTTTCTTTTCTAACCTGAGGCTTTCGGAGGATTTTTTTAAGGGAAATAAAGTCCGAATTTCATTACGTTTGAATTCGTTTCTTTTTTTCTAAATTTATATTTTCTTGTCATGTTTTTAGAAAAGTACAGTCCAAAACGCCATACCTTACAACCATGTCACTTGGGAGAACGAAATATCGCCCCACGCCCCCTCAACTTTTTCTGCGATTCCCCGGAAAAAAAAATTTGCCTGGAATCTTGCGCATCTTTTGAAAAACAAAAAAAATCCGACCATTTGGACTGCGCAGTGAAAAAAAATTCGGCGCGCCGCGCCGTGAAAACTCAATTTCCCCATAATGTAGTGTACACAAAGCAGAATTACCATTGGTGCATGTGAATAATTAATGAGCAATAATTCCAAAACCCTTTAACCTATAGTCACGAAATCTCTTGGGTACGTTTATGTTGAGTTTGTTATATGCGTGCAACGACTAGTTTCATAGTCGAGATTCATGTACATGTAGGCCTATAAGTAAAAAAAAAAGTCTTGTGAAAAAGTGTCGCAAAAGGTTTGTATGGGTGGGCACTATGTACACCTAGTCTATACATGTACCAAGGTCTCATTTATGGAATATCCCCTTGCACAGCAAGGGTCTATATGCGAGCATGCAGATTCGGTGATTAATTCTGCAAAACAAGACTGCATCTTCACATCCCGATTTTGACCATTCAGCGGGACTCGGTGTTTCCGTAACCCGTTGTTGTATTCAAAATTGACAGATCAACAGCTTAGTCCATGATTCTGATCGATATGACGTTTGAGTATCTACATGTGCATGCTATAAGATAACGTTCGCATACCCTGGCTCATATCTGCACAAGTGACGTGATGCCTGATCCTTGGATTATGTAAGGTATTTAGCCATTTGAGAAGCGCAGCTTTTCCAACTGAAATTTCTTGTCATAAGTCTGGAGGTCGATTTTGAACAGCTTCCAAAAGGACCCAATCTTTGCTTTGCGGAAATTAGGCCATGGGGAATTCTGGTGGACCCAGTGGGTATAATGGCCTGACTTTACTTTGCACGCTTGTTTTTGTACACTGAAGTTTATCAATCTAGATATTTTGTGAAACTGTTAGATAGTACATTGTATATACTGTGGCAAGTTGGCTGCGCATCAGACTGGGACCTTGTGTGCTGAAAAACATGAAAAACAAAATCAGGCCAGCTTTACTCACTCTATTTCACCATCCAAGTTTGAAGTCTAAATTCGATTTTCAAAGGAGACTTTCCTTAAATACATTTTGCACCTGAGAGGGAAGTCAAGTTGAGGCCAAAGACTAGATTGGTACATGTCAAACCATGGTCCAACTGTTTGAAAAGACTGACCTCTTCATTGGTGTGGTGGTTGATTAGGCCAAAAAAAAGGTCTCTGGTTTCTGGTATGGAGCTTGCCCAAAAAGTGGTGCGGCGACGCGGCTTTTTTACCTGGTTTTTTTGCTTCAAATGTCGGCTGATGACTGCAAATGGTGCCCTACTACACTTAGTGCAAATATATGGGAGTCCAGAGAGGCCACATAAAGCTTATTCTCGAACATAACCCCATCTAAAAACACGTTAAAATTGTGCAGCAGCAGGATTCCAGTCAAACCAGTGAGTTTGGCGGTTTTGAGACATCATCTTTCATTGAAAAAAAAAACCTTTTTCATTTTGCCGACGCGCGTGGCTACGGCGACGCGCGCGCATACCAGAAACCGGAGACTTTTTTGGCCGTACGGAGAAATATGTAGAAATAGAGATCAGTACCAGACATGCTAGATGTTTCTTTTGGCACAGTTGATGGATGCAGTGCCGAAGGGTTGTTTGACTGGTTGTTTCAGATGCCGGTCTATTTTCTTGTATTGCATGTTTTCAATACCTTACGTTTTGGGACTCACATACACAGTATTGAGAGTCCCAAATTTTCGGAATAGCTGGTTCTGGTTGTATACTGTGCAAACACCTCTTAAGTTTTATCTCGCACAGGTCGGAGTGGTTGGCGCAGTGAACTAAATTTTAAAGTGGGCCTTATTAACTAAGCTGAGGAGATCTAGGTGCTCAATTCCCTCTTTGAAAGCTTTGACATTGGGAGCATATCGAATGTTTGGTGGTAGCAGGTTCCATTCCTTTGTGGTTCTTGGGTAGAGTGAATATTGATAGCACAGTTTGTTGAAGTTTGGCGGGACGATATGAGGACCGAGGTTCTGTCTTGTTGCATGATTGTTGTTACTCTGGCTTGACGGCAGGTTTGATGGTATGATATTGTGGACTTCCTTGTAGATTGTTGTCAGTCGTAGTCGGATTGTGCGGAGTTCGAGTGTGTCCCATTTGAGAGAAGACAGCATGCTGTTAACGCTGGATCTCCGCTTGTAATCATTACATACGAAGTGGGCTGCTCGCCGTTGTACTTTCTCAAGGTTGATCTTATTGTTGTTGTTTAAGGGGTCCCATACGGCTCCACAATAATTCAGTTTGGGTCTTACTAATGACTTGTATGCGTTCTCTATGACGGATTTACTGCATGCATGAAGATTTCTTTTAAGAAGGCCGAGAGTTCTATTAGCTTTCCCAGTCACTTGATTTATATGTGTTGCCCAGCTTAAATCCTTGCTTATTTCGATACCAAGGTATGGGTGATGGTCAACTGCCACTAGTGTGTGACTGCCCATGTTGTATTCTGAGATGAGTGGTTTGATCTTGTGTGAGACATGCATGGTATGGCATTTAGCTGCATTGAAGGACATCTGCCATGTTCTTTCCCAATCACAGAGAGCGTCCAAATCTTTCTGCAAAGACAAGCTGTCCTCTGACGATTTAATCTCCCTGTAGATTATTGCATCGTCTGCGAAGAGGCGAACTCTAGATGAAACTTCGTTCGGCATGTCGTTTATGTACAGCAAAAAGAGTAAGGGGCCCAACACAGTCCCTTGAGGTACACCTGAAGTCACTGGTGTTTCTGCAGATGTTTCTCCCTCTAGTAAAACTCGCTGGTGTCTTGTTGTTAGGAAGATCTCGATCCACTTCAGGAGGCTGTTGTTGATTCCTACATGGCTGAGCTTGTACAGGAGACGTTTATGGGGGACGGTATCGAACGCCTTACTAAAGTCTAGTAGTATCATGTCTGTCTGGCTTTTATTATCAAGTGTCCTTGTTAGATCATCGATAAGCCCAGCAAGTTGGGTATCGCATGATCGACCCTGACGAAATCCATGCTGGTGGTTTGTGAGTACTTTGTGGAAATCAAGATGGTCCATGATGTGCCGGTGAATTATATGTTCAAGAAGCTTGCATGGTATCGAAGTAAGTGAAATTGGCCGATAATTAGCCGGGTTTGTCCGATCTCCCTTCTTGTAAATAGGGACGATGTTGGCATTCAACCAGTCTTCTGGGAGTTTTCCACTGTCTACAGACTTTTGAAAGATCTTTTGGAAGACTGGAGCTATGCTTGCTGAGCAGCTCTTCAGTATTCTAGCTGGTACCTGGTCAGGCCCGGATGCTTTCTTTGATTGGATTTCCCCCAGCAATTTTTGCACCCCGTTTGTTGTTATGTTGAGGGCTGAGATTTTTGGAGTTGGATTCGAGTTGAGTGACGGGAATTCAGCAAGGTTTTCTTCGGTAAAGACCGAGCAGAACTGGTGGTTTAACGCTTCGGCTTTGTCGGCTGGTAGAGACACTGCACGCCCCATATTTGTAAGGGTTGCGATTCCAAAAACTTCCTGGCTCATTGACTTGATGTAATTCCAGAAGGGCTTTGTGTTTTCTGTCTTCAAGCTTTCTCCTATCACATCATGGATGTACTTGTGATGAGCTTTCCTGATTTGTCTGTCAATTGAACGGCGTAATTTCTTGAAGTCTGTCCATGCTGAAGCTGTTCCAGATCTTCTTGCCCGATTGTACAACTTTTGTTTTTTCCTAATTGCTCGTCTAACTGTTGAATTGACCCAGGGTAGATTATGTCTTGTTGAACTCAGTTTTGAAGGAATATGACGATTCATAGCCCCGACGAGAACCTGTTTGAAGTCTAGCCACAATGTGTTTACGTCTGTTGATGCCAAACGATCCTCAGTCAACTTCTCATCAAATGCTGTTATGAGTTCATCTATGGCAGTGAATTCGGCCTTTTTGTAGAGGAAGATTTTCCTCCTTGGGGGTCTGTGCATAAACACCTACCTTTCTCGGCAACGGATGACTGTCCGCTTGGTGTTCCAGATGAGATGTGACGATGTGCTTCACTTTACCTATTCGATCGTTCTATTGTCCCAAAGCTTTTTAGATAACAG